CCTATCTTAACCCCCCCCCCCCTCCCCCCCACATACATATACAAATAATAAAAAAAGAATCTTCCGTTCCTTTTTTTTTCTCCATAGAAACTTCCAAGTTCCAAACAGATGCTAAATGAAACGATTGTGGATGGGCATTATATAACAAGTTAACAACAACAATCAATCCAGTATAATCCCAGCTTTGTTGGGGACTGGGGGATCACGATATTCCGTTTTCGCAACATAGAGAGACATTATTATTATTTATTTATTACTTGGAGAAGAAGAGCAGTGGGCATTCCAACAATGTTACTCCTGCCAATGACAACAGCTCTCTTCCCTTTGATTTCAACGCCATACCTATGCAGCAGCTCAATACATCCCTTTGGAGTACATGGAACAAATAATGGCTCCCTGCCCCGCATGGCGAGTCGCCCAATGTTTAGTGGGTGGAATCCATCAACATCCTTCTCAAGGCAAACAGCATTCAATATGTTCTGCTCATTCATATGCTGGTACACATATGGGGAAAAGATACAAGTTGCATTTTAGATACAGCTCAATACACTCGAACTAAATACTGAGATAAACAAGCACATAGTTCGCAATCCATCCAAGTCGGGCTAGATAAATTAAGGCGTGGATTAATAGGGTCAACCTAACCCCAATCAGACTGCCCTAAACCATCAAATCAAGACCACCATCGAACCAAACTCCAATACCAAGTTAAATTGGGACATACTCCACAAAAATTATCCTCAAGACTCAAGGCCAAGGGTTAGGCTTACTTCACGATTATGTTCTAGAATCTAGATTGTAGATTCAAACCCAACTTTGAAACAACCAAATTTTAAAAAACATAAATATATGCATCACACCATAAAAAACATGAATATCAATACTGGGACACAAAAATAAGTTCTAAAAAAGAAAAGAAATATGCATCAAACCAAAACAAATATTCTTGTAATGGAGATAATCAGTAAACGGTTTACCGAAGGTAGAGGCAACTGGACAAGAATGCCATGAACGGAGGGATCATCATTGAACCTGGAGATATGGTTAAGCACTTCCTCTTCGGTTGTATCATCAGGCAAACAGACCTCATATGAATGGATCCCCACGCCTTCACATGCTTTTTTCTTGTTGCGAACATAAGTTGCAGAATCCTTCCTGTCCCCAACCAGAATGACCGCCAGACCAGGGACAACACCAATAGAATCCTTCATCCTAGATACTTCTGCACTGATTTCGTCTCGGATTTCTTTTGCAACCTTTTTCCCATCAATAACCTCAGAAGAGGATTCGGAGGTCACAGAGTCTATAATAGATTCATATGGCAAACTGTAAGAGGAAAAACAAAGTCTAGGCATGCTGTGGGTTTAGAATATAATGAAATCAAGTTTCTTGAGGAGTATTCAATAAGACATTGCATTCAGAGATTAATCAAATTTTCATTTCAAATGCCAAATGATTAGTAATCGTAGTCGTCCTGGTAGTAGGAAGTAGTAGTAGTAACAACAATAATAGTAACAATAACACTGCAGATTTAAAGATAAATAAAAATGTGGGTAGATTTACTATATTTACCTGTAAGAGCTGAATAGCAGCATACCGCAGCGGTGGCGGAGTTCGAAGTGAAAGGAGTTGAATCTATGTAAGCGGCGGAGGAGGTCCTCGGGCGTGATGTGGAGCCACGGCGGAAAGGAAGGTGGCCGGGCTTGCAGAATGGAAGGAATCGGGCTGCGGCCACGGAAGTGGCTGAAGAAGACGAAGAGGAGTCGGCTAACCTCGCCTTCATAAGCGCCGCCACAGACGACGCCGTGGACGCGGCCATTCTTCTGTGAGCAACGACGATGACGCGAGAGAGATGATGTCTGGGAATAAAACCTATGCTTGCAAGCTTTTTTGCTATGATAGAACCAGTTAATCACCGGCCAGCCGCCGCCCGCTCCCGTTTTTCAGTGCCTACTTTACGCGGGACTGGGCCGTATTGACCCCGTTTGTTGAGTGTCTTTAGGTTGGGCCGATCTCGCTTTTGTTATTAAGGTAAAAGCCGGTCTTGGGCCCACATTAAATTTAGCCCATTTGAAATTAAAGAAATCACAATATATATAAATAAAACATAGAAAAAGCACCAAAATAAGATTTTTATTCTCAAAATATATAGTATGCATTTTATTATACTTTTTTATAATGTACATTGTCATGATTGATAATGTACATGCTTTTTAATTCATATTTCAGGAATAAAACATGAAACTCTTATTTTAGTATATTTTTCAATATTTTATTTTTACTTTAGTCTTTATCCATTGAACTTACAATTGTCATTAAGAAAACAATTAAATAAATTGAGGTGTAAAGTGTAATCTTAAAAAGTCTTGTACAAAAAAGACTTCACATGTGTTTATCTCTTAAATAGAAATATTGGCACTGAAATACTACAAAATGACATTATATATCGACATTTCTTAATATTTTTTGACATGACGCGCTAATATAATTTGGCATTTTAAATACTATTTTTCTAAAAAAAACAAAACTGATAATCATATTTTGGTACATGAAACATGTTTTAAATCCTATAATCGTACCAGAGGGGAACTTGTCCCAGTATAGAGTTGGAACTTTTTACAATAATGCCAAAAAAATCAATCAAAAGAATTGTCCTATCCAAACTACTGTAAATACAAACCCAGACAAAATGGAAGTTAAAACAAATTTCTTCAACTTTAAAATTAATTCAATAAGTTCCGATGGAAATCTCATGTGGAGACTGGAGAGCAATGGCCTAAAAGAATGTCCCTTCCAAAAAAAACAGGACCAATATATAATAATAGGATAAAAGTAAAACTAACAAAAAAAAAGGCTATACAGTTTCCCAAAGTGAATGAATGAATGAATCATCCTCTTCTTCTTCTTCCTCCAGGCCAGTTGCAGCAGCATTATATCGCGAGAGACGCTTCTTCGCTCTCGGGTGAAGAGTCTAAGTGTGGGGGCTGTTCTTTGGGTTTGTTAACCACTCGGGAAAATCCGTACCCGAGAGAGCCCCCGCTTGTTTGACACAGCTACAAAAGAAAAGGCTAGCATTAAGCTTCCTAAATTCGTTCTCAATTCTCACTTTATTTCCTTTTAAAGTAATAAAAATGTGACTACTGACTAACATCATTTCTCTCACGTCTACAACAAATTCTAACCGTACATTTTTCACTTATCAACACTTTTCTCAAGCATTGTGAAAGTCATAACGTGCAAGAATTTTTTGGGACAGAGGGAGTATAATGTTGTTGTCTGCGTACACACACCCTCCATCAGACCCTATGTTTAGTGAGATTTGGTTTATTATTGTTGTTGTAGGGAGAATATTGTTTTTGAGATACTCCCTTCATTCCACAATAATCGTCTATTAAAGATTATTATACTCCGTATACATTTAAGCCTACATTCATTCAAAATCTAATGTATATAATAAACCTTGATAGACAGTTATTGTGGATTGGAGGGAGTAATACGGCAGAATCGGCTGATACAGCCATCAAGCTACATTGTACCTCAGTTAGCTCAGATAGGTGGCGGGACCTGAACTCGTTGATCGTTGCTGCTATCTCTGACATTGGTAGTTTAGCCTGAACCCAAGAAAAAATAAATAAATGTATAATATCATACATAGCTAGCTGAAGGTATTAGTGTAGTGTGCATGGTGGGTGGGATTGGGGGGCAGAGAGTGTTTGATATGCCAAGTGTAGCATACTTACTTCAACTAGGACAGCTGCCGCCAACTGCAAACTTGGTTCCAAGGTCTCTGGGACAACCTATGACAATACAAATTTACAATGTTGTGACACCAAACAAACAACAATCCAGTTGGATCCCACGAGAGTTGGGTCAGGGGAATGTTGTGACAACATTAGATGTAATATTATATGGAAAAATTTCAACTTTTGGTCCCACGACTTTAAGGTCATTTCCACTTTCGGTTTCAGACATTCACTTTTTTCTACTTCGCACGCGATTATAGTCCTTGCCACTTTTTATCCTGATCACTTATCCAGCCAAATCCCATTCAATTTTGGGTGGATTTTTGCTGGACAAATGAACGGAAAGAACAGAAAGTGATAAGAAGTCCATAGTCATGCAATAATGCGGAAAAAATAAAAGACTGGACCAAAAATGAGAACAAACTAGTAGTCGTGGGACCAAAAGTGGAAATGATCATTGTCAAGGGAAGTACCGCTGTTGCTCCGGCCTTTTCCAAGTTTATGCCATGGTCAACGTCATGCGCGCGTACAAATGTTTTCACATTAGGAAAATACTTGTTCAGGGCCCACACAGTTCTGTAATTCGCACCAGGGGTATCCAAAGTAATTGCAGCAGCGCAAGCTCTATCAGCACCTACTTTATGGAGAACCTAAAGAAGTATAAAGTACAAAGAATATAAATAAGCATTGAGCTCTAACAGCTGTGTTCCCATGTCCACAGACCACATGAAATAGGTTTTCAATAAGCAATACCTCCCGGCTTCCAGCATCACCAAAGAATACAGGAAGATCAAGTGCACGTCCAACTGCAACCCGATCACTGAAATATAGAAATAATAGAAGTTCTAGAAGAATTGATAAAATATGAACAGTGTTTCTTTTGATAACTTAGGGGGGGGGGGTTTGGGATTTGCCCGATTGCCCGACTAATCCTAAAACCTTTGGCTTCAGTCAATAACGAGAGCATATGCTACACAATGTGGGCTTCACCAAGGAGATTACACCGCCCAAAGGGCTCCTCCTCCCCAACTTTGAACCCACAATAATCTTTCCTCCCTTACAGCTAAATACCTCGCGAGAGGCCTATAAACAATGTTTTTGAAACTGTTGGGCTGTCGATACACACAGTATAGATACGCATGCCATTCATATAAATATGTTTTAATATAATTAATACAATAACTGGATTTTCAGTTAAAGTGCAACGCCTATGAAATATTTTTTTTACAAGTAAAAAAAAAAAACAGAAACATACTTATGAGCATGTAAAATGAACATATCAAAGTTACCTTCTCACATCAAGTGCAACAAATGGAATCAGTCTTTCAGAAAGAAGTTGGGCAATTATCTGTTGTGGAAAAAAGAAGTAAATGGCAAAGAAAATGATTTCATGACTGGCATTTAGTTTGTCATTTTAAAAAACTAAGTACTAAAAAGATTTTTGAATTAAGAAGGTAGTGCAAGACCTGACCAACACGTCCAAACCCACAAATAATAATATGATCTTGCAAATCATCAGTCTGAAAAAAGTGCAAACAGAACTTAGAAGTTATAAGAAGTTAATAATGCAACCCCACCCACGTACAAAAACCGACTGATATAGAACTAGACCAAGTTATCATCAACAAGTGAAAGTCAGAAGCTTGACCTCACTTTCCACGGGTAACAAACTTCGAACATCTTGAAGCTCAAAATGAGAAGCTATTAGTTGCCCTCCGGCAGCCAACCATGGTGTGATGGCCATTGAAATTCCCACCACAAGAAATAACAGAGATGACAGATGAGAAGACAGTATACCCTGGGAAAATTCAAACAAGCAAAAAAATAATACGTATAATTTACTCAGTATGTCCATTTGGGGTTTTCAATTGTTCTCTATCACCCTGTTTACATCATCTGATCATCACATGTAAAGAACATGAATTAAAAATAATTTTATGGATCAACAGCTACTAGCCTACAAATATGGTTTGCATTTCAAATGTAAGCAATCATTAACTCATGACAAATTTTTTTCATCTGTTTGAGAGAATAATTTTATAACATGAGTAGAGCCAGTGTCTGAGACAAAGACCTGTTATATTCCCAATACTCGCCCTAGATTGAATAATAGAGAGAAATAATATAAATGCAGCATATCTAGAATATACTCCCTCCATCCAAGAATGAAACTGACACTTTGACTTCACGAAGTTTAAGAAAAGAGAGAAATGTTGTAAGCCACATTTTCATTTCAAAAAAGGGAAGTTGGAGAAGTATAAAGTGTATCATGTGAAGGACAACAACGGAAGTGTAAAGTTCATTTTGGGACGGAGGAAGTAATAGATTCTGCAATCACGTGGTCAGCTGAAAAAATAGTTAAAAAGAAACCCCAATACACGATATGTGGTTTAAATTTTATGAAAGTTGTGAAGAGAAATAGGAGGTGAAGTAGTTAACCTGATTAACAGCCTCACCGAAGGCAACAAATGCAAATTCTCCACCTGGAGCCAGTAGCAGACCAACTCTTATGGCAGATACAATGGAAATACCAAAAAGTCGACCAACTAAAGCAACCAAAATTGTTTTGCCAACAATCAGAAGCGATAGTGCCCCCATAATAACTGGAAAGTTTGATAAAAGAAGCTTGGGATCAATAGACATTCCAACCTGAAAGCGAAGTCAAATGGTCATGATTTATAGTTACGACAAGAAATAATACTTACACTATCACATACACAATGAAAATATTTTGGTGGAGAATAAGTTGGTTGAAGTATATGAGAGAGGTTCACATCGCAGTGGCAGGAAATGTACCATCACGCAAAAAAACAATTGTTATTCCATTTAATGAATTTAACTACAAACATAAAATCTAATAGCTCAAAGGCACATAAGTGAACAGCAAACTGCAAAGAAATAATTTATTTACCACCACTGATACTGCAAACTAATACGCGTGGGCACACACACAAACACACACACACAGCCATATGCAATAGAAGAACAACTGAAGCACCTACCGTCATGAAAAAGAGACCCAATAGAAGACCACGGTATGGGGCAATATCTGACTCAACCTGAAGCGAAAATTCAGTTTCTGCAAGAAGTAAACCAGCCAAAAATGCTCCTAGAGCCATTGAAAGGCCAGCCTGTTTATCAGTATTAAAAAAAAATCACAAATCATGTCAAGGTTTGAACAAGGTATGTGCGAATAAAATGAGAACCGGTGATTTTTACCCTGGCAGTAAGGAGACTGGTACCAAGAATTACAAGAAGTGTATTAGCTGAAAATATTTCTGCATTCTCATTCTCAGCAATTTGCTTGTAAGTAGGCCGAAGAAGCTGCAGATCATATTCAAAAATAAAAGATAAAAGTTCTAGCAATTAAATCATGAAAACAGTTTCATACTTCATAAACATCAACAATTCATTGGGAAAAAATATAAACAAAATGGCTCGAATTTGAGGAATTATCATAACCCTTTCTAGAACACACTTTTCAAAGATTATTATAAAATAAAAAACATTTCATATCACTTAGTAATAAATGCATCTATATCAATAACATATAGCTTACCAGACGTCCTCCAGCAATAATGGCAGATATTGCACCAATTGCCTTGACAGCAGCCAATCCAAGGGCTTCAGCTATAGCTCGAAAGCCAACCTGATTACCATAGTAGCTCGTAGAAACAAGGTATTGGCAAAGTTCAAAGCAACTACAAGCAAGTACATAATATTTGAAGTTCTTTTTTCATCATACAATACGACAATAACAACAACCCCCAGGATAATCCCAACTCTGTTGGGGTCTAATTGACTAAGGGTCAAGATCGATGTACTCAAGCTTACCCCTCTAAGAAAACAGAGACTGTTTTCATTAGACCTATGATGCATTGATGCATATAAATATATAATTGCCTAAAACTTCATTGAAAGTAAGAAGCAACTCAAGCAAGGGAAGTTTAATGTACCATGTTGCTTTAGTCCATTATTTACTCGAAGCTATAAAAATTGTCAAAAATGACTTTTTTAGATCCATTGGCAGTGGACATTTTTTCATCATACAATAATTGGATTTAATCAAGCCACAAGTCTGTTACAGGGGAAACCAGAAGGAAATAATTATGTGAGTAGTTATTCAGACATAGCACAAAGGATTAAAAATATTGAACTCCTGTAAAAGAGCATTTGAGAATCTTCATATGAGAAATGGAAATTACCCCTCCTTTGGAAGAATTAGGTGAAAGAAGAGGTATAAGGATGAGCAAAACAACCACCGCTAAATCCTGAAGGACAGGAAAAAAAGGTTTAGTGAGAATAGTTAGAAGCACTGAGCAATAAGGCAATACAACAACAACAAACCCAGTAAAATCCCAAGTCCTTTGGGTCTAGGGGATAAAAATGTATGCAACCATACCCCTGTAAAAACAGAGAGGCTTTTTACAATATATCATTGACGCATTCCTACATTTACTGCTCAATATGTTATAGAATCAGGGGAAGTTTAATCTGCAATTTTGATTTAGTCGGCCTGATATCTGCCCGAAGCTAAAACATTGGCAAATTGACTTCTTTAATTCCATTGGAAATGGACGCAAAGGCCAAGAAGGCAATAAGAAAATCTTATCAGTACAAAATAATATTAAGAATAATGAACAATGAGGTAACAAACATATATCATCAAAAAGACATAACTTTGCAACATCAAGGGGAAAGGCCAAGATGAAGCTTCGAAATATATTTCTTAAACTTGCACCAGAGTATACCTGGAAGAGTAATACAGAAAATGTGGCTCGCCCATGCCGTGATGTGCTTTCACCGCGTTCCTGCAATACCTGCATATATCCTTTTACGTTAAAAAAACAGTCTGAAAATGGTGCCCACTGCGGTGGGGAAAATATTATTTAAAGTCAGACTACAGGAAAAAATTTCTCCATCTATCTTGGTGTTTCTGAATATTACTTTTGTGGGAGAATAGTGTGTGCATATGTGCTAATGTGCTTTTCTGGGTTTGGTAAGGTCTCTCTATCAATAAAATCACAACTATGACCTAAGAGCTCTGGCAATAGCACATTGCATTAGCATTAAGGAGTAGATAAGAAGTTCTACTCCAACCACCCACCTTTGAGAATATTTGATAAAACTTACCTGGAGGACTACAGCAGTGGAAGACAATGCAAGACCATTGCCGATGACAATTGCAGCAGGGCCATGTTGTGCCGCAAAAATATGGGCAACCATGCCAGCCACTGCAGCAGTCACTAATACCTTCACAAGGAGTATATCAAGAGTTTCACATTTTAAAATGAGGTGTATATTAGAAAACACATATTGAAAGGAAAAAGGGTTTAAGCTTTCATCACCTGTGCAGTGCCAAAACCAAAAACATATTTCTTCATTGAGCTTAGTCTCTCAACTGAAAGCTGTGAAATTTAGAGGAGAACGGAGATGAAAAACTTCATACATAGGACCATAAGGGTTTACATCACAAAACACTGAAAAATAGACAGACTACTAGTTCTTTACTGGTGGCTTTACCTCAAGGCCAATGTTAAATAGCAAGAAGACAACCCCAAATTCAGCAATTGCCTTGGTCCCATGTACATTACGAATAATAGAAAGGCCATAAGGTCCAATCAAGATGCCAGCAGCCAAGTAACCAAGAACAGGGCTGCCTGAATATTAATAAAGCCATAGAAAAAACCACCAATAAGCTACCACAATACCGAAAACATATATCCAGATCATGGCAACTGCAACTTGCAGTGATAAGCTCATAAAAGGGGTACTCTTAAGCACGGAGAAAAGTATTCCATTGTACAGAATTTTGTAGGACATTAAGCATTGAACAAGAAATCACAAAAAGGGGATTTTTTTCTTTCGAAGACAAGGTAAGCAGAAATAGTATGCAAAAAAATGTGCAAAAGAAGGAAGTAGAGCTTATAAGTGACAAAGAATACACAGCAGTTAAATTACCTCCAGGAATTTTCTGGAATGCAGGCACAAAAATAACACTAGCAAGCAGTAGCCACAGTATGTCAAGAAGGGAAGCTTCTTCCTCGTTTGTCTAGGAAAGGTAGAGAGCTATGTTACAATAATAGAATCATGCAGATGCATGTCTCAAGACTGATTCACAGATACAATACATGAAATTACGTAAATATAATAAGATTAAAAAAACTTAAGTGACAATATTCTATGGCATGCCTCTTGATGAGGAAGCTTTGCAAGTAATTTCTTGATTTCCTCAGGCAGCTTCTTTACTTTCTGGACCAGTGGTTTTGCATTTGTTGAAACTTCATGAATGCTAAGAGCATTGATGTCTTGGTGTTTGAATAGCTTAGAAATCCGCTCTGAGCGATTGAAATACAATGCAAACCTGTAAAAGTTTTCAACCTCACATCAAATGCTAACATTTGCTAACTAACGGAAAACATATTAACATTCTGAAGCAAAAAAATGAACATCAACATGCTAAATTTAATTACTACTCCCTCTATTCCTATTTCACTGTCAGGTTTGACCGGGCAGGCGGGCACACATTTTGAGATATGTAGTGAAAATAAAAAAAAGTGTGGTTAAAATTTATATAGAAAAGAGAATTTTTGTGAGCTATATATTCTTTTCCTTGAAATGGGAGATTATTCTAGGGAGGAGAAAAAAAGTGTTAAGTTTTAATGGAGACGGAGGGAGTAGTATATTTACTGCTAATATGGGACAAACAAAACAACAAACTTGGGCCATCAGTAATTCTGACCCTGCTCCAAATAGCAATGAGCCAGCCACCAATTTGGGTAAGTGCTTCTTAGCTGACTTCATTAGTCTATGAAAAACAGAAGCTCGTGCCAATTCCACACCATCTGCAGAAAAGGAGAAGAAGGATGCAGAGAAGAAACGAGATGACTTTTTCAATAGGGATTTTGGAGCATTTAACAGTGAGCTGTCCCTGGATAACTCATTGGGCACTTCCGGTGTGTTACTCTGCACATTAGTCGATTTTTCTGAATCTGGATCACCATCTTTCACATTTTCTAGGCTGAATCCATCGTCTTGGTCACTTTCACTTAAGTGAGATTCATCATTTTTATGGCCACCTATGTCTAGTGGGATGTCTGGTACAGGCTCAGCAGTTAAATGATCATCATCACCTGAAACCTCTCCATGCTTTTCAGTAACACCATTAGCTGGATTTATTTTATTAACCACATCCTCGAGTACTCTCCCCTCAGTCAATGTCTGCACTTGTGAAGATCCATTTGTATTCTCTGAGGAATCGACCCAAGAAGTTGGTAGATCCTTTTCTGCTTTCTGTATGGCAATCTCCACATCATTCACACGCTGTGTAGCCTCTATTTCAAATGCAACAGCTTTTTCCGCTAAAATCATTATATTTGCCACATCTTCCTCAGCTTTGAGAGCATTCATTTGTGCGCGCCCAGCTACCTCATTCAACCTGTCAATTTCCTTTTGCAACTCTTCCTTCCTGATCCCTAATAGCCTCAATTCAGTCTCACAACTAGCTAAATGATCCTGGCATTTGTTCATTTCTTCAAGAGCAGCCAAGTGTGATTCATCCTCCTTTTCTCCTAAAGTAGTATTCAGTTCCTCTTTGCTTTCTATGGAAGTTTCTAGGGACTCAATCTTTTTTACCACCTGGAGCCTTGCCTCTGCCAAAGAAAGTGACATGGTTGCTTTTTGTATGGCTTCTTTAGCCATAGCTTCTTCATCCAGTGTCTCTTGGATACTATTGAGAGCCTTGTTAACATCATTCCATGCATTTGCTGCATCATCCTTCAATGCTATTGCTGCCTCTGATATCCTCTGTGCTTTATCCTCAAACATAGTGCTGTTAATCCGTGCAATCTCCAAATCCATAAGGGCCTTCTGCAATAGTTCCCTTAAATCTTCCAAACTAGGTTCTGTTTCTTCATCTTCTTTGACAAATTCATCCTTCAAACTACTAGCTTCCACAATGGCATTAACCTCACTCTTCGAACTTCCATCATTACCACTCTCAATGGGATCTGCATCTCTACCACTACTATCAATATATGCTATTGACTCATTTGCTTGGCATTGGGGCAACACTCGCCCCTTGTTTGACTTATATGACATACAGTATCCAAATGAACTACAATTCCACAAGTGGCAATTGAATAACAGCCTAGAACTTGCGGAACATAGCTGCCTACTAGCAATGGCTCGCTTCAAACTCTTTCGAGGTTGATTTTTTAGCATAAAGCTCGTGTTTCGAAGAGGTTCACAATTAAACCCGCTCAGCGATGTGTTTGGTTGTTCTAGTATTCTAAAGCTTACAGATCTATTACAATGTGTCACATATGGCTGGTACGCGCAATACGCAAGTCCCATTCTTTTACTCTAATACTGTGTGAAATGAGAAAAGTTTAACAAAACACTACAAGGCTATGCTGCAGCACCTCAATTACCTGAAGAGAAAAAAAACACCCGGTTAAAAGAAACCCTATTTCAAAAAAAAATGGAGTACTAGATTTCAAAACAAATTAGAAATCATATAAAGATATATTCCCCTCCAAAACCATGCTTCACCAATTCAAGCATTGATTCGAACAGCTTTGTGCATAATATCCCGTTGGATTACGTGATTTTACAAAAGCAGATTCTCACTAGCAAAAGCAGTCTACCACAAAAACGAATAAAATTCATGTCTAAATGGCTTAGGATCTCAATAAGCTTCAAAACAAATACTTGTAACAGATTAGGCACAGCTAGTCAGCTAGACATTGATCAAAACCAGTTCCTTCTCGCACGCATATGGCATAAATACACAAAGTTAGAGACTATCCCACATCGGAAAATTGAAAAAACTATAACAGATTTTTAAGCTCTTGATTTGAATTCAATCTTTTAATATGGTTCAGCCCAAATAAATAGCCAAATACATAGTCAATTCATGAGTCATAAGTTCATCAACGCCGGTGAGAGAGAGAGAACGTTAAAGCAAGCAGAGAACTGAACGGCGGTGGACTGCTCCGACGAGTGAGTGGAAGGTCGGAGGGAGGAAATCAATGGCGGAGTTGCAGAGGATGAATCGATGTTTTAGGTAGGGGAAATGATTGGATTGAGGTGAGAAGGGAGAAAATCAACGGCTCTGTGCCGCCAACGTTTGGATTATTTTATTTTTCACATTAATTCACAGGGCATAGCTTCCAACTTCCCAAATAAACTGTCTACTGGGAATTCATAATTTTTCTTTTTTGTTTATTTAAAAAAATTGACAAGAACTATGACATTGGGTTGACTAATAATTATTATTCGAATATCCCCTTCTCCCATAATTTTTTATATTTTAACATTTTTAGTCAAATTTAATAATTTTTAGGAGTAAATACTTATCCGATTATTAGAATGATAAATATTTATGAGTAGTGTCCGGCTCTATTATAATTTTTGTATAGTTGACAATATTTTTTGAAAGCAAATATAAACCGCTAAATGAGACAGAGTTAAGGGGATAGAATCCGGCACAATATAGGCCTTCCTTTTCTTCTGGCTTGGTCACAAATCTCATTAAAATATGGAGACCATCTAACATAATTTTTTTTAATGATATGGACTTTTAGCTCGTGATTTAATTCTAATTCTTTCATAGGTAAATATAGGGTCAATTTGGTATAAGGAATTGATAGATATGGAATTGAATTGGAATTAAAATTTCATGAGATTTAATTCCACGAAATTGAATTCACCAATTCCAATTCTTTTTTTGCACTGTCAATTCCAAATTCACATAATTTATGTGCTACCAAACACTAGAATTAGAATTTAGGTCTTCAATTGCAATTGCATAGTTTGAATTCTGTGTACCAAATGAGACCTTATTGTACTTTTTCTAATTCTAAAAACCTTTTCTATTTGACTTTTTTATTAAAGAGTAATACTCTTTGACCACAAAGTCTGATAAAAATATTTAATTATAATATAAATTAAATATAACTAAGTTCATCTTATGATATAATTTTGATATTGCAAATTTTTATATCAATTATCTATGTAATTTTGATATAATTCTGATATTTCAAATTTTGAGTTTATCTTAAGATATAATTTTAATATAATTTTGATATTTCAAATTTTGATATTTCAAAGTTTAACTTATGCTCAAAGATAATCAATGTTTAAAAAAAATAAATCAAAACAGAAATATTTTTAGGATCAGAAGAAATAAATAATAAAAGGAGTTACCATAATAAAATACGGAGTGATTAATTAATTAATCACCTAAGCTAAACAATGAGCTACAAATCTACAATACGCCACAAATTCCCTAAACTCGCTCTAATTCAAGAAACATGTGTCTCCCAATTAACAACCCATGACTTGTGTCCAATCACGTGTTTGGAAGTAAAACTCTACAAAATTTTGTACGATAGAACACATTATGAGATCTCTATTACTTCCCTAATGCAAATGTTTTCATCCTTAATTACTCTCATCCCATCCCAACATATGATGTTTTTGAGATTGTAAACCAAGAAATACAATTTATATATGTATAATAATTAGGTAGAAATAATTAAGATAGGTAAACTATAATAACAATTAAAACATATCACATGTAAAGATGTCGTCGTTCACAGGAACATTGGATAAATGCAAGGCGTGTGACAAGACCGTCTACTTCGTCGACTTGTTGTCCGCCGATGGATGTATTTTTCATAAATCGTGCTTCAAATGCAGCCATTGCAAAGGAACTCTCGTGGTAAGTTAATTAATTTTATGACGTAAGATAGATATTAAGTTTTTCATTCATTTGTTACAAGTAAAAATAATGTTAGATAAAGTTTTATGCCAGAATATTAACTTTCAAATTTTTCTAATTTCTTCCATCGATTTAAAAAAAGTGCTTATATTGACGAATATACAATAACATTATATATTCATATTTATAACATATCATCTTGAACACAGACAAGTATAAATTCTTTTTTTATCTAAAATCATAATTTTCTTACATTCATCATTTAATTAAGTTGTTTTTTAATTTTTTTTTAACATTTTCCAAATTCTTCCAATTTTTCCGTTTCCTTCGAATTTCTTCCAATTCTTTCCAGAATTGATGTTGTTTAACTTCAATTATTATTATTGTTGTTGTTATATATAGATGAGCAACTACTCTTCCATGGATGGAGTGTTGTACTGCAAGACCCATTTTGAGCAACTCTTTAAGGAGTCTGGAAATTTTAGCAAGAACTTCCAGACTTGTAGGTCCCCCTCTTCATATAATTTTAATGATACTACATAAATTGTTTTTTTAATTATTATTTTGGTAACATTTTTATTAATTACTTGATTCGGATTTTAATTAAGTACTAATTGTTCTTTTTTAAATTAAATCCTTTGAGCAGCGAAGCCTCCAGAGAGGGAGAACTCAATGGTACACAAATATTATTTTACTCATTGAATTGTGCACTTTTATTACATGTATAAATAATTAAATTAATCATGAAAATTATTAAATATATATATCAATGCGTGCAGACGAAGGGGTCAAGCAAATATTCGGCCATGTTCTCTGGAACTCAAGACAAATGTGCTGCTTGCACCAAAACTGTTTACCCTCTTGAAAAGGTTCTCTTTTATACTAAAGAAATATTAATTTTGAATCAACAAAATGTTTATTTTTACTGTACTGTTCATTCTTAAGCGTGCTCAACATAGTATTTTTTCTAAAATAATATAGCGTTCATTCTGAAATAATGTAATGTTCTTTTTGAAATAACGTAATATTCATTTCGTAATAACATGAAGTTCACTCTGAAACAACATAATATTTATTCTAAAATAATGTAATATTCGATTTGAAACATTTTTTAGTCTTTTGATGTATGAAGAGAAGGTATAGAGTGCCATATACTCCTAATAATTTGCCAGAAATTGAAGATATTAATTTAATTTACTTATGTACCATTTCGATCTGTGTTTAAAGGTGACGATGGAGGGAGAGTCGTACCACAGGTCGTGCTTCAAGTGCGCGCACGGCGGTTGTCCCCTGACCCACGCCACCTACGCCGCCTTAGACGGCGTTCTCTACTGCAAGCACCACTTCGCCCAGCTCTTCATGGAGAAGGGCAACTACCAGCACGTCCTCAAGGCCGCCACCCACAAGCCAAATCCTTCCGCCTCCGATAACGACGAGGCCGTCGACGACAGCCACTCCGCCGCCGCCGCCGCCGGAGACGACAACCGCGACAAAGACGCCGGTAATGAGGAATAATTAGTGAGTCACCCCACCGATGGACAGCCACCGTATATTGTTTTTCTCTACGATTAATTATCAATTACTCCCTAATTAATTCCCCTTTTTTTCTCCAGAATATAATTCAATATATATATATATATATATATATATATATACCATTTTTAAATCATTGTATTTAATTTTCCCATGGTCTTGAATTGGTTAGTTTATTATCTGTTGTTTTGATTTTTTTTCTTCATATTATTGTATTGTAAGTTTGTTGACCTCTATATATACGCTTCGTGTTTGTTTTGTAATGGCAATTGTTTGTAAGGTCTACACTCTGAAAAGTCAAATAAACTAAAGAGAAATCATCATAAACATTTTTAATAGAAATATGAACCTTAGTTTTTGGAGTGAAATAAGTCAATAGCAAAATGCATAGAGAAACCTGGCCTTTTTCACACTTTAAATAGAAATAACATGAAACCGAGAATCGAAAACTGAAACAGCAACCTCATTTTTTAGTTTTCACTGTGATTCTTTGACTTGTCAAATAATCCGGTTTAAGCGCAATTTTAGAATTTTGCAAGTTCCGGTTCCAATTTTGGTTCCAAACCGCATCCAATCAACCCCATAATTGAGCGAGTAGGGGCGCGAGCGGACATGTCACCCAAAGCATCCGAGGAGAGCCTTCTTGGGGACCTGCCCGCTTACCCGGAACTTGGCACCCATCTCTTCGACTTGAAGAAGTTCTTCGCTTCGTTTACAAAGAACTAAACTCTTCTTCTCCTCCGCTTCCTTGTGAACCAAAGCAACTTTGTTCTTCATCTTCTCACCGTGTTCCGCCTTTTTCCTTTCTATTTCTTCCTGCCGTAGAAACACCCATTTTAAGCTACAGAGTATAATATATGAACAATATAATCGTTATGCATCATTTTGAATCACACAATTTTATATTCTCTGTCCAAAATCAAATTAGGAGAATTTTTTGAGACATGGAGAGTGTATGTTATTATATTAATCTTACCTCCATTTTCTTCAATTTTGCTTCTATGCTTGCCTTTTTAGTGTTCTCCCAAGACAATACTTCAGCTAGATTAATCTGCGTTCTGAAAATATAAAATTATGTAATTCAAAGCGGTGGGGTTCTCATGTCATGGAATGAACTGGGGACGCTTCAGTGCCCCGTTCATAAAATTAATTAACGGTTCTTACCCCCTTAACCCCCGATAAACCCCCCTCCCCACCCCGACCCGAACACACCAGGCCTTCACCCTCTTCAATTGCATCCCCAAATTAATTTTTGATTTTGGAGTTAATTTTTGAGTAGCATTTTGGGAATTTACTCTTTTATTTTGTAAAATTGGAAAAAAATTGAATAAAATGAAATGAAAACTTAAGAATGGGATGAAGGGAGCCTACTTGTTCTCAATTTTGCTTTTTTCACCGTCTTCCCATGCCTTTATAAAGGATGTTCTTTTTTCATCCTCAATCTTTGCTAGAGCAATATCTGGAGCCAAAAAGAGACAGCTTTAAACCATTTTTTTTAACTAATTAAGGTTACCTTATTATATTTAACTGATTTCAATTATATTGGTGCAACAAAATACTTCCTCCGTCCCAAAAAGATTTACACCTTTCAAAAAAATTGTGTCCCACAATCTCTTACCCATTTCTATTAAAAAACCACTTTTACCCATTACTTTTTCAAACTCTACTTATCACATCATACCTTTTTTCTAATAATCTACACATCACATCCTACTTTTACCCATCATATCAAGGGTATTTTTGGAAAGTCAACACAAAATTATCCCTCTCTTAAATTTTACTTTAGTCAAAATGGGTAACACTTTATGGGACGGAGGGAGTATAATAATTAAGGTTACCTCTATTGAGAGATCCCTTTGGGGTGGTGGTCATTGGATGATCAAGATTCTCTGGCAATATACAACTGATTAAGTACTGAATTTTAAAACTAATGTTAAAAGTGAAAATGCGAAAGAACAAAATCATTCGAAATTGTAAACTTATAGTTTTAGGTTTAGTAAAGATTTTCTATGGCCTCTCATGTACAAGCGAGATGTTTTTGTTCGTAAACATTATTTTTTGAAATTTGATGACATTGAATTTTGAACTACTACGTGGCACTCCTTAATTTATAAGAACACTTCCTCTTTTATTTTTTCCATTTCCAACAAAACACTTCCCTTTTCTTTTAAAAAACCACTTTTACCCCTACTTTTTGATACCCTACTTATCACATCATACTTTTTCTCTAATAATCTATCCATCATATGTTACTTTTACTCATCACATCATGGGTAAAATTGGAAATAAACTATAATTTAACACTTTCTTATTTTTGCCCCCAAATCAAATGTGAAAGGTTTTTCCAAACGGAGGGAGTATATATCATGTCAAGGGACATATTCAACTTAAACTAAAACTTATGATTAAAAATCAAATAAAAATTTGGGTGATGAAAATTACAGCACCAGATAGTAAAATTATCAAAATAAAAGTAACTTTTTATAATCTAAATAGGAGTTCACAAACTACGTATTTTTGATACTTTAAAAAGAAACAGAACAAGTAATTAAGCTACATAGATGAGGCAAAGAGATCGAAAATTTAATTTACGACACCTGATTTCTGGGGGACAACGTCTTTGGTTGGGAGGGCGGCGGAGGCGAGAGGTGGTTCTTCTGGTTTAAGAACGGTGGCTTGCGGAGGAGCGGCCGGTTTCTCCGCTGCCGCCGGCGAAGCTACCTTTGTCTCCATGTAAAGAATTGAATGTGTTTTCTCCAAGTTTCGTATATATCTTTATGCTCCGTGAATGTCGGATTGGGTCGAGTAATAAAGAGGGAGTAAATGTATAGCAGTATAGGCGAGGAGGACACGTGGTTGACCGACAAAAGCCATTGGGCTGCTTAGTCCTTCCCTGAGTGTTTGTTCACTTTTGACTTTTGGAATTGTTCATCTAAGCATTTTGACTCATCAAATTCTATCATTGTATAAGCTTAAAAATAGTCATGTGTGATCTTGTTTGATTCGTCTTAACATATACTCCCTCCGTCCCACTCTCTTTGTCCACTTACCTTTTGGCACACCATCCAATGCACTTCTTTAATCCATTTTATCTTGTAATTTGTATATTAAAAAATTATAGAAATTATATATTAATAATCTATATATTAAGACAAATCAAACAAGATCACACATGACTATATTTAGGCTTACACATTAAGAGAATTTGAAGAGTCAAATTGCTTAGATGAACAGTTCCAAAAGTCAAAAGTGGACAAAGAGAGTGGGACGGAGGTAGTAGATTATTAATATATAATTTTTATAATTTTTTAATATACAAATTACAAGATAAAATGGATTAAAGAAGTGCATTGGATGGCGTGCAAAAATGAAAGTGGACAAACACTCAGGGACGGAGGGAGTATATGTTTGCCACGTACGCTTCTCCAACGCGTGGTTTCCGCTGCTTTGTTTGCCGACAAATGATCCACGTCGAGTTAGATGAAGGTCGAAACTCACTTGTCCAAACTCCAAACAAAAATCATTATAAAAATATATTCTTCTTTTATTTTTTGTGCACCTTATAATTTTTTTAATTATGTTTACAATGTTTAAAATTCATCTCATTTCTTTTTTATTAAATTGTGCGTGTAATCAAATTTTGATTTTTTATAAAAACATAGTAAGTATTAATTTTTCTCGCTCGTTTTAATTAAAACTATAAGTCGAAGATTAACTTTGATTGACTGCAAATGTTTAGACTTGACAATTTATTTGGTACTATGATTAATCTTTGATGTATAATTTCAATTTAAATTGTAGCGAAAGAAAAATACTCACCATGTGTTTATGAAAATTCAAAATTTGGCACACCTTAAAGTGGGAAGAGTATTGAAAAAAATTAGATCGATAAAAGCAAGATCGAGTAACTTATATATTATTATTAAAAGATTAAACTAATAAAAGTAAAGATGATTTATTGTTACTAAACAATAGACATACATGAAATATAACTTAATTTTATTAAAAAGGTTTTTCACATGTATTTATAATAAAAATGAAAAAAATACATGAATTAATGGTAAAGCAAATGAAAAGATCAATTGTGTAACGTTTTAATGACTTGAATGCATGACTAATCGCAAGCTTTTAAAAGCTGAAGCCTTGAAAGTCTAACCATGCATATATGTTATGGAGTAATACATTAACTTAAATGCCTTACGGTGCAATTTCTAAGTAATTTTTTTAAATACAGTAAAATCAAAATATCAAGAATTTTATAAGACACACGAAATATATAGTAGAACTTGTACACTAGGTATATAGTTGAGCTTTTTGTTTGTACACGTGCATGTTTGCATTTAAACTTAGAGTGAGAAGAACTTTTTTCAATTCTCAATAGGATCAAAAAATAAGAAAATACCAAAATAAAAATCTTAATTCATTTAAGACCAGAAGTAGTAGTGTAATGTAAAAGTGTGTCTTGACAATGTGATAGAAAGTGATGACATAATGTTAGATGTGAGTGTGATCAGTCAACTATTGATATCTGTGGTGGCACTCTGATGGTTGACAAAGATGGATGATAGTGTGGCAATGATAATGTGACAGTTGCAATATGACAATGTAGTGAGTGTGGCAGTGAAATATTGTCAATGTGAACTCTTATATTGTCAATGTGAACTCTTATGATTAAGACTCTAATTTTGATATTTTTATAGTTTTTTATTCTTATTTTGGCCTTAAGATTATATGATGGCGTGAATGAGAAAGATATGAAGAATTATTATTGGAAAAAGGAAAATATTGAGAGAAAAAAGAAAAATTGGCAAAATTATATTTGTATCAAATTAGATTATTGAAATCAAATCAGATTAGATTAGAGAAATCTAATCGGATCAAACTAACAGAAACTAACGGATTATAAGGCCCAGTTTGTATTTATCAAATTTTTTCCGGAAGACAACCTCCGTCTTCTGTTCGCTCCCTTCCGGCTTCCTCGCGTCGTTGTCATCATCACCCGCCCTATTATTTCTTCATTGTCTCTTCTGCTCGCTCAATCCTCCTCCTCTTTCCTTCCGTTCATCCCCGTCTTCCTCTGTCCATCCAAGACTCCATCGCCACCATTCCCTCGCCGGAAAAGGTAACAATCCCCTTTTAATTCGATTCAATTGCTTAATTTCGTTAATGTTTATCTTTTTCAGATCTTTTTCCTGTTTTGTTGATTCAGAATCTTAGGGGTATGATTTTGATGGCTAATTGAAGCAAAAAAAAAAGAAAAGAAAACTTGAATCCTTATCCTTTTATTGGAAAGTTTTCGATGATTAATCAGAATCATTGATGGGTTTGGTGTTTTTGGTTGAAATATCTTTGATGATTAATTGAAGCAGAATCTTTTCTTGATAATCACGATGATTTTCAAACACAGAAATAGACAATGTTATGATTTTCCCTTCAGGACGAATTTTGTTCGATTAAATTTATCAGGAGTATTATTCCTTAGCTCCAGAAGTATAACTTCTGTGTGATTTTCCTGAAGGGTGTTGTCCATTTTGTTCGATTGAAGCTAAGGAAGACAGCTTGAGTGTTGCTTCAGGAGTATTATTCATTTTCCAGAAAGTGAACCAAACGGAAAAGGGCAATTCTCTGACTTTCAGCCAAACATCTGTTCAGGAAAATGACTTCGGGAAAATAACTCATTTTCTAGAAGTCATTTTTCTGAAGTCGTTTTCTCCCTTTCCAAACAGACCCCTAATCTCAGTACTATATGCTGCTGCTTCCAAATGCCTGATTAATCAAAGTGTTAGGTGATAGATGATGTGGTTGTTTGTTCACTAATAAGTGATTCCGAATTAGTGTTTCTAATTTGAAACTATAAGTTCATACCTATGCAACTTTTTTTGTGTGGATTTCTATTGGATGCGTATGATTATATGTTTGGATTCAAACTTTTTGAACCAATATGTTCCCAACTATCTGATGCCACTTTTTTTTGGACTATCTTGTTCAGAAATTGAACATGATGATGCAAGAAACTCCAACCATGAAACCACCTCCAAGCATGGAACTGCCTGCAAGCATGGACCCACCTGCAGCTGATGCTGAGGTACAACCTGAAACACTTGAAGAAGTGAAAGAGGAAGGCCCAATGTTTCCCTGCAACCTTTACGACGCAGAAATGGTCCATAAGATAGCACAGGAATTTCTCACAGGTCTGGCATCTGCCTGTGTTGACAACACAACAGGTGGCATATTTAAGAGCCCTGCCTCTGTGGCTCTTGATGTAAGAAGAGAGATGGTGGACTATCTTGTCCAAAGAAGTGAGACTTTTGTGGCAGAATCCGTGGTCTTGGAAGGCGACTCCATTGTAGAAAAGCCCACTGATGCATTTGATATCATCTCTGACTTGATCGACGATTTTGCGCATTCAAAAAGGAATTTTTTCAGCCGCGTATCCGGGTGGGTTCTGAGTGATAGGAGAGAAGATAGGATAGATGACTTTGTGCAGGAGATGGAACTGAATGGGTTTTGGTTGATTGGGCGGAGGGAGTCGGTTGCCTTGACTTTGCTTAGAAACGTTGATGTCAAGAACACGTACCATTGCAGTGTGAAATTTAGGTCCCAAGAAGACCTCGAACAGCATCTTCCATCTTGCAGTTTCAGGGTCATGAACTGTGAGAATGAGTGGTGTAATGCTATATTTGTTGCAGGCCATGTGAAAAAACATGACTCTGCTTGTCCTTTCAAAATTCTTCCGTGCGAGCAGAAGTGTCCAGAGAGCATAATGAGACGCGACATGGACAGGCATTGCATTACCGTTTGTTCGATGAAACTTGTGAACTGCCCCTTCTACCCCGTAGGTTGTCTGTCCACAGTCCCACAGTGCTACATAGGGGACCACCGGTCTGAAAACCTCCAGTTTCACCTAGTTTGCATCTTGAAGCTTGTTCACAAGGAAGCGTCTGCCGAAGCTCTGAAGAGAAGAGCAGAATTGTTGATGGAGGTCAGTTTGGGCTGTCCTGTATTTCTCATTCCTCTTTCTATTTCAGAAACAAAACGTGTACTCATGGTGGCAATTAGCTCTAATACTCCCTCCGTTCCATATTTCTTAATACATTGAAGAATGAATGAATGTAGACATACTTCATGTCTACATTCATCCATCTCTCAATGTATCAAAAAAGTGTTAATAGACAGTTAATTTTGAACGGAGGGAGTATGACGTATCCACGGCGGCATTTATGTGTATATGTCTAAAAATTATCACTTATACAGTTTTACCCATTAACATATTGTTATAATTGAAAAGGGACCTCCGCGTGAAAAGCTAGCAGCTGCTCGGGATGCTAGAGCTCTAACCTTCGCAATCAAGGATCTCGAAGTTAAGCTTGGGCCTTTAGAAGAAGTGAAACCAAGTGTGGATGAAGAGAACTCAACAGCCAATGAAGAAGACCTTAAAGCTTTAGAGAATGAGGGTGCCAATAGAGATGAGCCGAGTGCATCTACGGATGAAGCAAAGCCAGAGGAGTCAATCCCCAAAGGTCAGTGTTCTCTTGAAGAGACCATTAAAAACGAGGAACACATACTTGAGAAAGAAAAGGTGTCGATTTTACCCCTGAAAGAAGAAAAGCTCGAAGAACAATCCGGGTTGAACTAGATCATCCGAAACTCCCTAAAACTCCACATCTAAAAGGAAAAACAGTGCATTTATAGATTCTTTTCAATACCCTGTGGACTTGGACATACATAAAGCATATAGTGACAAACACATAAACCTAATTTTCCCCAAATGCCATTCTTTGGAGAATCAGAGAGAGGCATAACTTGGTAATCTCAGAACTCTTGACATGCTGTAGAGGCTTTGACCTGTGGGTTTTTACTCTTTAGCTTCCCTCCCAAACATACTCACATGTCTTTGTAAACATTCTTTGTCCAGTTATTGGACACAAAATTCTTAAATTTGCCTTGTTTGAATTCATCAGTTTTTCCCCCCTTCCCTTTTGAGTTTGTTTGTATTGATTGAAAAGATAGTCAATGCTGGGGATAGTCTTGTTGTAATTTTGCCTTATTTATGATTCGGGTTTGTCCTGCAGTTTGGACATTGAAATGACATTATTTGTGCTCATATTCCCGCGCTATTCACTACATTGAAAGTACATATAGCCCTTGTGTATTTAAGATTGGAAATTTGATGACAAAAAATATACTCCCTCCGGCCCCATTTCATTTTCTTAGTTGCTATTATTTGAAGATTTTATTTCATATTTTTTTATGAGCTCATTTTTAGATTTATTTAGTTTTACAAGACCGAATACATACAATAATTACTCTGTACATCGGCATATACGGAGTATATATTAAGTTCTACTCCGTATAAAATAAGTGCGAACCAGAAAAAAAGGTTCATTTATGAAAGGTGAAATTGTGTGAAATATCAAACGAAAGGATAATTTTAGGATGAAGAGAGACTCAAAATCTTTTCATAAATTACTCCATCCGTCACAATTTCAATCACATGTTTGGGTTTACAATGTATGACTTGAGTTATTTTCAAATCATTTTATTTGAAAAAAGATGTAGAATTAAAAAACAAAAATTACATATTTTACAACTACATCAAAAGATCTACAAAAGTAATGGCGACATGACCATATTATTGGATCAAATTATTCTAGCAAATAACAAAAGAAAGTGAATAAAGTTTGATCATGAGAATAGTTCACATGCAATTTCATTTGAGACGGAGGGAGTAAATCATGTTCATATAATTCATCCACGTTTTCTGGCCGATAAATACTAAACCAATAAATATAATTACTCCATCTTGAGTATTTGTCCACATTTGAATTTTTTCTATCAAAATTGTTAAACTTTGACATTAAATTTATAAAAATGGTATTAAATATTGATACAAAAATGATTTTATTAGCTTTATTATTTCAAATATTATCAAAATATAATTTTATCTAATTAATACGGAATATACAAAAATTATCTTACTTAATTAAAGATCAAAAGCTAAAAATACTTGATCAAAAAAAGTCAAATTTAGACAAAAACTTATGGACTGAAATCATTGCAAGGTATGAGACTTGTCCCACATCGATTGTATGAGCAATTGATGTGGGGTTTATAAGCCAAAAGGGTTCCCTCACCTATCAGACTAGTCTTTTGGGTTGAGTTATTCCGTTTGGTCTGTAACAGTGAGATATAAATATATAACTGGCAGGTCAAATATTTTTTCGGCTCAAATTAATATCCCGCCGTACAAAATGCTAGGGGTACACCAAAAGTGTACTCCATTTGTCCCCACCTCCTCCTCCACCACATAAATGGGCAAAAACTTTTAAAAAAATTAAATAAATAAAAATTAAATAAAAATATATGGTGAAGAAGGGTTTGGAGGACAAATAGGATATGGTGTATTGCTCCTCGGCCTAAATCGGGGATCGGAGTAGAAAGCGCGTCAACATCATGGGTGCCTATATATGAAATCCAATAGGGTTGCCTCTTCGTAGATTACCGCTTAGACGTTGGCTGCCCCGTGCTCCCACATCCGGCGAGAGTCATACCACATAAATCAACTTCAAGTCCGCTTCTTTATTCTCCCAGATTCAGGCGAGTTTTGTTTTTTTTTTCCTTCGATAGTTAGAATGCTCTTTTACGGGGGGAATCTAGATCTATTTAGGGTTTTTTTGGTTGATGAAGATAATAAAATTGTTGTTGTTTCATTCCATATCAAACAAAAGAAACTTAATATACCAAGAATCTATTTATTTATTTATTTAATTAATTTTTTTTTGTATCTTAATAGCAATGATTAGATAAATCAATCAATCCATCACTGCAAGGTTTGAGCTCATCAGTCAAAACTTGGGGGTAGAATTTAAAGTTCATACCTTTTAGGGTATGCTTTGATGTGAAGCCAACAACTATTGGCTTGATGAACACAGATGCTGTTACTCTTTCCCAGGAGTTGGACAAAAAAGATGGGGAATTTTAGGTTTAGGTAAAATATTTGGAAAGATTAGTAGTCTATTGAGGGATAATTCTTAAACCTGGCAAAATCTTCCTCCAAAACATTATACCGGACAACATCATTCTGATATCATCGATCATGACATATACAGGCATACTCCTCTGTCACAATATTGTTGAGATCTATTTAAGAAACCCTAAACTTATTTTGAGATGAAGTTACAAAGTTGATGAAATTAAAATGAAATTGATCTAGAGATATATAGGAGCATAGTTTGTGGTTTACTTTTATATAGGTGCATAATTACTTTTTTTGCTAACTAATAGTACTTGGTTGGAGTGGCCTTGTCAGGAGCTAGATGGATACTAAGATGAGCAACAGCGAGTCTCCCCGGGTGTGGTATGTGAGGCATTTTTTTTATTATTTGATTTGATTAAGCGGTTTTCGTCTGTGTGGTGACATATTTTGGTTGTGATTTGCGACGTGCAGCAGGTTCACCTTGTGCCCAATTGCTCCGGAGGATAACCAAGCTGTTCGCATCAAGTTTGCTCATCTGGGCAAGGATGGAGTTTTCAATAAAAGGATATCGACAGTTGATTTCTCTGCATCGGCTCGAGATAGGGTATGGCTTTACTTTGACTCCTTATATGCTAAGCATAGTATTATTATTATAACTGTGTTTGTTGATCAAGATGGAGATTGTTTGTTTGTTTCTTTGTTTCTTTGTGCTATGCAAATGCTAATAAGGGCTCTTTGTTGCATGTCGTGTTTGTGTTTAATTACGACTACATGTACTGCTGCATGGATGCAGGGCATGTCAGACTGCAATCTTGACGATTTCTCATCACATCTGGCAGCAGCGGATAACATTCATTTTGAACCTTTCCACCGTTTCTGGTTGGAAGAACGGCCCTAGTTCGATGCGCTTGATCCGTTGGAAGTGTTGGACGCGCTTAATCCGTTGGAAGAGCCTTTTCGGATGGGAAAACACCAAGGGAACAACAAGAAGAGGAGAGCGGACGACGATGCAGCCAAGGACGACAATGGCGATGCAAGTCCTGCTCCTGCCGTGGACATGGAGTATTAATCTTATTTGTAGTAAATCATCTGTTCACCTGTTTTGTATTGTTGCTCTGGAACATGTAAAACTAAATTATTTGGTATGCATATTTTGTGCATGTGTGTTTTGTGGCATTGCTGAGCTAACTTAACTGGTGGCCTAGTTTGTGGTGCCTAGTGGATGTATGTCCATCATCATAGACCATATGTCACATACATACACTAATTATAAATTTCATGATTTCGCTTCATAAGCAATAGGCATAATGCAGTCCGTTAAGCGTTCTACCAACCCAAAATCCGTGATTTTTTAATATATTTTTTTAAATAATCTATGTTAAATAATCTTGCATTATATTTTCGTGGTCTGTCAAAATTAGTCAATTTTTTTTTACGTGACATAGCTACTTCTAGACAGTGAAGCCCAAGCAAGGAGCTATGGAATAATACAAAGAGAGGTTATCATTTTCCAAACCGAACGATTAACACTATGTTTGGTTCAAGGAAATTGGAAGGAAAAGAAAAGAAAATAATTTTCCTTCAGTTTCCTCACCAAAATGAGAGGAATTTGGTTTTCCCTCATTTTAATACATTTTGTCTTTTCATTTTCTTTTCCTTCCACTTTTCTTGCCTTTTCCTCTCTAACCAAACAAGAAAATTGTTTTTCTTCTCATTTTCTTTTTCTTTCCCTCTCAAATTCCTTGAACCAAACATATTGTAAGTATTATAGCATTTGCTTTTATACGAGAATTGTTATAGATAGTAATTCTGTGAATTCAAATTGTTGAAGAATGAGGAGGATGAGGGCAAGACAAGTACTTTCACAATCACACAACGTAGTGAGGTTGACAAGAATTCTAGAAGCGGAAATTTGAAAATTACAAGCACCAAACCATTACTTGCTGAAAAAGAAGTTTGTTTTGCCATAACAAAAAAAGAAATTGTTCATTATTACATACAGAGTAAAATAATAGTCCACTTAATCTTTCTTTTTTACCACTGGGTGAATGCTAAAATTGTATTAATTCATTGAGTGCCCAGATTAGATTATCATCATTCATAAAAAAAAATAGAAAGCCATAGTTTACATAAAATGAAGTGAAAGTGGATAAAAATAGTGGGATAACTATAAAAAAAAAAGAAAAGTGGACAAAAATAGTGGGATGAATGTAGTATAATTATACATTCTTAAGAGTGAATGTTATTCTTTAGGGCTAAGTTAATGGTTTCATTACTCTAAACAGCATGAAGGCACCGAGGACATTGAACATATTGTTATGCAACACTTTCAGGATGCTGGAATGCGTTGTACTACAAACCGCTGATGAGATGAACAATAATCTCATACCACCTATTATATAGATGAGGAAGAAATCAAAGGAGCCTTCTTACAATGTTCTTTCTAATTTTCTCTCATTTGAGAACCGACTTAATGTAATCCTCCAATGTGTTTCGCCCCCTACGGTTGCATTGTCTTCGTTTGAACTTAATAAATTTGATTCGAATTTTTTAAGGGTAATCTGATTTGAATTGATCTGATGCGATTTGGTTTTGTTGTAAGGTGAAGAGAACACGACCTAGTTCTTAGTCTGAGTGTATGTCTCAATTTTCAGAGTAGAAGTAATACCAGATTGAAGTTTTCACTTCTCTCATCTTTAGCTTGAGAAGTCGTAGTGCAATGTAAATTTGAGAGGAATCCTATATCTACCAGTGAATTTTAAATCATGAGGTGGGTTGAAGTGGAAGCCTCTAAAGTCACATCATTCAAAAATGGAAAGAAAAAATAAATGAGAGATTTACTTCCCCTATATGTTTAAGGGAGGAAAACAATCAAAAACAGATTTCTACTATCCAGCTTTCATCCACAACACCATCACAATGATTTTCAAAGAGGAACTTGTATGCTATTCACACATCTTCATTTGTGCTTGAACGAGAAGTCAATCAATGCTCGGGGGCCAAACGCAAGAAATTGGGCCAAAACTGGAGCTGAATTCAGGTGCTTCCTCCTCTTCCAGTTGCTCTCCTCAAGTTCGTCTTCAGACACAAATTGTTCAAACGGAAGATTAGGCCAGATGGGTCCTTGTGGAATTTCTCCACGGATCTGAAGAAACCATCCTTGCAAACAGCCAGAAAACATAACCAATGCTTTGCTTTGACTTGTTATTTGCAGGAATAGCAATGTGGACATGGGGGACTGAGGAATCAGTGTTACACAATGCAATGACAGAGATGTTGAGGTCGGCCACGATTGCTTCTTGGATAGAGATAGAAATACCCCGTATATAACTTGGCAGGTCAAATATTTTTTGGGCCCAAATTAATATCCCGCCGAGGCTCGTTTATACATTCCCGCATTGCCCTTCGTCCTAAATCCTAATCCTGATCGGAGTAGAAAGCGCGTCAACATCATGGGTGCCTATATATGAAATCCAAAATCATTCACAAATCATCAGAATCCCTTACGGAGTTACGGTAGTCTCTCTAGAAACCCTAAATTCACAGTCATGGCTGACACGATGATACTCCGAATCCTCGGTAGTCTCACTAGTAATCCTAAATTCACAGTCATGGCGAACACGATGATACTCCAAACCCTCCACGCTGACCTCCGGCGGATGTATGTGAACAAACTCCACTTGGTCAACAATGAAGATGATCGTAACTTGCGTTACGCCTTCTACTTTGGCGGTATGCATAATTCTTATTATCAACGTATTTTTCGTATTTTATCTTGTTTGATTGGTTTTGCTCTAGGGGTGGTCAATTGATTGATGATTTTAGGATATCTTCGGTCTCTATTGTGATTTTACTTGCTTCTCCGAGCTAGATTTTTGTGTAATGCTTTGCTGTTTGTACTGTTATAGTCTTTACAGCACTGAGTTGTACATAACCGAGTTAGGAGTAGTTATGTATGTATGTATGTTTCGAAAGCCCTTTGATTTGCTTTCTAATTTTTTTTGGCGTTATTATATGTTGCAGATGATGTCGTTTTTAATCTGGTCAGAACATGGGAGAAAACCTTGTTGGCTGCGAGGGCCGTAGTTGCAATCGATGATCCTAAGGACATTGTTGTCCTTTCCGCTAGACCATTTGCTCATAAGGCTGTCTCAAAATTTGCTGAAGTAATTGGTGTTGGGATTCCTCCAAGTCCCACACCGGAGGGAGAAGTAAAAATGGACCAAAATATATAGGTTCACCCAAACCCATTAGTATGAGGCCTTTTGGGAGGTGCCCAAAAACAAATCCGTGAGGGCTTGGCCCAGAGCGGACAATATCATACTAATGCGGGGTTGGGGTGAGGGCACGCGCAGTCCCAACATGTGGTATCAAAGCCCAGGTTCTTGCGGGCGGGAGTAGCGGACTGTGCAGTGTGGAAAAATCTCGGTGTGACGGTGTAACTAGGACCAAGACCAAGAAAGAGGATCTGCAAGTGGTTGCAGGTGGTGCCTTGTGTCGAAAGTCTTCCCGACGAGAGGAGGTCGGGCGGCGCGTCCCGTGAAGTTATAGCCACGGCGGTACAAGATGATTTGGTGGATCAAATGGTGTAGCCCAGCGAAGGAAAGATCTGCAGTTCGAGCCTTGCGTCGAAAGTCCCAAGACTTTTGCTCAACAACTCCATGATTCATCCCTCAAGCCTTGCCTCTTAATCGTTGCTGATCCGACAACTGATCGCCTGGCTATCCAAGAAGCATTCCTGGCTGACCTCAACATCCCTGTCATTGCATTGTGTGGCAGTGATTCCTCATTCCGCCATGTTGACATTGCTATTCCTGCAAACAACAAGTCAAAGCAAAGCATTGGTTATGTTTTCTGGCTTTTTGCAAGGATGGTTCTTCAGATTCGTGGAGAGATTCCACAAGGACACATCTGGCATGATGTTCCGGTTGAACAATTTTTGTGTGATGATAGACTTGAGGAGCAACCTGAAGAGGAGGAGAAAGTACCTGAACTGGAATTTTTACCGGTGCCAGACTTGCAACTTCCATGGCCATGCGGGCCGCGGGATAATGGAGGTATATTCTTTTTTGTCATGGCTTGTGTTGATTATTTCCAAAGTTTTAGCTGTAATTAATGCTCTCCCTCTCTCTTTTTTTTGGATGGCTGCATATAAAGACAACCCCCCACCTGCTTCATGGGCAACTACTGTTTGTCCAGGAGGTTTGTGCCCTGCTCTCGTATATATAGAATCTATCATGCTTCATGATTGTTGCAAAGTTTTATTTAAGATTAGCTCTGAATCCCTGTGATAGAACATAACACTACAAGAAATGAAGCCAGGAATGACATATTTTTGAATCATTTATGACATTTAAAAGTGTTGTTAGAATAGATATTGACACTTTTTAAAAGTGTCATCGTTTTCTATTTCACAAAATTAAAGTATGACACATCAATCGTCATTAATGTTTATGATACTTATAAGTGTCGCCAAGAATATTGAGGGTTCTTTTTAAAGCAACAAGAATTTTACATTATGACACTTCTAGTTATCAAAAAGTTTTATGACATTTTTAAGCATCATAAAGAGTCTTTATTAATTTAAATGGCATGACACTCTCATTAAGTGTCATAAAAAAGTGTCATTACTGGTTTTTTTGTAGTGTAAGTTGTTGGGGTCCAACCATATAATTGTTATACTCTTTCATGTAATAGGTTGAGGATGGTGTGTATAGTTATTACTATTGTAGGCACGATGTTTCATTGATGAGTTTGGCCTTCATTTTGTTTTTTTTTGGGTTTTTACGTTTTGCATTTTGTTGCTAAGGCTGGAAATGCATGGGAACATCATTTATTTAATTTGTTGTTGGCCAACCAATTACAAAACATGTGCTAACCTGGCTGCTCGTGCAGATAGCGAAGCTGAATTGGACCCTGAAGAATACCATGGAACAACCAATATTGAAGAAGAGGAGGACCACCTTGGGCATGCAGATTGAAATTGTGATTTTGTGAATTGATCTTATGGCTTTGTGAATGTTGTAATAATCTTATGGCTGATTGTAATTGTGGGGATATTGTGGTAATTGCAATCAATACCAGCACTGGTCCCTTTGAACATTTATAATTGTAGTAGTGGTAATCTATGTGGTTTCATGAATAGCACATGAATGATTAGTGTATTTATCTATGTTATGGAATTTGTGATTGTTTATGTGCTTGGCTTTACTGAAGTGATGATGCTCTTTTAGCTACTATATTTACACTGTGTTTGGTTCAAGAAATTTGGAAGGAAAAGAAAAAAAATGGTTTTTCTCTCATTTTCCTCACCAAAATGGAAGGAATTTAGTTTTCCCTCCACTTGGAACATTTTGCCATCTCATTTTCTTTTCCTACCACTTTTCCTTTCTTTTCCCCTCTAACCAAACAAGAAATACAGTTTTCCACTTCATTTTCTTTTCTTTTCTTTTTCAAATTCTTTGAACCAAACATAGTGTTAAAGTTCCTCACCCAAGATTCGCTGCTTTCTATTTTCTTGCACGCTATGTATATATAGGGAGGATGAAAGAGTTTGTTTGTAAATTGTTTTATCTAAGAATTTTTCACAACTTGGTGTTTCATGACTCCCTTCTCCGGAAACTATCAAATCTGATAATGAAGTGGCATGCAATTCTGAGCCTGTTCTTGCCGAGGAAGTGCACCCACTATCAAGGTTGGTTCTGCATGCGGTGGAACTTCTGTTTTGGATAGTAACTCAGACGCCAATGCTGCTGCCGAAGAAGTAGGAATTTCTGTATCTTCTCCCGAGAAAGATATCATTATGCCCCTGAATTTTGATGAAATTAATTCTTCTGCAGAACTGGAGGTACATCGTCAATTATCATAGCAATTGAAATACACATCCATTTTAATCTCCTGTCCTTTGTTCATTGATATAGTGGAAGCTTTTGATACCATTGTGGATGTGTGAGGATTTCAAAAATCCAAGATATGGAATTGTTGCCGATTTGTAAAATTGTCATGGGAATCAGTTCCTCTTTATAGCAGAAATGCAACATAGTAAATGCACTGAATATGGTTAATTATCAGAAAATCTTAGTGGCATGGTCATTTTGATGCAATGCAATAGTATTGGTTAGTTACCTGAACAAATTTTCAGTTGATGATAATAATCTTTTCTCAGCTGAGCTAGATAATGTTGATTTGTTGTTGTATGCAGTTCGTAGCTGATTTTCTCTTTATCTTTTCTTTTTTTCTGTATGCTTGATTTAGGTTCTTGGCATGGGTAGGCTAAAATCAGAAGATCTTCAAGCTCGGGGGTTGAAGTGTGGGGGGACACTGCAAGAGCGTGCATCCAGGCTTTTCCTTCCTTCTGAAAACCACGCCTTTGGAAAAGCCTCCAAAGAAGCTGTTTTGCAAGAAAGGAGTTAGTAGTTGTTTGACACCGTGTTGAATGCAATATGGAGGACACGAAGTTTGTCTTTCTTTATTTCTTTATTTTTGGTTCAGAAAGAATACATTAATGAAAAGTATCCCAATCATACTACATACCACCCGCGATTGGTACTCCTTGTATCCCTATTTTAATTGCTGTAAAACATAACTATGGCAAAATTTCCACTACCATGTTTGCTTGTTAAATTAAATTTATAAAAAAAAATGCTTGACTTGCAAGTTCCAATGTGGCTTAGTTAATCATTTTGTTAGAGTTGAAACAATACCCTCCTTTTCTTGACAGAAAAGAAGGGATGAAGTGCTCATAGTGACATATATATAAATGGTATTTCAGAGTCGCAAATAGCTGCTTTTGCAAAGTTGCATCAGGTCAGGTATTTGTGAACACAACAAAGGGAGGAAGTGGGTTCCCTACAAAGCGGACATGTAAAGGTTGGCACTGCACTTGGAAGCTGCCGGCCATCAGTCTTCAAACACATGCTTTGAATTCAAGCCAATGTAGTTAGGTACACAAACACATACATGCGTACATAATATATAGTCACTCGATCCATTGCAGAAGTTCATGAATTTAGAGAACATTATATACCTTCATTTAACTGTAAGTTGGTGTTGATTGCAACTGCGTGTCGGGCTACAATAGATTTAGGCTGCCACTCATTCTCCTTCCCCTTCCATGACTTAAAATCAAGGACCACTGTAAAGAATGTGTGAAAGAAATGTTAATTTATAAGAGAAATACTCCGTATGTATAAGTGAATAAATGGTTGTGCTGTGAGATCAATGGTAAAAAATATAGATAATGATGATACACCGCCGGTTAAGTTGATAATCACAGTCAAAGAGTTGGGTAAAACTAGTTACTTTGGGTGGTGCAATCTTGGAGATGTTTGATATCGAAAATTGCAGCAGTTGTTCCTTCTGCTCTCTTCTTCACCTCATGGGACCCCAGCAACTCATAGTCCCAACTCCCATCCTGGTACCCCTCACTCAAGAACAACTCGATGTGCCTTGCATCTAGTGTTTGCATAGTTCCTGCATGCATTATTGTAAACACACTCATATGATCGTTTTACCAGTCCCGTTAATCTTTATAGCATGCTTCCAAACAATACAATGAGAGCACTTGTCATTGAGATGTAATTTGCTTACCGTCACAGGTATTGAGGTCACAAACTGAGCAATGAACAAGTTGTAAATCTGTGAGAGCAGAGATGAGATCATTCACTGGTGATATGCGTGTATACTGCTCTCTTCATATATATGGAGTACTTTATCTGTGAAACTAGCTGAGTTGAAATGAACTAACCAGCAAGCCAGATGCCACTCCTGATAGGACTTGCCACACATTTGCCATTCTGAGCCACCATATCTTGTGTTGTCTCTTCTTTTGGGATTCTTAAAGGGGCAATTAGATTTTCTGTGAGAAGTGCAGCTTGTGAATCAAACACAAAAGCTCCAATGCGCATCCAGTCTGCCAAGTTATTGGATTCTTCTTTTTTTTCAGAATAAAATCTGATTGATTCAACAATGGAAAAGTAATTAAGAAATAAATATTAGGATAAATCACCAATGTGCTTGTCCTTCTGGCGAAACATGCAAGAATGACTACCATCTGTTAATTTTTGAGCTCTGCGTCAAATTTCTTTTGAAAAGATGGTAAGCTGCCAGGGAATTGATTTAAAAATTTTAAACTGTCAGTTACCAAAGGCTGTAGCATAGAGTTGGATCCATTTGCAGCCCACTTTTCCAGGATCAGGCACATCAAGGTCACGCAAACAAGCATGCTTCCAAACACTCTCAACCATGATGACATGATGGAACCACTTACAAGTTGTTGCAAGCATTAACAAAGATTTCCCATCCAAATACTTGGCAACCTCAGTCCAGGTGTCCTCTTCATACCTTCACCATGAATATAGAGCAATGAGAAAGAAATTAGTCTCCAGAAAATCGAACTGAACTGCATATCGGATGCAGTTTCTGCAGGTTAAAGAAACGCACTTTAATTTTAGTAGCTCAGTTCGGCCTCAATGAAATTGTTAACCACACAGAATCTATGGCAATTTGCAAGCAACTACACTTTCACAATTAAGTTCCTGAAGAATCTAAACAATCCGCATATCAGTAGACCTGGAAATTTGTAATGCATCATCCTATCACTAAGGTTAATTAAAATTGGAATCGTACTGGAAACATGAGCATTATCACATCTCTCGTCTCCTGTAGCAATCGATCAGATAATCATGAACAGAGATAGGGGAAAAAGGATCTCAAGATCAAACTAGATCATCACACAACAAATTTCCACACACTAATCTAACATAATAGGCTATACTTATCAAGTCCAAGCAAAATTGAACGGAATTTGAATGTGTCTCCCGTTTAATTTAAAATCACGAAACACAGAGAATTGATCAAATCGAGTAAACTAGACTTCATCTCGTAACCTCAATTCTCAACAGCACTCTTCGCAGTTCATCATTCATTTCACACAGTCATCGTATTAAAAACATCGGAAACAGTTTTTATGTGTTCAAAAGCAGATAAGATCCAGCACAACACATACTCAGATCAGAGAGAGAGAGAGAGAGAGAGAGAGAGAGAGAAAACCGGGAGAAGAGAGGATGAGGAGTGAGAGACTTGAATCGAGGAGAGACGCAGCAACAGAGCGATCTCATTTTCCGAAATCGTTTCCCCATGGTCAAGTTTCCTGTGCTCGAGCTCATTTTTCTGTTCGAACTTCGAATGTCTGTTGCGGATTTGCAGGTTTGAAATGGAAGAAGAAGAAGAAGAAGGTGGATGGGGGACGCTTTTATAGTCCCGCCAGCGCTATAATTCAAAAAGGCCGCATCTCGTTAGTTAAAAATCGCAACGGTGTCATGGCTGTGCCCGCCCGCAAATGTCTCAGCTTTCCTATTCAACTTTCTTACTCCCTGTTTTTATATACTCCCATTTCCTTTCCCATTTGATTTTTTTTCCCCATCATTTTTAAACTTTGACTAGGGTATGCCGTGAAAAAATTATACAGTACAGTATTATTTTATAGATGTAATATTGATAGATTTATTTTGCAATAACATTTTAGGATATCATATTTTTAGAAAATACACTTTTATTTTAAAATATTTGCCTAATTTTGACTTTTTAAGATCAACTATAATTACCTTTAACCATAATTGAATATAAATCATATGATATACTAATTAGATAAAACAATATTTTTAAAATATTTTACAATTTAAATATGATATGATTTCTTTTATCAATATCTAATATTAATTTTATTTAAATAATAATCAAAATTAGCCAATTTTAACTGCAAAACGTCAAATTTTGACAAACACTTTAGGACAGAGATGATATCTACATACGGAGTATAAAAATACGTCATATATATTAATAGTCAAAGCGTTGAAAATAACTACTCGTAGTATTTGGGAATGGAAGTAAAATCAGCGTTCTCCCTCAAGTTATTTTTAGTTTCCCTTGCTGAAAGTTCCAAAATATATTTTAGACTAGTTTCTTTCTTTTTAAATAAAAATTACTCACAAGTTTTCTTTGATCCATACAGATTTCAACCATAAATCTCATTTTTTAGGTTGTTTAACACAAGTACATTTATCATATTCTGCTAAAAGTATTTTTTATTGGACGGAGAACTATAAAAATTCATTTGCCTATAAATATTAACAAGTTTTTGCAATAACTAGAATATAATGCAACATTTCTTTCATGCAATGCTCGCAATATTATGAGCTTTAAATTTTAATACTATAACTCAATATAATCTTAATCTTGTCAAAATTTAAGAACTAACATATAAAAAATTTTAACATTCTGAAAACAAATACTGTTTTTAAATCCTTGATGGATTTACTTTCGGGTGAAAATTTAATGTCATTTTAGTTTAGTCTACACCAAACTATTTGGTGGAATAAAATTGGTGAATGCCACCTAATATTTTCTCCTTAGACTATTAGGTGGTCTAGGATCCAAATATTACTATCCGAGCCTTATAATAGTAACAGACTAAAAAGAAAAGAGTAATGAATCGCTAGAAAATAGATAACACACAATGGATTAACTCAAATCGGGGTCCCTTTGTTTATTCGGTCCAATTATGTATCAGAATACTCTACAGGACCACCGGAATATTCTCTTTTATTACTCAAATCTCTCTCTCTCTCTCTCTCTCTCTCTCGGTTACAAGTTGCCTTTACTGACTAAACTCTTCTTTCTTTTATAGGAGCTTTCCCAACCACCATCTCATCAAGATATCCGCGGTGGTTCTGGGCAAAGTGTTATGGATAGTAGAGTATAATATTTATTATTATTATTATTATTATTATTATTACTATTGTAATGTAAATTTTATTAGCTGAGCAAAATTATAAGTTACTTCGAGGTTTATTTACGGTTCTTTCCCTCATCGCTTTTATTAAACCGTTTGGTTAGCGTTAGAGTTTCCTTCTTCCCAATATAAAGAGATGTAACCCTATTTAGAGTTAATCAAGCAATAAACAAATCAAACACTAATTCTGTCTCCTCTCTCGGTTCACCGGTTCTCTTCGTCTCAATTCTTCTTCTTCTTTCTCGTCCTATATTCTCAGGAGCTTGAAGACGCTCTAAGTCTTCCTTATCTTATACGAGTTTGTATCACAATCCTTCACTTTCCTAGAAATCCTTCTCTTAGCTTAAAGTTATTCACTGAGGGACAAATCAGTCCATCCGACCAATATTTCATGTCCACTCTGTCTCCAATAATGACTTGGTAGTGGGTCTCTTTCCTTGGCGACCCGATCTTAATGGGCTGGAGGTCCAGCCCAACTCTCAATCAAGTCCCATCTTAGCTTTTATCCATGGTCCGATCCATTTCTTTAGTAGGACCGGTTTTCTCTTACCGACCTATGGAAGATATAGAGAATAAAGAAGTGTTCCATACTCTATAACAAAAGTGCTAAGACTCAAAAAAAGGATTTAGAAAACCTTTACATTTTCAAAACTTGACTTGATATCATGAGCAACTTGTTAACTACTCCAAAGCACCATCAAAAGAACCATAACATGTTTGTAATTATTAAAACACAAGGGTCAACAAATCATTCTTTTTTATATGCATTTTTTATTTCACAAAATTCAATCATAAACAATGAATATTTATTTTTTCTAAAATTCGTAAAGTATAAATCAGTTAAATATATTGTATTCATTTCCTTTGGGCTTTAATTATAAATTGAACATAAGTTTCATTGTAGAATAAAAAAGTGATTATATTAAATATGTCTTGCGAAAAAAACTTGGGGCGGCAATACGGTAGAATTATTGATTTTAGATGTTTATTCAAATAATATTGCAATTGTTCTTAAAAGATTACCACATGTTGATATTTTTGAACAAACTTTGGTACCTGTCCATGAATTGAATATAATTTGAAATGAGGATATATTTTAAAAATGAGGTACTCCGTATTTCAAAACTCTATCTTAAAATAAAATTTACTTTTACTAAATTAACATTATAACTAAATACTCTCTCCGTCCCTAAATAGATTACAATCTTTTTTTCTCTTTCCTCTCGATAACTTTTGTTTGTTTACGCGATTTCATTTAAGTATTTGATAAAATAAAATATTCTTTTCACCTCTTGTTTTGTAGAACTTTTGACTTAGTTTTTTAATATGTAATTTTTATAACTTATTGATATACCAATTTGTAAATAAAATGATTTCAAAAAATAAGAAATTTTACTCCGTAATCCGCAATTTGTAATCAAATTGGGGATGGAGGGAGTATATATTTTACATAATGTGCAATATTGGCCAAAAAAGTCAAAGACGTTCTTTTGGAAAGAGGGGGAGTAAATCTTGAGATCAAAGGCATTCTTTCGGGATCGAGGTAAACCGACTCCCCGCCTCACTCCTCTTCAGCTACCGCCGCCTCCTCCTCCTCCTCCTCTTCTTCTTCCATCCAACTCCCAGATGTCGGGACGTCCTCCGCCCTCTTCATCTCCGGCGTCTCATTCGCCGTCTACATCTCAGCCTCAGCCTCAGTAGCCTGCTTCATCGCAGTCTCCTGCGCGAACTTCGCCGTCTCCGGAGAGAACTCTTTCCAGGAATAAAACTCTTCGGGTCTGCTCTAAAAAATATAAAAAAGATCATTCGCTTGGAAGGTCATGGATGAATTTCCAAAGCTTCAAGAAATCAATGGTAAGACCTACTGCATATCCTATTCACCCCTAATATAATAAACAATATTTGTAAAATAATTGAAACATATCTCTCTCTTTCACTCTAGGACTTGACCAGATGGCTGGATTTGAAGAACACGCCTCCAATATTCGAGAAGAAGGTCGTTGACGGAATCGAAAAGGTCATAGGAATATCGAAAGAATTTAGGAGGCTGATAAGGTTAGTCTTTTCGTAAACAATTCAATCAAACGCTCAGAGAGAAAACATAGGATTCTACTGTTTGAACAGTTCTTGATTTTCGACTTAAGAAAACAGCCCAAGAAAATGCATGCCCTATGCCTGTGTTAAGGATATTTAGTTATCTCATTTAAATATATTTCTTTTGTAATTATCCTAATTGTGGTGGTTAGGAATATGCCTAGTCTCTCCATGTAAATAGGATCGGGTAGCCCTCTTCCCTTGCGTTTAGGAGCTTATTGTTGTACACTCCCTGTATAAATGTTTTCTCAATTATCAATGATAAACACAATTCATCCAATACTCTATAGCCTGAAAAGCAATAAAATTTAAGGATCAACCTAGAATTCTAATCCACTTTCTATCCTCTCTACAATACAAAAGTAAGTTAACTAAAGTCTGACTTTGTTGAGGTATAGATGCATAAGAACTGGTTAATGAACAAACCAACTTGGAGATCCCACCAAGGCATGATGAACTTTAGCTGGTTTTTCTTTTTCTTGCACACTTTCCAATGTAATATTCTTGGATTGCTCTGAACAGTTAAATTCCCTCTTGCATTCCTTTTTAAACAATCAAAGAGGATGAAGAAACCCTCAAAATAACAACAACAACAACAATAGGAGAAGAAGAAAATTAATAATACCAACACCAACCAAAGTAATATAATGACTATGAGAAATTGAAACACAATCACCACTTATAAATATATCTTGAACACTAGCTAAGAAGGCACTTTGTGCCAATGCTTCCCAATAAAGGGGAAAATAGTGAACTAATAGCACTAAAATAATAGAGAGAGAGGAGAAGAGACTAAATAACATCAAATAAACTTAGTTAGCTCTTACCCTTTTAGTGGGATACGATAAGAACCAATATTTGTAACGTTGACAATCTCTGCCGCTCACTAATTTTATCTTGAAAAGAAAGCAAAAGAGGAGAGAAAAAGCGTATGATGTTAGAGAGAGCTTGCATCTTTGATCATGCACAAGTGTTGATAAAAAGATGAAAAAGGTTTTTTTTTTATTGTTTTCTAAAGGTCATTGTTTTACTGCTCTTAAGATGTTAACACTTTGTCCCACATCATCAAAGTAAAATAGACATTATTCAAATAAATAAGTACTCTGTAAATGAAAACCTTCGTCCATATTGATGTAAGGGATACTCTCATTATTAGATGCACAAGCGTGTGCAAGCTCTTTCAAAACACGTGAAAGAATGACATGTTTTCTTCGGTTTAAAAATAAGATTTTCTTTCTAGTTAATACTTGAGTAATTTGTTCTCTTCCTGTTTAAAAGGGAGATTACTCTTTTCATAGCTTATTAAGATTGAAGAAACTTCTCCCCCCACCCCCCATAGTTGATCCAAGTAATTAATTTGATGAAAAGTTTTTTTTAATTGAATATTGTTAATGTGAAAAGAAATAGAAAAAAAATCATTAAGAGCTTTGAAGGATTATATTGCTGAGTGTTGTTAAAAACTTTCAGTTGTAGACTACTGGCTAAACTTTTAAGCTTGCAATGCTGTTTAAAAACTTTTATCTTTACTTTGTAGGTGTTAGGTAGTTCAACTTGTAAGGTTAGTTAAGTTTAAAGTAATAAGTTCAAACAAAAAAATTGAAAGGAGACAAAATTTTCTTAATTATCGTTAATAGTTATCGCCACAAACCCATATGCACCTAATACCAATCTATCAAAAAAGGCTAAATCAAAAGAACTGAAACTCAGAGCAAACAAAAAAAGTCAAATGAATGATATTGAACACTGAAAAAGAACCGTATTACAAGAAGTTGAGAAAAAAATCATAAACTTTTTGAGATAAAAAATCAATGAATGTTTCTACATTAAAGAAGACTAATAATGTTCATGGAAAGTGAATGGGTCGAAAGAAAATATACTACAAACCATATAAGAAATTCTAAAAATTCCATTACCTCTGGATGAGAATAGTTCAGAAGTTCAGAGTACCTTTTTTCACTGTGCTCTTGCTTTTTGTTGTTACCTGAGATCCTTATTCTCATTAAGGTTCCCAAAATGTTGTTGTCATGAAACAAATGAGCAGAGTCAATAATTGGCTGACCAAATAGTTGTATATTTAGGCATAAACCTGCACAGGAAGTTGAAACTACATGTGTCTAAAGAGGGTCCCATCATCGAAGACATGATATTCGTGTGACCTTCCCTAGGTTCCCCTTATTCTTTTTGTTTATTGTTGCTAATCTTATTTTTATTGAAGAATATTGAATGATAAAACTGAAACATCATTCGCTTTAAAATGAGGCCTCCAACAACCTTCAAACATAATATGCTTCTGTCTAAATAGGCAGAAGTTAAGATTCTAAAAAAGAACTTCTTCATATATTCTACCACATCATGTAAGGAGACAAGAAAAATCATATTTCTCCCATCAACACTTGATTCACACATTTGTGGTTCTTAACATTGATGAAATGTACCTACCAGACAACAATAAACACATTTGTGGTTCAATCTAACATACTCGTTTAACTATTTTTCTAAAGTGTATTTCTTTTCTAGTGTGAAGTAGTTTCAACTACTTTATTTATTGAAATATAACATCATTAAGTTGAGCCTTGAAACTATCCATATTCTAATGAAGATAGACTAAATTTAAGCGGAGGTTAAAACCAAATGTTAAATAAGGTTGTGCACATCTTAAACAAAAAAGTTTAACCATGAAGGAACAAGGCACAATATTTTAGAAACCTAATGCACATGTGCCTTCTGATGTTTAGCTAAAAGCCTGGTCATTGCTTTTCAACACATGCCAAAAGGAAATCTCTCATATCTTTAAACCTATCACTTTAAGATATACTCTTCAATTGATTTTTTTGAATATCCATAGGACAAAATTGTATTATTCATATCATCAGCTATAATCTCAAACTGATAAACCACAACAATGAATAAGTTGCAGAAATTATTTACACCTTTGAGTTCAGAGTAGAAATAACTTATGATATTAAAAAGAATGAACAGATGCATGCAAAACTTTGCTAAAAAGATGACAGAAGTCTCATGAAGAAGAAAATGAATCCAAATTATCATGCACCAAATCCTAAACATAAGTTGTTGAATAAAAGCAAAACACAAGAAATAAAAAATGTAGCATCCTTCCAAGGATTAATCACTCTACATCAAACCTTAACTGCCTTACTTCAATCGTTGTGGCTAAAACCCTTATCTTGGCAAATGAAAACCCCTTATGAGGGATCTATTTCAAACCCTCCCGATAGCAATATATAAAGATTACTGCTAAAATCGCTTAAAAGTAAATCATACCCAATGCATATATACATTCTTTGGCTTCTTTGTTCAAGAAAATCAGAATACACCTGTGCTAGAAAACTTACTAAAGTCCCTATTTTGTATTTAAAATAGTCACACTACGACATAAGCGAATGCCAAAGTGAACTTAAAACCTTGAAAGGCACTAAGAAACTATAACAATCTGACTCCAAAGTGAATCCTAAAATGAGAAAAAGCAGCTTAAATTTTTTATAAATTAGAAAATGAACATCATAAAAAGAAAGCAAAGCATGGGCACGGTTTAAAAAGTGGAGAAAGTCAAACCTTTAGCCTTAGTGTATATTAAAATAAAACGAACATAGGACTATAATCACTACAACAGTGCTGAGCACAACATTCTTATGCACCCATTTCAAATGTTTTCCAACCTGTTGGCCTGTACGTTGGTCACTAAGACAACCAACAGTGCCTTAGTGTATAATAATGTTAGTGCTACGAGTGAGAAAAAAAATTTACCTTCTAGGAGTAAGTTTCATAAGGACAGGAAAAACACCAGGATATCCATCCATTGCATAATGTAAACACATTGTCCCAAGTTTATAATTATTTGTTAGGCTTCTCCATCTCCCAATATTCTCCGATTACATAGGTTTTGCTGTCAAGGGTGCACTACCTAACTCTCATTTCTAAATATCACAACATGTTCATCCACCGTTAGCACCCTTAATACAAAATGGCAAAAAAAAACAAAAATATCTTCTGTATTTACTATTTGTTCCCAACTTTATGCAGCATGCATTTGATTAAACATGTTTAAACATGCAGTAATTGAATTTTTTCCTGCTATGTTTTACCACTTTGTATTTGTTTCCAAATTTATGCAGCACTCATATGATATTTTGATTATACCAAGCTCAAAATCTTTATGAAAACAAAAAACATTATCAAAATAGAAAATAATAAAAACAGAAAACATCATCATAATAGAAAATAAAGAGAGCACGAAATATCTTTGCTCTACAAACTTAACACACCACCATTATAATACATGTCAGATAGGCACTCTAAGAACAAGAATCAAATTGTTTTCTGTATATTAGTCTTATTTTTTCTTTTGTAGGAAACCATTGCTAGTCCTAAATGATTTGTATTTGGGAAGCAATGCGATGCATGTCCAGAAACATTTCGCGGACTATTTGATTCCAAATGACGAGGATTGGGCAATACTTATCCCATCCATGATGAAGAACCCCAGCATTTCAGAGATTCACGATGATCTGAAACTCTTGGGGACGTTTATTGGAGTGATAGTTAACTCAAGGCTTAATGAGTTAACGATCACCCAAAGCGTCCCCAAGGTTGTTGATTATTTTTTTGATTTGATCAGTTATGCTTTGACCATCCGTGAAGAAAAACATTTACGGTAAATAATGATTGAAACTTAGGTGGAATAATTTTTTTTCCTTGTTACTGTTTACTAATTCTTTTATTATGACAGGTTCTTGTGCTATTTTATCACCAAAAACCCCATTATATATGATTTAGATGACATGGTGGGGTTTGTGAAAAAGGTGTGGAATTTGAGGGTATTCTTGACTGTTGAGAAGTTTGATCCCCTGATTGCTAAGGAAATATGTGCAGCAGATTTGAAAGGCCAACTCGGTTTTATAAAATTGAGTAAAATTCTATAATTGGTCCTTCTTTTATGGGTACCTTTCTACAAATAGTCCTTTCTTTGATCTTCTATCATGTTGGTGTTAATTTGAGAGCTAAAAGTGTAATTTCACAATGATAATATATCTTTTTTGTCATATACAATTCCAAAGGCTGTTCCGTTTGCGTCGTTTGTGAATTACAGTCACTTTTTACGACAATTATAGTCTACAAATGTGATCTTTTGTCAGAATTCTAACCCACAATCATAGTCATTATTTTGTGTTATCTGCTTAACTAATATCAGATCACGTCACTAGACATAATGTTGACGTCAAATTATATTTTTAGGCTTTAAATTAACACTAACACGGTAGAAGATAAAAAAAGACTATTTGTAGAAAGGTACCCTTAAAAAAAGGACTACGGGGGTAATATTTGATAATAGAGGACTAAATATGGAAACCCCCTGTTATGAAGGACCAATTATGGAATTTACTCTATAAAATTTGAAGAAGCAGAGAAGAATAAAGAGTTTAGATTCATCAAATACTATGGTTGTAAGCGCCGCCTGGATGAAGATGAGAAGATGCACTTGGTGGATGAGGAGGAGGAGCCATTTTCGTACTTCTGTGACTACATAAGATTCTGGGAAACACGCTCCGACATTGGCAGGATTGTTCAATTTACATCGATCCACATTCGTCCACGGTGATACACCCCAAGGAGACGCTGTTGGAGACCATTGCCGAGGAGCTGGTCTCCTCCATCGGCGTGGATGCTGTGCAGATTACATTCAATGCATTGGTGAAGGCCTTTTGGCCCAGCAGTGGTACTGGTGGCAAGCCCCTACTCCTGAAAAAGAGAAAAGCCGGAAGTCCTCTGGTTGAGAAGGAAGTGAATTTGATTGACATCTTTGAGTCTGTTCCGCACATTGTACCATCGGACAGGGTTAAATGAAACTGTAGTTTCTCGACAATTATTTTGTTGTTTCTTACTACTTTAATTATTATTACTCCCTCCGTCCCAATTTAAATCACCTGTTTTGACTTTTGGACATATTTAANTGAAAAAGAGAAAAGCCGGAAGTCCTCTGGTTGAGAAGGAAGTGAATTTGATTGACATCTTTGAGTCTGTTCCGCACATTGTACCATCGGACAGGGTTAAATGAAACTGTAGTTTCTCGACAATTATTTTGTTGTTTCTTACTACTTTAATTATTATTACTCCCTCCGTCCCAATTTAAATCACCTGTTTTGACTTTTGGACATATTTAAAAAAAATAAAAATTAGAGTTGATTTTCCAAAATTGACATTAGTTTTTAGGAGGGGTGATGATAAATGAGAAGATAAGGTGAAAAAGACTGACTTATTTTAGGGGTAGTTTAGGTATTTTATTTTTAAAAGTTTACGAAAACAACTAACAGGCAACTTATTTTGGGACGGAGAAAAAATGCAAACATGCAATTTAAAATGGGACAGAGGGAGTACTTAAAATTTTTTTGTTTTTGCTATGCTTTATTATTAAGATGTATGTACAAATTGTGGTCCATCTTAATGCTAACAAGAACCTCACTTTATTTCATGTGATTTGAGGGGTAAATTTCATTTATCGCATCTGAACTTTTAGTTGTTTTTCGTTTTGGTATCTAGACTTTTTTTTTCACAAAAAAAATGCTTGAACTTTAAAAATTTTTCATAAATGATACCTGGGAGACAACTAATTGGTAGGCAACCCGACATCCTATGACGTTAAACTAAGCGCTAATTGAGAGGCATCCAACATCCTTTCAATTTTATCGGTTTTTATTGTTTTTGTTTTATGTGCCTTAAGTGTTTGTAGTATATCATTTTTTTAAGTTTTAGCAAACTCAGACTTTAATCCGTCGCAGGGCGTTCATGCCCTTCACCGGTTTACGTCCCAGTTGGCCTCAATAAGCAACCCAGACACTAATCCGGCGCAGGACACCATTGCCCTTCGCCGATTTTCGTGTTTTTCATATCCATCTCTGTTTTTCTCTGCGCGTTGCCTTCTCTCTCTTCTCGCCGTTTTCGTTCATCTCTCTCGCTCGTCTTCCTCCCGACCTCCTCGCCCAGGTAAGTCTCTCTCTCTCCTCCTTCCTCATTCCTCCCTTATTTGAAAGGCCAACTCGGTTTTATAAAATTTGAAGAAGCAGAGAAGAATAAAGAGCTTAGATTCATCAAATACTATGGTTGTAAGCGCCGCCTGGATGAAGATGAGAAGATGCACTTGGTGGATGAGGAGGAGGAGCCATTTTCGTACTTCTGTGACTACATAAGATTCTGGGAAAACACGCTCCGACATTGGCAGGATTGTTCGAGTTACATCGATCCACATTCGTCCACGGTGATACACCCCAAGGAGACGCTGTTGGAGACCATTGCCGAGGAGCTGGTCTCCACCATCAGCGTGGATGCTGTGCAAATTACATTCAATGCATTGGTGAAGGCCTTTTGGCCCAGCAGTGGTACTGGTGGCAAGCCCCTTCTCTTGAAAAAGAGAAAAGCCGGAAGTCCTCTGGTTGAGAAGGAAGTGAATTTGATTGACATCTTTGAGTCTGTTCCGCACATTGTACCATCGGACAGGGTTAAATGAAACTGTAGTTTCTCGACAATTATTTTGTTGTTTCTTACTACTTTAATTATTATTACTCCCTCCGTCCCAATTTAAATCACCTGTTTTGACTTTTGGACATATTTAAGGAAAATAAAAAATAGAGTTGATTTTCCAAAATTGACATTAGTTTTTAGGAGGGGTGATGATAAATGAGAAGATAAGGTGAAGAAGACTGACTTATTTTAGGGGTAGTTTAGGTATTTTATTTTTAAAAGTTTACGAAAACAACTAACAGGCAACTTATTTTGGGACGGAGAAAAAAGGCAAACAGACAATTTAAAATGAGACAGAGGGAGTACTTTTTATTTTTTATTTTTGCTATGCTTTATTATTAAGATGTATGTACAAATTGTGGTCCATCTTAATGCTAACAAGAACCTCACTTTATTTCATGTGATTTGAGGGGTAAATTTCATTTATCATAATCTGAACTTTTAGTTGTTTTTCGTTTTGGTATCTAGACTTTTTTTTTACAAAAAAATGCTTGAACTTTGAAAATTTTTCATAAATGATACCTGGGAGACAACTAATTGGTAGGCAACCCGACATCCTATGACGTTAAACTAAGCGCTAATTGGGAGGCAATCCAACATCCTTTCAATTTTATCATTTTTTATCGTTTTTGTTTTATGTGCCTTAAGTGTTTGTAGTATATCATTTTTTTATGTTTTATGTAAAAGAGGAAAGTAAAAGAGGAAAGAGAAGATTTGGGAGATATTATCGTATATTCCGTATATATTAGTTTTAGTAGTTTCCTTGTATAGAAATTTCTTTTCCTTTGTTAACTAGGATTCTCCACTATATATGTAGCCTTGGGTTGTACATTGCAAACACAGAAATAATACAAGAGTTTTTCCTCTTAAAAAATTATTTCATGGTATCAGAGCCAAAACTCTAGGAATTTCCACACGATCGCCCGGCATCGCGTCCATCGATCGTTGGTCGCTGTTGCTGCCGAGAAGACCGGAACGGTCGACCGTTTGTTCATAACGGTCGAAGACATCGACCGTCCCGACGGCAGTATCTTCAACCGCCGCTGTTTCGATCCAATTTGTGAACTCTGTCATCTGGAATGTCTGAAGAAACACCCATGAAGATTATTTCCAGTAAGAAGAATGAAGAACGAGAGGAGGAGGAGGTTGGTGTGCGACGTCGTCGTATCTCCCCTTACGATCTGTCTCCGAGCGACAATCCGGGTATGATTTTGACCCATGTCGTTCTAAAAGGAGATAATTATGATGAATGGTCCAAATCTCTGCGCTTGGAGCACGCAAGAAATTTGGATTCGTTGATGGAACGATTGAGATGCCAGATCCTGATTCGGAAGATTTTGACGATTGGTGGACAAATCATTCATTGTTGGTCTCTTGGATTCGGAACACGATTGATCCAACCTTGAGATCCAGCATATCGATCATGGAAAAAGCTTCAGATCTGTGGAACGATTTGAAGGCTCGCTTCTCTGTGGTTAATGGACCGAGGGTTCAGCAGTTGAAGCGAGATTTGGCAGAGTGCAAACAGAAGAATCTTTCCATAATGGAATATTATGGAAAGATGAAGAAGCTGTGGGACGACTTGGCAGATTTGGAGCGCTTTCCAACTTGCACGTGTAGGAATTGCACGTGTGATTTGCCGGAGAAGCTTATGCAGATGCGTGAGAGGGAGCGCTCTCATCAGTTTTTGATGGGTTTGAACGATGCTTTGTATGGAACCTTGCGGTCAAATTTGTTGGCCCAAGAGACTATACCACCAGTGGCAAGAATATATAATATTCTTGTTCAAGACGAGACAGCACGGAATGGTATACACAAAGGAGAAAGCAGTGAAGCAAGTGCATCCGTGTTTGCTGTGAAGAATAAGATGGACGTCAAAGAGCTTGTATGCACTCACTGTGGGAAAACAGGACATGAGGTCGAGGCATGCTACAAGCTGATTGGGTACCCCGAAGGTTGGGTATTCCGCGATCAGGCCGGGAGAGGAAGAGGAAACGGACGAGGAAGAGGCCGTGGGACTGCACGAGGCGGCGGACGGTCGACCGTGGCTGCTGGACGGTCGACCGTCACGGGCGGACGAGGTGAAGCCCACGCTGTTCAAGGAGAAGAAAAGGGACCATCTCCACTACCAAACTTTGAGGATTTGACGCCTGAGCAGTGGAATGCTGTTCGTCATGCCCTCTCACTATCTCCTACAGACAACTCATCAAAACTCTCAGGTATTCCTGTGTCACCTCGTTGGATAATGGATACCGGTGCGTCCAATCATATGACAGGTGATATTTCATTATTGTATGATGTGGTGGGTGTGTCTCCATGTGAAATTGGATTACCCGATGGAAAGAGGGTTGTGTCGGTTCAATCTGGAAAGGTTGATTTGACTATGACTATGACTTTGCAGAATGTGTTATTTGTTCCAACCTCGAATTGCCATTTGATTTCTGTGTCACAATTGACAAGAGATATGAACTGTGAGGCAAAGTTCACCAATAATTTGTGCATCTTACAGGACCTAAGTTTGAGGACAACGATTGGTGTGGGTAGACTTGAAGGCGGATTATACTATTTGAAGAAGGAGGAGAGGAAGATGGCGTGCAGTGCTGCTAAGAAGAGTTCATTTGATCTTTGGCACAAACGTCTAGGACATCCTTCTTCACATGTTTTGTCCTTAATTCTTGTAGTTGGTTCGAATAAACATAGTCATAGTCAGTGTGATGTCTGTTTGCGTGCTAAACAAACTCGTGCTAGTTTTCCTATAAGTTTTCACCAATCTTTGGATAAATTTGATATGGTGCACTGTGATTTGTGGGGTCCCTATCGGACACCAAGCTTGGATGGTTCTACTATGTTTTTGACTATTATGGATGATTTCTCACGTGGTGTGTGGGTGTATTTGCTTGATTCTAAGCGTATCATAGGAAGTGTTTTTAGACAATTTTGTGCCATGGTTGAATGTCAGTTTGAGAAAAGGATAAAATGTGTACGAAGTGACAATGGTACAGAATTTGAATGTTTGACAGAATATTTTCTAGAAAAAGGAATTGTTCGTGAGACATCTTGTGTGTCTACGCCACAACAGAATGGTAGAGTTGAACATAAGCATCGGCATATTCTGAATGTGGGTCGCGCTTTGAGATTTCAGGCAGCGCTTCCAATCGAGTTCTGGGGAGAGTGCATACAGACGGCATCTTATTTGATTAACCGGACACCCTCGTCTCTTTTAGGGGGGGTTACGCCGTATGAAAAACTTTATGGAAGGGCACCTGCACTGACTCATATTCGAATTTTTGGTTGCAGATGTTACGTTCACAATCTGAAGAGAGATGGAGATAAATTTGCGCTCAGAAGTATTCCTGGAATATTTCTGGGTTACCCACAAGCTAAGGAAAGAAGGGATGGCGCGTATATTTTCCAGACACGGGGAAGATAAGCGTGTCACGGGATGTTGTGTTTTGTGAAAACATCTTTCCTTATTTGGTTTCTACAGGTGAAATGTTAGATGCAGATGGATCGAGTAGCTCCACTTCCATTGATCACTTTGATGATGATGATGAAGTTCCTGAGGAAGGGCAGCTGGACCGTCCCACGCGGAACGGCCGACCGGAAGAAGGAGAGAATGCAGCTGGCCAACCGGCGGTCGATCAGGTGGACCGTTCTGATGTCCACGGTCGACCGTCATCGAGGCAGAAAGATGGGTCCCTGGGAAATCAACCAACGGTCGACGCGGTGGACCGTTCTGAAACCCACGGTCGACCGTTGGACGACTAGAGAGGCAGACCCCAGGGAGAAGAAAACACGGTCAACCGTGACGAGAACAACGGTCGACCGTCCCCAAGGCAGAAAAGAGGCAGTGAGGAACCGACACAGACGGTCGACCCCGTGGACCGTTCCACGGATGGCGGTCGACCGTCCCCCTTCCAGCAAGCAACGGAGGTCTTAGGGCGTGGCCAGCGGGAGAAACGACCAAATGTGAGGCTAGCAGACTATGTTACACATGTGGTCGGTCCGCTGATTGAGGGAAAGTGCAGATATCCGCTTTCCTCATATGTTACTTATGAGAAATTTTCTGAGAAACATAAGTGCTTTCTCACGGCACTTGATGAAGATATCGAGCCTAGAAACTTCAAACAGGCATTCCAGGATGAGAGGTGGAGGAAGGCTATGCGAGAAGAAATTGATGCTCTAGAGGCTAATGGGACGTGGTCTCTTGTTCATCCTCCGCGTCATAAGAAGGCTCTTGGCTGCAAATGGGTATATAAAATCAAGCGCAAGTCTGATGGAAGTGTGGAAAGATACAAGGCTAGGCTTGTTATACTTGGCAATCACCAGGTTGAAGGCATCGATTATAAAGAAACATTCGCTCCTGTAGTCAAGTTGACTACGGTGCGAACCATTTTAGCAGTTGCAGCGGTCAAAGGATGGGAATTGCACCAGATGGATGTTCACAATGCCTTCCTACATGGAGATCTTCATGATGAGGTGTATATGAGGTTGCCACCCAGTTTCTCCAGCTCGTCCAACATGGTGTGCAAACTCAAGAAGTCTCTGTATGGCTTGAAACAGGCTCCGAGATGTTGGTTTGCAAAATTATCTGGAGCTTTGCGACAATATGGATTTGTGCAGTCCATCTCTGATTACTCCTTATTTTCTTTCGTTGGAAAGAAAGGAGTGATACATGTTCTGGTTTATGTAGATGATTTGATCATCGCTGGTGATAGCACAGAGATGATTTGCAAGTTCAAGGATTATTTGGCAGACTGCTTCCGTATGAAGGATTTGGGGACTTTGAAGTTCTTTCTTGGCATCGAGGTAGCACGAAGCACATCTGGGATTTTCCTCTGCCAACGAAAGTACGCTTTAGATATCATTACTGAGGCGGGGCTGTTAGGCGCCAGACCGTTGGGTGCCCCGATGGAGCCAAATCATCACTTGGCTCGTTCCCAAGCCCCAGTTCTTGCAGACCCGGAACCATATCGACGGTTGGTTGGGCGATTGGTTTATCTTTCCGTTACACGACCAGAGCTTTCATATGCAGTGCATACTTTAGCACAATTCTTGAAAGAACCAAGGGAGGATCAGTGGACCGCGGCACTTGGGGTAGTTCGTTATTTGAAAGGATGTCCTGGACAGGGCATTTTCCTCTCTGCAGATAGTAGTCTTCAGCTTACAGGGTGGTGTGATTCGGACTGGGCAGCATGTCCTTTGACACGACGGTCGCTGACGGGCTGGTTTGTACAGCTTGGCGAGTCGCCGGTGTCGTGGAAGACGAAGAAGCAGACAACGGTGGCTCGTTCGTCTGCTGAAGCTGAGTACAGGGCTCTTGCTGTTCTTACTTGTGAGCTGAAGTGGTTGAAGAGTTTGTTACGATGTTTGGGAATTGAGCATAAGAACCCTATGACGGTTCGCTGTGACAGTACTGCGGCCCTTCACATTGCCGCTAATCCAGTTTTTCACGAACGAACAAAGCATATTGAGATAGATTGTCATTTTGTTCGTGATGAGTTATTACGAGGAGAAATCCGGATGCACGGAGAAATAAAGTTTATTACAAATCATAAAGTTTATTTAATTCTAAATAGAACTACTAACATAAAGATGTGTATTAAAAGTAGACTAATTCCATACCTAGTATTATAATGAAGTAAATCAAACAACACATATTAAACACCAATCATACATTCTCAAGCACCTCCTTATAAACTACTTGTAGTATTTGTCTAAAATCACCACAAAAAACAATTATTTACTCCCTTGCGAGACCATACCCTAAACATGGCCACATACAGCTGTCCGTGACTAAAAATAGGTTTTTTAAGAATAAACCAACATGAGAGAGAGAGAGAGAGATTGTCCCTGACTTTTGTTTATGGTCATCGCATACGATACAATAACCGGAAATTGTCTTCTTCGAAACTTAAATGGCAATCTAGTATCTGATTGAGTCAATGGAACTCGTGGTATTAAAACCATTTGTCCTATATTTTTTCCATGAATCATCTTTGCTTCCAATTGACGGTTGCCAAGTCTTGTAATTAACAATTAAACGCGTTCCGTTGCACAGACCATTACCATGATCAATGTTGCGCAAAAGCATGATCGGAGTGGCAATTTTCAGTGTTAGTTCATGGTTTGGAATTCCTGAAGATCTAATCAAGTTCAAATACTCTGTGGTGTGTAAATCCCCAACTAAAGAAACATTCATGTCAGACTGGCAAGCACTATCAGCACTCAAGTAGACCTTCCCATCTCCTTCATTCATTGAAATCATGTATTGATTTATTGATCCAACAACTTCAAGTGTTGGAGCTAAAATTGCTCTTTCTTGCAGTAAACTATCTTCACCAAAATTTGTTACAAATGCTGGGTAAATAGTTTCCACCAGTTTTCCTATAGAATTATTCCCTGGCTCAACCAGTAAATCTGATGGAATTTCAATATCTTCACAACCATCATTTGGGCCACCAACCTTTCCATCTCCAAAATATGCTATCCAATTGGTGAAATGTTAGATTTCTGCGCTTTCACTGTCCTTTCCATTTGAAACTCTCATATGCTTGATAAGTCTCAAGACCTTGCAATCAGACCACAAGTATGAAGAATTAATAGTGGCTAAAACAATAAGTAAATAACCACCAAAAACAATTGTTTTCCCTCCAAATGGTTTGATCTGGCTATCTTTATTGACCACGCGCATTATATTGCGTATAGTTCTATCCTACGCTTCAAAATAATGTTTATGCATCATAGGCGCCTCATCCCAAATAATTAATTTGCAATGAATTAACAATTGGGCTAGAGGGCTTCCTTATGTATTTTTGCACATGATATCCTCGTTAACAATGATAGGGATTTTAAAATGTGAATGCGCTGTTCTTCCATCAGGCAATAATAGAGAAGCTATACCACTTGATGCAACATTTAATACTATGTCACTTGTCGATCTTATTGCCACCGATAATGTTTTCTAAATGAATGTCTTACATGTTCCTCCATATTCATAAACAAAAAACATTCTACCAATGTTCTTTTCAACTACTTCAATGACAGAGGAATACACATTTACTTCTAATTTCGCTCTCAAACCCATCAAGGAGTACTCGGGGTATATCTTTAACATATTGGGCTAGCCCAATAAGGAGTATCTTAACATATTGGGCCAACATTTTGGCAGACCCAATTAGCTCTTTCTACGCTTACTGCTAGTCTGCTACCCATATCCGCGGGGCCGCCATCGTCACTCTTCTCTGCTTCTTCGATTTCATCCCCTCCACAACGATGCTCTCTCGCTTCCTCTGCAGACCATCTCACCTGAGATTCATCATCTCCCGCAATACCCATTTCCTGAACCCCAAAATCCCTTCTCCCCACGCCCCGATTTCTTCTTCCGTACCCGTCTTCTTCCCCAAGAACCCCCATTTCTTTTCTACAAGTAACAATGGCGGAGGTTCTGATTCATGGAATCTATCTTCCTCCGATACCCCATCCATGTTTCCGGAAGACATCGAGATATCAGAAACATTGCCCAGAGACGAGAGCCACTTGTTCAGGGATCTGGAGGAGCCGGAGAAGGGTACCGCGGTGGCCGGAGGTGGATTTGTAAAGGGTTTCAGTCCATGGACAACCGAGGAGGATGAAGATGCCAAGAATGTGTTTGAAATATTGGATGAAGAAGACGAAAAAGGAAAGTGGGAGGTGGGGAGCAAGGGCGGCAGGGGTGAGAATGGCGAATGGGAAACTGCGGCGGGTTACAAGCCCTGGAGCGCATCTGTGGAGGAGGATGGAGAAACCGTCTTTGATGTAGTAGAAGAAGAAGAGAAGATGGCGGGTGTTGATTTCAGTGCCGAGGAGGAGAGATTGCAGAAGGAGAAGCTTGAGGAAGAACAGAGACTTGAGCTGGAAGAGAAAGCTCTCACTGTTGTTCTCAAAGGTCATTCATTTACTTTCTTTCTGATATTATTTCACTCAATTAATCAAATTATAAGTGTTTTAGGTATGTATTGAGTATTTGAGTTGTGTCATTTTTATACAACAACAACAACAACAATAATGTCCCCTAAAGGCTACCTTTTGCTTGACCCTATGTCCTATAATGGCTTTGGTTTTACTACTAGCTTCACATCTCCTTTGGTACAAATGCTTCCATAAGCTTACTTCTCTATTGTGTTCTTCATGTCCTCAAAGACATGTCATATGAGTATTAAGAAGGCCAAGTATGTTTCTGTTGCAGGTCCGAACCGTGCATTTGGTGATCTAATTGCGGCTTCTGGAATCACTGAAGAAATGTTAGATAGTCTTATGACTTTGAAAGACCTTGGAGACATCAAAGGATTGCCGCCTCTACACGAAATAGAAGACATGCGTTATGAGAGGAGCATGAGCAGATCCAGCAGAGCAGAAATGGAGCGTCAGAAACAAGAGGAAGTTGCAAAGGCAAGAGTGAGACAAGTAGATGAGAAGGGGAGGGCTTATGGGACAGGAAAGAGAAAATGCAGCATTGCCCGTGTTTGGATTGAACCCGGCAATGGAAAATTTATTGTGAATGATAAAGAGTTTGATGTGTACTTTCCAATGCTTGATCATCGCGCCAACCTTCTCCGGCCTTTCTCTGAAACTACAACACTGGGTNTTATATTCATTTGATCTAATATGCTCCTTGCTTGACAATAAAAAACTTTTGAAAAATGACTCTTTTTTTGACATAGTAAAAGATTAGTTAGTTTATTTCCCACTATAGTTTATGGGTCATGCTACGGTAACACCAGAAATGACACCTAGGTTAACACTTTCACTGTTCCACGAACAATGATTTCTCATAGACAATGTGGGCGATTGTCTGATTTGTCTCTGGTCGTGTCATGTGGTGGTCAGTGGAGGATGACTGTGCATGGTTGTCTCTAGTGGTGTCATCTTTGGGGTTAAAGCAACATTCCTCAATGTCTGTAGCGTGCTCCTCTTTTCTAATTATTGGTTATAAAATATCTGGGTAGAAAACAAGTATGAAGTAGCACTGTCTAGCAGTGTATGTAATGCGTTTATGACTATGGTAATCAAATAGTTCTACACTTGGCATAAGTGTGTATTGTATTTCAATTTATTTGGATATCAAAATGATATTTTAGGGAAAAAAAAAGTAAATGTGAATTGATTGCTAGATATTAATTCTGTCTCTTTTCTCTTCAATGATATGCTGAACTGCATTGTACATCTTCATAGTTCATACCCATTGCACAAATCTGCTATGTGCCCGTTTGGCAACAACTTCATTGTTTAGCTTTATCATTTTCAAAGTTAATCTGCTGCATTGAAAAATTATCCCAATCGCTAATTGAAGACGTATTTAACCGTTTTGAGAGTTTTAGGCATTCATTATAAGGTAAAAGAGCCTTATTAACAATGTTTTAGCTTCACATAAATTGTAAACTAGATGAAAAGGGTACATTAAACTTCATTTGCTTTCCTTTTGTGTTAACCTTCCAAGAGGTACTAAAGTACTGTGTGAAACAGGTCAAGCTGGTGCAATTCAGCTGGGCATCAGTAGGGCCTTGCAAAACTGGGATCCAGAGTTGCGTCGCCCTCTCAGAGAAGGTAACTTTATTTTCTCTTCTTTTACCTTATATATAATTTTATGAAACTCTCCATAGAAATGTAATAACTCTATTGATTGCCATCCTTAATTTCACTAGGATTCAATGTTGTTTTGAATGAAAGTAAACAGCTCGTATTCTAACATGTTTAAGCCTATGTATTGCATTATTTTTTGTTCTAGTTGATTTCATATGAAACGACCGTGTACAAAAAAATTGTTTTTTAAGAATAATCCCACGTAGTATACACATAGTATATATGTGTATAGACATGCTATGTCAATTAAATTCTATTATTCTTTTGCAGCTGGTTTCTTGACAAGAGACTCGAGAGTGGTCGAAAGGAAAAAGCCTGGCAGAGCAAAAGCAAGAAAGAGCTTCCAATGGGTCAAACGTTGAGCTATTACAGATTCTTGTCAATGCATCGATCTCGGGAGGGCATTTTTGGTATTTTTACTGATTTCTTATATGGAAGTAATCACGTTGACTTGAGAAAATTGACTGGTTTCAATTCAAAGGAGATGTTCAGGTGAAAGTTTGTAGTGTGATTAGATGATTAGATTAGACAAATTGATGGAACAGTTATGTTTTTTTTGTTTTCAAATATGAAACAAATAAGGCTTGCAATTCTCTAAATTAAGGTTTGTATCTTGTATTCTTGTCTTCCATATTAGTTGACAATGCCACCCATCAATATGACTTGCTGTTCCTAAGTTGGTTTCGTTGAAGTCACGCGTGACACATTTTGACCTTTCCCCGAGATTTGACACGTAAGTTAGATTTTGAACGAGGGTTTTGCGACTTGAAGAAATTAGTTTTAAAATGTTCAAATCAGATTGACCTATTGAAGTAAGAGTATTTTTTCCCCCAAGTAATGCACTTCCATTTTATGTGTTCTTTTTTCATTTTTACTTTTCTTGTAATGATGTTCTTTTTTCATATTTTTTTTCAAATAAAAAGCTCTGTTCCTATGAAAATTATGAATAATTTTCAGTGACTCAGTTTTCTACCTTTTCTATTTGTTGCCATGTTGGTTGTTTTTCTGCAAAAAAAAAAAAATCGAAAATCCAAGGGTGCACTTTTTTAGAGTAATATTTTTGCATTAATAGTTTTACACATTATTCTGGCAACTACTTACAGTAACATTTTCCAAGTAAAATTTATCCTTCCCAAGATTTCTTCTCACAAATGTAATCTAATGTAATCCAATTGTATACAGTATAACAAACTTAAAGTCTTTATTAAAGGATGAGCCTCATCCTCAAAGACCCCCTCAGATTTGGCCAGAAGTAAATTGGAATTTAATAATAGATTGATAGTAAAAAGTAAAGTCTGCACTTGATACTTGCAGAGATTTTATACTTATGAAAGTTACCGACAGTGCTTTTTCACAAGCAAGCACAATTCAAAAATGAGCACAACATATTGTCTAACATTTGTCTGCAATCCTTGTCATCAAAGAAATAACAAAATTTGCTAAACATAAAACTAGCATTGACCAACCTTGAAAAGCTTACAAGAGTATATTCAGTATATTGACAAAGTTTTAATGGATATTGAAAATGCAATATTTCAGCCTAATTATAAGTGTGAACTCTGTAATAGCTATATACTCCGTACATACTATGTGGGATATATTTGATTTGTGAAAAATTAAAATAAAAAAAAAGTTTTTATGGGGCATGAGAGTAAATTATGATACTAAAAAAATTTGAATTTCCAAAATAATTATTTCGAATGAGGTGTTTTTCAAAATTAGTCCTCAGTATAATTACTTGTATGGTACCTTATAATTAAGATTTTGCTAAGTATTCTTTCGTAAAAAATGTCGCTAAATGATGATTAATTGGAGAGTATTTTGGTACTTTTATTATCCAGACTTGCTGTAGCTAAAACACTTCATTTGAAATGATCATTTTGAGAACTTATTCTAAGTTTAGATGATTAAAAATAATAAAAAACCTTACACTTAATCGAAACTTATGTAATTTTTTCTAAAGAGGACTATACGGCGCATAAATCCCAATTATAAATTATTACGTAGGTAATTAAGATCATTATGAAAAATTCCTTACTGGAAAATGCTAGAGTCACAAACAAATATTTCACACACTTTACAAATTTGTCTTTTGTAGCTTTTAAATTAAATTATCTTTTATTATTTGAGTGCATTTAATTTCTAGGAAATTGTTAAAATGACTAGTTTGTAAATTTTGTGAACTGTTTGTTTGTGACTCTAGCATTATATTTACTTTAATATTGGGCCAAGTCCCTTTACAAACAAGTCCGACATTTTGACGCAGGCCCAGTTAGCAGGTGTTTGTACGTTTCCTCTACTTTCCTCCTCCCCGCCCATATCTAGCAAGCATTTTCATTCGACTCAACCCTCTCTCTACCATTCCCGATCTTCCACATTCATTCAGGTAATTCCATTTTCTGCACTTCGAACATGCTTCTTCATCATTTTCTGCTGCGATTTCATCCCATATCTAATATTATCGAACTTTAATTCATGCTTGTTTCTTCATCGAACGCAATTTTTAGCTTTTTTTTCTTTCACCGGTGATTTCTTAGATCTACGGTCAAAATATTCGAATCTGTAACGAAGGTCTGTAGATCTTCTATTAGCGCTTCATCTGTTTCCCACATGCTATGTTCATGTTTTAGATAAGTTCTCGTGTCCCCGTGTTTGTTACGTTCAGTGTATTTTTAATTATTTTTTATTTACAGAAAATTGTTGTCGATGTTTAGTGATCTATATTTCGTTTCTGGGCTACAAAAGGATAGATATGATGCAGTAATCTTTTATGGTTTTCTGTTCGAACTTTAACATGTTGAGCTTTGATTAAGAAATGGATCTGCTTTTATCTTGTTTTGTTTTGTTTTGTTTTTCAATTAACACTTCATTTGGGAAGAGGTAACCTGAGGGAGGTGAAGGTGATGAAGTTTAAGGCTCAAATTGTGCCTCCGTTTTGTAGGCTTAGCAGTTTTCATCTCTTACTCCTTATATTTGTTACTTCTGGATCGGTGGTGGGCAACTAAACCATACCAATACTCCCTATCTTGGTTTATTCTTTGAAAGGTTTTACAGAATAAATCTATGGTATGTTTGAGATCATGGAGTTGGCTCAAATTCCATGTTTGGGAAACTAAAAATTTTGAATTTGGATTTGAGTAAATTCTTTTCATTTATAACAAAGCTTAATTTGAAATCCATGCACCTCCCCTTGTCATTTGAAATTCAAGATTTCAAAATTTGGAATTGAAATGCATGAATTGAAATGAAATGCTAGTTGCCAAACACTACCCTAATGAATTCTTTTTTTTTGTACCGATATGCATTGCAATTTTTGTTTAATTGATGATCAAAGTTTGTCCAATTGTACTGCGAAAAGTCAATCCCGAGAAATACTTAGACAAAGGGAGTACCTCATACGTACATACTCGCACTTACAGATTTACCTCATTACGAGTTAAACAATTGGTTATGTACTGGTAACTCTATAGAACTACCTCAAACCACCTACCTTACATTAAGTTGCATGCTTTTCTTAATTGAACCCCTGCTGAACATGTGGTAGAAAATCTGTTTGCTCAGGGGAAGTAACATCTGGTTTACTTTAATTTTCGTTTTTTGCCTCGTGTGAGAAATTAAGAGTTGACTCAGTTTTAAGATGCATAAAAAGAGACATTCTTCTATCATGATTCAATGTAGTTAGAAAAATCCTTGATCCTTGTTGGGTTTGTCTCATTCCATTTTTTGATTGGATTTTGAACTTGGTAAACTGAGAACTCTACCTTCTTAAACCGTTGCTCTTTGGCTGAATTTGAGTTCCACCTCTGGTAATCTAATTTCTGTGTAGCTTTTCATCAGCAGAGCCAAGCAAAGCAAAGTGATGGCTGGGCACGTGGCACATGTTGTGTACAAGGGTCCAAGTGTGGTGAAGGAAATTATCATTGGGATTAGCCTCGGGCTTGTTGCGGGAGGCTTCTGGAAAATGCACCACTGGAACACTCAGAGGAGAACAAAAGAGTTCTATGACATGCTTGAGAAGGGTCAGATAAGTGTTGTCCACGATGAGGAATAGATGCTAATGTGACCTAAAAAGAATTCTGAACATCGTTTTGTTTACTATTATGCGACGAATGTATGCATGAAAAGCAAACTACTATATAAAAGACTAAATGTTTATTGGTATATTGCATTGTATTAATGGGGCAGGGAACCCTTTAGCCATTCTTCTTTGCAGAATAATTCTTGAAAACTTTTTGTTGGATTGAGCTTGAGGGAAGATAATGTTGTTTTGGAATTATCGACTATCTTGTTGTAATGCATGCTTGTTTTTTTCCCTCTAATATCTTTGTTTCATTGAGGAGCAATTTGTGGTTCATTTATCCTCTCTTCAATCTATATATGTCGAGGCAAATGTTGAGGACATTTGCAGCAAATGTTACTCTACGACCCAAAATTGTGTTTTTTTCCTCCCTTCCAAAATTTTAAGGGAGAATTGTTTTCTCTACCGCGTGAATTTTTCTTTTGCGTTTGACACTTTGGGACATTCTCCCTATAATTTAGTTTTGGGTTGCCAATGTTATCTTCCTAAATCCTAACCATGCTACAATAAGCCATTGAAGGAAAGACGGTTAAACACCGAATACATTCTAAATTTTTACAAAAATTACTCTTTTTATTCCAATTTAAATTAGTTATTTCGGTTTACATTATTGATTGGAGTTATTTTTAAATCATTCATAACAAAGTTCAGTTTGAAATTCATATGATTCTCCTTGTCATTTAAAATAATTTTAGAATTGAAATGAATGAAATAAAATAAAATATAGTTCTCAACAATACCTTAACGTAATTTAAAATAAAGTTAAATTGCACGAATAAATCATTTTAAGTTTTTTTAAAACAAAAATGGGAAAAAACGAAGCCTATTCTAAGGTGAAAGGGGTATTCATCAAATATTTTGAAGGAACATTTGGTTTTGATTTTTGACAAAATTAGTTACTCCTTATAACAATGCGTTTGTAACCTGTACGCTGATGGGTTGATTACTAAAAAAGTCAACAAAAGAAATTGCATTGACTTGTTTGGTTCACCTGGCCACTCGTCGGTCGTCATAGTCTGCCGGCGGGATGGACTTCGGCGCCGAATTGCCGCCGCCATTTCTCTCGACGGGAGTAACGCCGGGGGAAAAAATATACAGAGCAGTCTCGTCAGTCTACAATTCTCTACCGAAGAAAGGAAAGCCTCAAGGCCGCGAGGTCACCGTGTTGGCTGCCTTTCTCATTTCTTCTCCACATCGCGGTAAATCCGAATTGAAATCTTGAAATTCACCGTCTGTCTGAATACATTCGCCTCGTATATGCTTTAATTTCTTCATTGATTTCAGAACTGGAGGTTGTTTCGCTTGGAACTGGGACGAAATGCATTGGGCGCTCTCGCCTGAGCTCAAATGGCGACGTTGTTAACGACTCTCACGCTGAGATTGTGGCCAGAAGAGCTCTTTTGAGGTTCAATTTTGATTTTTTTCAATATAAAGAATTCCATCCCAAAATATCAGCTTTTAATAGTTCTTTATTTCTGATTTTTTGAATAAATTTCCCGAACGCTCATTCAGTGAATCTCATCCCAAAATATCAGCTTTTATTAGTTCTTTACTTCTTCCATAGCACATCTTGGAGGTAGCATGAGGTTTATGCTCACAATGTATGATGTATTTTGTTGAATAAATAAATTGAGCTCATAAATATCGCCTGAATCGTATCAGGTATTTATATGCAGAGGTTAAGCGTCTTACTGATGGTTATCATAGTCATACAAGCAATCCTGGGATGGAAATAGGGGATGGTGTTGGCGACCAAAACTTTCTGTTCATTTCAATAAGAGATGATTCTGGACGAAGACGATTGGTGATGAAGCCGGGTTGGGAATTACATCTGTACATATCACAATTTCCGTGTAGGTACTCTTTTCCAATATCTTTTGCTTTTGGTTGCAAAAGATAAATTTTCATTTGCACTCATCTTTCTTTTTGACCACTTCATTTCTTTGTAGGCGGAGAAGCCTCACCGAGTTCAGAACTTGCTCACCTAAGAGAGAGTCATTCAAGGACTGACAATCACTATTATTCCCCATTAGAGCTCAGTGGAACAGTTGAAGGTATTAGTTCTGCAACACTTTGAGTGTTGTCATAATTTTTTACCATCAACTTTTATCTTCTAAAGGTGTTGCTGGTTTCTTCATTTTTACCATCACTTTGGGCAGTTACGTATTAATTGGTTAAGATATTGGTATCATCAAGAGTGGTGCACGAATCCAGTGACATGCTTCTGTAACTTCATCATTTCCAGTTTTTTTAGTGTCATACTGAATGCCCCTTCATGTTTATATCATCTATGCGCTGCATGTAACCAAGTCAAGTTTTGGTAGCTTTTTGTTCTAGCATATCAATGCCCATTTCACTCTTACACGTTCCAGTGTTGTTATGAAGAATGTATAGTGATAAAAAGGACTTCATAATCAGACTAGACTACTTATTTTCATTTCTCTTTTTCAGGAGAACATTCAATGGTTATTGGCACAGTTTTGAGGAAGCCAGGTCGTGGAAATACGACTTTGTCAGTCAGCTGCTCTGATAAGATTGCCCGATGGAATGTAGTTGGAGTTCAAGGTTTCTCACACACTCTTTCTTTTTTGGAACTAAAAACGTATTTGATTCAATGTGTTTTGGTTAGACGATTTTAAACTAGTATGTCGTCCCAATCACCTCTGTGTTGTTGAAAGGGGTGTATTGACTGTTGAGTATCACACATTGATTGGCTAGTGCATTTGCGTTAATATTTAAGAGTGAGGTAATCCTCACTTCTTAGAATCAATTTAACATGACATTTTCCCTTGATCTTGGCCTTGAACTTATAATACGTTGGGGAGTGTTTGCCACTCCACGGTTTGGGCAACTTGATGGGGGTCAGTTCTGATCCATTTGTCCACCCGTCAGTTGCTTGCCCTGGTTTGTGTTGATGTGGGGCATGGGTATCACACATAAGTTGTCTGGTGGGTCCGAGTCTACTATTCAAGTGTGTGGGATATTCTACAGTGATTTTGACCCAATTTAACACCTTTTTTTTAAAAAAAATTAGGAGCACTACTTTCTTACTTCATGGAGCCAGTTTACATTTCTTCAATAACAGTTGGACAATCACCTATAAGCTCTGACAATTCCAACATTGAAGAACGAATGAAGAGAGCTGTGTATGACCGGCTTCTACCATTATCATCCAAGATTATGTTTCCCTATGAAGTGAAAAAGGTTTCTTTGGCTTTACCCTACTTAGTCATTGCATATAGATGTACGAAATTACTCGTATTAATTCCTTGTGTACTTACAGCCAATTTTCATGGTAGCTCCAATACCGTCAACCGAGTTTCAGCACTCTGAAACTGCCTCAGCCACCTTAACATGTGGGTATGTTTTAGTTCTTTACCCGTTTTTTTCCTTTGAAGGCTGCTAGTTTCGTCTATCTTATAATAATTTTTTTATCCTTGTAAAATCACTGTTAGTATGCCTCTTGAATTGAAGGTACTCCATATGTTGGAACAAGTTGGGCTTGCATGAAGTAATTCTTGGTACCACTGGAAGGAAGCAAGGCACCTCTGCAAAAGGAGCATTATCTCCATCCACCGAGTCATCTGTGTGCAAGTTAGCCATTTGTAGACTTTTCCTTGCCTACCCTTCACCTTTTTTCTTCAAGATGACAAAATCTTTTGAATGGATTTTCATTATTCATGCAAGCATGGTGTTTAGTTTTGTGGTAAAATACCTTGCAACCAATTTTTCTTTTATATTCTATCACGATAATCAGATGTGTGGAATAATTATGTCTTGCCCCCCCCCCCCAAAAAAAAGGCACAGTTATATGGCCACCCCTAATGGTGTTATATATGTTGCAATCACTGATCAGGAAGCACCTTTTGGAGTTGTTTTGCTCAATTTATCGTGATATGCTGGATCAACATGCTCTGTGTGAAACCTCCTATCAAGAACTAAAGGTAATTTTTACTTCTTCAGTGCTACAGGTCCTTGATCTACTAATGTCTATCGTAAGTTGTGATGCCCCTAATTATATTATATATTGTCATCTAGAGTTCAATCTAATTGATCTCACTGCCTCTATACTATGTAAGGGTTGTCTGGGTGTGGGCTCCAAAAACTAGTGGAATAAACACTATTCTCTAGTTTTCTTTATTTCTATATTCTGTTGCAGGGACAAGCTGTGGAGTACACTATTGCTTCAAGAACCTTCAAACAGAGCCCTCATTTTAAAAACTGGTTTATGAAACCTTACAACTCTGAGGCCTTCATGCATACTGGACACTAAGGCCAGGTATTCTTAAAAGAAGGTTACCTTCTCTTAACAATGCTATTTAAGGAACCATATTCCTTTCATTGACAATTCGACACTATCGTGGTTAAAATGATCCTAAATCGCATAGTCATATCCCAAATCAAGTATCCATTTGCTTTTGACATGTGTATTACAAAAGTGAAAGCATGGTTGAGATTTATTCAAAAATGAAATTAAACGATTTCAACCACACAGTTATCTCCTTACATGGAAATGAGATGTTTATTTTGCGACAACTCAAACAGTAATGTTGGAACAAATGGAGTACTTTTTAAGTGGCTAGTTTTTGTTCTATTGAATGCATTGTTATGCTAACAACAACCCAGTAAAATCCCACATAAGTAGGGCCAGGGAGGGTGTGTGTACGCTGACATTATCCCTGCCTGAGAGTAGAGAGGCTGTTTCCAAGAATGCATTCTTATGCTATCTTGGAAAATGAAGAAAACAAAAGAACAGAAAAAGAGATGAATGATATAAATAGTTCTGTGGTGTCCACTTGTTTCTGGTTGCTTTAACTCATATCCATGTGTTTTCTTTTTGTTTGGTATCTGCACACATACTACATTACTACAGAAAGTAGTAATGCAAAAATACTGTATTATGGCTAGAGTACTCCTTTTAATGCTTTATAGTGTGTAACATTTATGTACGAAGAAGGGGAACAATCTGAAAAATAATAATTGCTCTCTTAATATTCCAAGGTGACTGTTCTTTTAAAACTCTTTTTAAATTTTGCTAAAGCTATAGTTAAAAGAGAATGGAGGGAGTGACCAGTTTATGAATTGATTATAATCTCCCGGAGCAGTCTTCCTTCCATTTTGATCATGAAACCTGTATTTAGTCTGAGAACTCTACAGGCATAACAATAAATTTCTATCGAAGGAATTGTGATCTTCATCCACGTGGGATTTGTGAAGATTTAAGAAGCTTCATAATTCTGCCTGTCTCGGATATGCATTTGTAGCTTCCCATAGCTCAACCTGCTCGATTAATTTGTGTTTCCTATTAAGAAAGGCTTGAAGATTTGCAGGATCATAATGAGGAGGCATGGTGCAAGGGCTTGATTCTGAAGCATTGTTCACCATTGAAAACAATCTGAATTTCTTCCTCAACCCTTTGACAGAACAAATCAGTGCCTCTCGGCACACTTCAACAGCTCCTTCAGGTACACTTGGCTGAAACTTCAAATGCTTTGCGTATTCTTGTAAAAGATGAAACATGTAGTCATAGACATACTTCATTCTTAAGTTTTCTTGAACATACCTGCTTCCTTCTTTCCCAATCTTTTGTGCCTGATGAACCCCCCATAAGAGGGGAAAAAACTTAGTGTCAAGTTGTGAAAGTTAATATGGCCGAAATGATTGAATCTACTAGATTTTCTGAAACGCAGAACCTTTGTTACCATCTGTTTGATCCAATCAAATAATTTTGCCAAAGCTATTGTTCTGATGATGTGTAGAATAAGAAGAAAAAGCTAGAGCTTTCTTAATCACCACACTTATTCAATTGAGTTTTGTCATTGTATTTATATCTGTGCAGATTTACCTCTTTTGGATGAGAATTTCCCCAATCTACTGCAAATTTGGTTGATCTGCATTTTTCTTTTTCATTGATCGGCCAATAATGGACCGTGGGTACAAGGCTTCGTGTGAAGAAATCATAGTAGCGAGGGTTTATGATCAGACTCATGGAATCACAGGCAAGAATGTACTTCTCACTCACTGACCACGAAACTCCTTCGACATAAATTTTATACCTGCCACACACAAATCATTGTGTGAAAGTGGAACAATGCGTAGTCTTGAACTGTCTATGAGTTTCACAACAACACACACCTATAAGTGCATTGGTTCGCCAAATCTGAGGTGTTGAATCCCTGGGTTTTCTCATGAAGCCAGTCCTGAAAATGGCTAATTGCAGTCTTTTAAGTAAAATAATTGCACAAAACATTTTTCTTCTTCTTCTTATGCAGTTTAAGAACTTTAGAGTACTAGCTATTTCATTAGTTACCACGTCATAGATCCGGGCATTCCAGTCTTGCATAGCAGAAACATTGCATTTGACAAGATCTGGCCTTGCAATGCCCAGTTTCGTATTTCCCTTCCAATATGCGTAGGGCTCTCTGTCCTCCCACTTCATCACATCATTGCTTTCTTGCAACTCTTTCTTCAAGATTTCCCAAGGCTTTATTTTGAGCTCCGGCCTACAAAATTGCTCTTTGAACTTAACAAGCTTTGATACCACACTAACATCAATTTTAGCTTTAGGAAGTGTGATGGTATGCATTTACCAACCCCAGAAGGACCAATCAGGAAACACAATGTCATAGCTCCATTCATCACTACAGTAGCGAAACACCGGTGGAGGAGCAAAACCCTGTTTGGTTGTGTCGTGGGCCCGTTTATGTATAACGGGCTTGTCACCACACTCAAACATCATATCCAAATCCGGGATCCTACCCGGGTACAATGCGATAAGCTGCAAAATCCCCCATAGTGTGACCATGTCCCTTGTTTGGAAAGCCTGTTTATACTTCTCCACATACAATACACCTTTCACTACAATCACTCTAATGTGTGCTACTTCTCTAGCTCTTTCAACCATCTCCCTTGTGATTCCTGTAACTTTCCATGGCTTCAGGTCTTCATGGATCCACCGGAAGTAATCTGGGCATTCCTCAGTTTGTGATGTATGTTCATTCTTGTGCACATAACCGACTCTCCGTGGGCATTCGGTTGAACAAGATATCTTAGGGAATATAGTGTTAGACTTTTTTTGAAATGAACCTGATAGAATAGACTGAAAACAAAATTGCATTGTTAATGTTCCAAAAAAGGGGAAGAATATAAATAAATTTAATAAATTCATGCATATGTACCATATCCATCCATTGGACTGTGATTGCAGCAACCAGAAGGATTACCAGAAAGAATCCTAAGGTTGTACCCTTATGATGAGGCCTCCCTATCATTCCATTCACTGCTTTGCTTCTCCTGTTTTCACAATAAAACATGTACAGTAGTTTTTATTGGTCTAAAGTTATATATTTGCCTTTAAAATTATTAAGTAAAATCAAGATTTGAAGAAAGTCATATGCATGAACAGGAGCATTTTGTGGGTAACTAGTGGACAACATTGTGGGATTATTTTTGCTTTCCTCATTTTCCTCCACTTATGACAATTTTTTAGTTTTTATTATAAATATAATGTGTCACTATCTTTGTAAATAATAATAATAATAATAATAATAATAATAATAATAATAATAATAATAATGTGTCACTATCGTGAACATATCTCAAGCGACTTAAACTACGTAGGATTAATTATTTGCCACCAAATGTAAACAAATCTTTTATTGTGTTTCTTGAATCAACAATAAAGTGGAATATGATTATGGTAATTAACTTCTCTTGTACTAATAATGTGCATTAATATTAATTATGTGTTTGAAATTAAATAAAAATGCGTTCTTGCCACAACATACCGTTTTGTCTTCCGACTACGAGCAATCAAATATATATCTCCTTGTGTAGGAACTTCAAATTCATTGAAAATAACCAGAAGATAAAAAATGAGAGAGAGAGAGAGAGAGGTATTATTATAAGGTGAGAAAAATAGGTACATTCAAAGCCATTTAGGCACATGCAATTTTGAGAAAATTGAGGATACATAACTAGTCTCGATCATATTCACCATACATTTTGGGAACATAATATATACTCTATTTGTTGGTTTTGTTACAACACGTCACACATTTTAGAATCAAATTAAACTAACGTCAATATAATTTGAATTCAACTATTAAAAAAATACCCGAGTATAAGCTTAATTATAAGTTGAGTTTCTTTTATTTCACAAAAAAAAAGTTGAGTTTCTTCCGAATTAATGTGAAAATGCTACTCCGTATAATTTTTTTTAGTAATCATTTTGTGCATGTGTGATTTATTATAATGAATCTAAGGCCTTATAGACTTACAATTAAAACACTTCACGTATCTCTACAAGAGAAGTACTTCTTCCATCCTTGAGTATTTGTTTACTTTTAATTTTTTTAGTAAATTGGTAAACTTTGACTTCACATTAAATAAATAAAAGTGATATTAGACATTAATACAAAACTTTTTATTAGATTTATTATGTAGAATATTTTCAAATTATTATTATTTTCCTAATAAATATAAAATATGCATTTTATTTAATTATAGGTCAAACATTGAAAATGATTGACTGAAAAAAGTCAAAATTAGAGAATACACAGGGACGGATGTTGAAATTGACTTAGGAGTTGAAATTCTATGAAATTGATTTAGATGTAATAGAATTATCCAATTCCATTTCATTTTTGGCATTACCAATTCTAAATTCACATGTTTTTGTGGTACCAAACAACTAAATTTGAATTATTATCTCTAATTTCAATTCCGTAATTTGAATTTCGTGTACCAAACAGAGCTTTATGCATCGATATGATGAACAATGTTAGGGAGAGATCTGGATCAATAGGTGAAAGGATAACAAAGTTTCATTTTAAATAGGTTAGGATATTTTTTTTAACTTTTAATTTGCCTGATAATATAAATAAATCTTGCACTTCCTTCAAGAATTAAATAAATAAATAAGTAAATCCTTGTTGGTAATTAATCAGGCATTTGACTTCCCTAAGAAAAGGAAATTAGTTCCCACTTAGGAAGTAATATCTTCTGCGACACGCATAAATTATTGATCAATGCTTAGATCGGAAATTGATTAATTGAAGCTACGCTCTCCCAATTCCAAATGTGGTAATTACTTCATTTTCACACAATTTAATTAGTAACAGCTAAAAATGGTTCAAATCATGCATATATGCTCTTACCGATTTATTATTTGGGTGGTAGGTGAAGCACATGACTAAAAATCTTCTTATTTTTCCTTTTATATAAAATAAAAATCTAATATTTGAAATGGATAATAATTATAATATAATAATAGTAATAGTAATAGTAATAATAATAATAAAATAATATTAATGAAAAAAGAAAATACAACTCCATATTAATTTCTTTTCTTTAGTTTCAAATAAATTTTTATCATAAAATTAATTAATTTTCATTTTCAAATCATACATTACATAAACGACATTATTATGTATGCCAATGGAATAAACAATTTTACTAAATAAGAATAGTGAAAATTTAAATTATTTGAGAAATGCATGCATTATTTGAGAAAATTAAAAAAATTAAAATTTGGCAAATACTCTTCAACTTAGAGGATAATTAAATGAAACTCTAAACATTATTTGAGAAATGCATGCAAAGTGGAGTATATAAGTAAATAATTTTTGTGCTAAACAAAACTACAAGTATTTAATTTAATTATTATTTCGAGAGGAAGCAAAAGAAAAAATGAAGGAAAAGCTGATGAAGTGTAACAAACACTACCGTTCCTTTTTGAGTCATAAATTGGCTCCCCCCATTATACAAACTAAACGCCTCGCCGCCGTGACCGCGGCGGCCCTCCTCCTACTCCTCTACATCATCGCCACCAAAGACGCCGCCTGGCCGCCGCTTGCGAACATGAAGAGCACTGACGGAGATGATGTCGTTTACGAATTCCCGCTAGACTGCGACGCATGGAACAAGACAAACACGTGCCCGAGGAACTACCCGACGTCATCGCCGCCGGAAAACCTTAGTCCCGCCGGCGGCGTGCCGGGGATGTGCCCGGAGTACTTCCGGTGGATCCACGAGGACCTGAAGCCGTGGAAGGAGACGGGGATCACGAGGCCGATGGTGGAGAAAGCTCGCCGGAGCGCGCACTTCCGTCTGGTGGTTTCCGGCGGCCGGATGTATGTGGAGGAGTACCGGAAAAGTATTCAGAGCAGAGCTTTGTTCAGCATGTGGGGGATGGTCCAGTTGCTCCGATGGTACCCGGGGAAGTTGCCGGACTTGGAGCTCATGTTTGACTGCGATGACCGGCCGGTTGTTCGGGCAAAAGATTACCGGAATCCCAGCTCCGGCCCGCCGCCGGTTTTCCGGTACTGTTCCGACGAACGGAGCTTGGACATTGTGTTCCCGGACTGGTCATTTTGGGGCTGGTTCGTGACTAATACTCCCTCCTTTCTTTGCATTTGTATGTCTACTTTTGATTTTTTTGAGTCTAATGAGAATTGAACTTTGATCTAAAATTTTTAAAAAAATTTACCGTACTTCGTATATTAATTACGGAGTAGATAAAACAATTTTTCTAAAATGTGTTTTAAGACAAGTTTAATAAAAATTACTCTTGTATCAATACCTAATACGAGTATAAATTATACTCCCTCCGTCCCATTTTAAATTGCCTGTTTGCCTTTTTTCTCCGTCCCAAAATAAGTTGCCTGTTAGTTATTTTCGTAAACTTTTAAAAAAAAATATCTAAACTACCCCTAAAATAAGTCACTCTTCTTCACCTTATCTTCTCATTTATCATCACCCCTTCTAAAAAGTAATGGCAATTTCGGAAAATCAACTCTATTTTTTATTTTCTTTAAATATGCCCAAAAATCAAAACAGGCGATTTAAATTGGGACGGAGGGAGTACTTCTTTCGTCCCATAAACTATTTTTCCTTTTTTTCTTGTCCCACAAATCCTATCCTTTTCTATTAAAAACCACTTTTATTCCTACTAATTCTTACTATACCTATCAAATCATACATTTTTTCTTAAGAGTCTATCGATCATTTCCTACTTTTACTCATCACATCAAGGTTATTTTTGGAAAGTCTATATAAAAATATCAGTTTCTTTAAATTCTCAAAAAGTCAACAAGGAAAGAATTTTAAGGAAAAGAAAGAGTATATAATTAATAGTCAAAACTCAAAATTTAATAATTTTGACGACAAGAAAGTCAAAACTGAAAAAATACTCTCAAATGAAAGTAGTACTCCCTCCGTCTCGGAGTATTCGTCCAGTTTTGACTTTTGGAACTGTTCATCTAAGCACTTTGACTCATCAAATTCTCTCAATGTGTAAGCCTAAATATAGTCATGTGTGACTTGTTTAATACTCCGTATATAATTTCTATAATTTTTTAATATACAAATTACAAGATAAAATGGATTAAAGAAGTATATTGGATGATGTTCAAAAATGAAAGTAAACAAATACTTTGAGACGGAGGTATAATTGATATTCCCCTCTCAAACCGAAGTAGTAATTGATATTCCACTCTTTTGCAAATCTATATTTCATGTTGATTTAATTCCAAGTGATATTTAAAAAAAGCATGAATAGTGAGATTTTAGGGAAATATAAAGCCATGCGATTGTAGGGCTGAGACAAATATAAAGCCGTGGAGAAGCGTGACGAAGGACATAAAAGAAGGGAACAAGAGAAGGAAATGGAAGGACAGGGTGCCCTTAGCCTATTGGAAGGGCAACCCCAAGGTGACACCCTCTAGGGCTGACCTTATCAAATGTAATCTCACTCGACGCCATAATTTCAACACTCTTCTCTACGTTCAGGTATACCCCATACATACATACATATATATATATATATATATATATATATATATATATATATATATATATATATATATATATATATATAGTTCTCACAAATTCAAAAAAAAAAAGATATTAGTGAGAACGTACATAAAAATTTTAATCGTCAATATATTGCATGTCTCGAACAACGTAACGTTGTGAGAAGTAAATAGGGAGAAAGACCCAAGTAGGACTAAAACATTGAAAATATACCAAAATAAGACTTCCATGTTTTTATTCCCGAAATAGAACTTACATTACCAAACATGGTCATATACATTACCAAAAACGTATAGTAATGTGCACACGTACAGTGTCACATTACCACAGTGCAAAGTCCTATTTCGGGAAAAAAAACATGAAAGTCCTATTTGATTACTTTTCTCTATGTTTTAGTCCTATTTAGGGTGATTTCTAAAGTAAATATCGATGGTTAATTTTTTTCGGGGGGGTGTAGGACTGGAAAAAAGAAGCAAGAAGAGGATACAAACAATCAAGTCTTGGAGACCAGTGCACTCACAGGTTAATTTATTTAATCAAAGTAAAGTAATAATGTATACTTATGAAATCAAAATGATAATGTATCACTCCCATAATATATGTATGTATATGTGCTCATGTAGATACAAGATATACATAGAGGGATGGGCATGGTCGGTGAGCGAGAAATACATAATGGCATGCGACTCACCAACGTTGTACGTCGCGTCTCGCTTCCACGATTTCTTCGTCCGGGGAATGGTCCCTCTGCATCACTACTGGCCAATTAACAAAACTAGCAAGTGCAAGTCTCTCCAATTTGCAGTTCATTGGGGCAACAATAATAATCACACTTCCCAAGTAAGTTATAATATGACATTAATCCATTTGAGGATCCTGCGGAGCTTCGTTTATTCTAAAAGGGTGAGGGTTTGTGAAGGGAATTAGGAACGAATTCAAGATCAAACGAAGCACTGTAAGGGCATCAAATGATCAATGTCAAAAGAATGAGCTCATTCTAATATTTATCGAGATAAATGTAAATATAAGTGGCCAAAATATTACATTAATTCCTAATTCGTGAAAAAAGCGGTAAAGCATTTTGAGGATGGAGTATACTCGCTCTCTTTCGGGATAGTCACGATATTTAACACTTGGATTGGTATTTATAATTATATTTCAAAATAAATGAAGACAATGTAGTACTCCATCCATCTCAAAAAATAAACCTCAAAGACTATATATAGAGTACAGGCACACGCAATACAGTGAAAATATGTATAATGCATATGTCCGTTCAGGCACAAGCAATAGGGGAAGCAGGGAGCAAGTTCATCCAAGAAGACATGAAGATGGAAAACATATACAACTTCATGTACCACTTGTTGAATGAGTACGCGAAGCTGTTGAGATTCAAACCTGAAATACCTCAAAACGCGGTGGAGCTTTGTGCGGAAGCCCTTGCTTGTCCCACAAATGGCGTGTGGAGGAAGTTCATGGACGAGTCTTTGGAGAAATCTCCAAGCTACACTCATCTTCGTCATCATCATCCTTGCACTTTACCTCCCCCTTATGATCCTGAAGAGCTTGAAGCTTTTTTGGGTGAAAAAATGGAGGCAACCAAGCAAGTGGAGACGTGGGAGAAAGAGTATTGGGACAACAAATTCAAAAGCTAAGCACTCTCCATAACAAGTTACTATAAATAGTGCGTGTCTTCGGGTGTGTTTGGGAACGACTTCATCAATGTTTAGCGTTAGCGTTTTGAAAAGGTTATCTATAGCATTTGTATACTTAATCTACACCTTCAGAATTTTATCCAAAACGCTAACGCTAATTGAAAATGTCATTTCCAAACAAGGCCTTCTTATGTACTCCGTTATAAGCTAAAATTGAAATTTTTGTTCTCTGCAGTGGTCTTCTTAATATAGTATCTTCTTTTAATCTTTTGTTCTCCGTAAAGTTGAAGAATAACTTTAATTTAGGGAACAATTCATTTGTTCCTTTTTTGCTAGTTTGACTTTTAGCAGTATTATCGTGAAAATTTTATTAAGTGCACTTAATACTTATACTTTTTAACCATTTAACCACAAAGCTCACCACTCCAATTCCCCATTTTTTTGTGAAGCAAACGCAAAATCCCACCAATCCAAAAAAGAACAAAAAATAGTACCAAATGCCATTGTGTATAAGTTTTAACACCTTCCATCCACACGCAAGACTGTTATAACAATCAATATTGAACCAGCAATAGTAAAAAAATTATAGACGTACTTGTAATAGGTGAAAAGCTAGCAGGCTGAGTTAACTCCAATCCAATTATGATTCAAAGATAAATGTGAGTATGTAGACCTCTTACCACCAACAACGACAAAAACAACCTGATTTAATCCAATTTCCTTTTAGAACTTAGGAGTCAAAGTTTAAGCGGTCTTATACCAATAAAAACAGAGAGGTTCTTGTCTCAGACTAGATGCGTTATTGCATTTACTATCCAAAACTTCAGAGAAAAGTAAAAAACAATAGAAGTTTATTGTTCCATTTTGATTTAGTTGATTAGGTGCCTGAAACTAAAACATTGACAATAAAGAGCCTTTGAGCTCCGTTGGAAATAGACGAAAAATGGAAATTTAACGAGATAAACGCACATGGAGCTCGATGAAAAATTCAACATTAATCTTCCCATTAAGTTCATTAACAACTTAGTTGAGTATTGCTCCAAAGATTTCAAATATGATCATACCATTTTACAAGTGCTCCTAATTGTCAACCTCCATAGCTTGTGCAGCTTTGGCTTTTGCCAATGGCGTCAATTTCGTCTTCAACTTCTTCTTCCCAACTTTGAATTTACTGCCGCCCTTCTTCTTGCTCTTCCCATCCACCTAACACCACCGCCAACATCATCAAAATTAAGCACCACATTTATAAGTTTAACATCAAAAGGAAATTGAAAACAAAAGTATTGTAATTTTGAATGTCATTAACATGCTATTAACACTAATTATATCATCCCTAAAGTATATGACAAGTGAATTGATAACACAGCCGACACTCTTTTCAACAAAAAGTTACCATTGAACATGATTAGAAGATAAAACTATTCAAAAATCCATGTCAATACTCTTTTTAAGCTTGATATTTTTTAAGAATATTCCAAGATAACATCATTATAATCAGTGGTGCCAGACATTCAACTTTTTCACTATAATACTCCACGATTGCATATTGATCGAGATATGCCTTAAAAATTTGGGCATCCACGTAAAATAAAAAATCTTTAGGAATATTATTGTAAAAAAAAAAAATTCAGGAGCATTTGTAAAAATCATGTAATCTAGAAGTATTCTTGTAAAGTCTCAATTTTTTTGGAGTATTGTCATGAATCCTTTCCAAAAATAAATAGCAACGGGTTTCAAATGAATCAAAGGGACGGATTAATTTGGAAGAAAAAATCAAGAAAATAAATGAAAACACAGTGAAATTGAACAAAAAAGAATCGATTTTGAAGAGAATAAAAAGGAAATTACTTTCATCTTGTCCTTCTTGGCTTGTAGCTTCTTCTCCTTCTGTTCCTTCGCTTGCTTTTCTCCTGAATTTTCCACGAAATTAACAAAGCACAAGATTCCAACAACGAAAAAAAATTAAAAATAAGATAGAAAAAAATCAAAGGCGTTTTACTTTGGAGATCGAATTCGTGTTGCTTTCTACGGAGAGCCAAATTGTTCTTCTTCGACATTTTCGATCTGGTAGAGACTGCTGCAGCGAATTGCCCAAAACCCTAACCCCAAATTCGCTCATCATACTTAAAATTCTAAAATCGGCTAAATTGTTAAAAGTGCTAAGGCATTTGAAGATTTTGAAACAATTAGCAAAAAAAACTTTTAAAAGAAGAAAAATTTAAAAAAAAAACAGTTTTTTATCAGATTATAATTTATTAATCATTGTAATTAAAAATCAAATTTCCTAAAACTATTCAACTATAGAAGAAGAAAACATAGATCGCATATTTAAAAACTAAAAAGAAAAAAAATAAAATTAGGGATTTGATCATTAAAATCAATAGATTAAAATAAATCATATGTTCATACAATCATACCTGAAGACTGAAGTGAAATTAGTGGATGGAGAAGTGCTGGACGGCGTATATGTGAGGCGACGGCGCGACGCAAATCTTCTTCTTCCTCTGTCTTCGACCTTCCGCCTTTGTTCTTCACTTCTTCCGCTTCTCTGTGCGGCAATGTGAGGCGAAGGCGTAGATGTGAAGAGTTGCTCCATAATTTTTTTTGCCATTTGGGCTTATTATTACATACTACTATACCACTATCTTTAAAAAATAATTGGGCCCTAGATTTTTTTGAGGCCCTGCACGGTTGAACATAGGCCCAAGGCCGCCCCTATACGGAGTAAAAATTAACATCACTTAAATGAATACTACAGTACAAATTAATTGATGATTTTTGAATATTGGTGCGGAATTTTTCTAATAGAGATTAAATTTTGCATTTTTAAAAATTTAATTAATACGGACTAGTATTAAAATGGATGAAATTTTACATTTTAAAAAGTGATATTTACACATTTTTCGAATGGTCTGTTAAGGTAGTAAACACGCAATTTTAAAATATGAGAATTTAGAATATTTAAAACCCCCGCAGAAAAATTTACATAGTTAATTAATCTTGGAATTTTCTTTGATAAATTCTCAAAAGTGGCGATTATTTCAATACAATTTATTTGCGTATTAAACATACAACTTAATTTGTAACGAAGAGGGTATATAAAGGTGATAAGTCAAAGATTGAAAATCGTTGACCAAAAACAAATACTCAGGGACGGAGGTAGTACTATACGTCATATTACTATCTCAATTCTTGAGTATTTTTCTAGTTTTAGTTTTTCTGCAATCAACTATTTCAAATATTTGACTTATAATTAAATTAAATAGAACTGATATGGTATATTAATTAGATTAAACATTATTTTGAAAATATCATACACGTATAAAACAAAACTAATAAGGGGAATGCTAGGGGTATACCATTTGGTGTACCCCATTTGTACACCAATGCAACAATCATAGCCATAGATTTCCTTTTATATTTTTAATGTTTTTTTCTTTTCTTGCTTTTGTGTGGTGGAGATGGAGGGGGTACAAATGGGGTACAAAAATTGGTGTACCCCTAGCATTTTTGAACTAATAAATACGGAGTACATCTTTTTATCAATATCAAATGAGTATCAGTTTTAATTTATTAATGATCAAAGTTTATCAATTTCAATGATAACTGATCAAAACTAGACATTTAATTTGCTATTAGTGTTAGTAGGTATTTAATTTGCTGTCAAGGTACTTTATTAAGTGGTGGGGGGTATGTCTTGGACTAGACTAGTCTAAAGGACTACTTCGGTGCCAATCTTTTAAATCCAAATCCTAGTCTGTCTCGGTCAATTTACTCATTTCATTTTTTACGTATTTCATAAAGTGAAATTTGCATTGAATAGGATTGAAAGATAACTCATTTCCTAATGTAGAACTTAAATTTTTTTTATTCACTAAATAAGACTTAATAATAACTAGTGAGAAGAATAATTTCTAACTGGTGCTGGACATTTAGTTGAATAATGACTAAAAAATAATGACCAAAAGTCCTACATTAGAAAATAAAAACATATATATGGTTCTATATTCAGAAAGTCATTATATTTTAGTCTTGTTTAGGTAAATTACATATTTTATAAAATACTCTTATCTCGTCTTAAATGCCAAAAAAACTTTTAAATGCTCTAATAATCTGTACCACCATGTTATACATGTGCTAAAAAGTGTGTTCAAAAATTACATCAAATGTATGTTAGAATTTACGGAGGAAGAACACTGCGAAGCAGTGTTTAGACGAAAAACTCGATAGAATAACGAATCACGTACGAAACGCTTTCAGATCAAAGTTATTTCGGGGTATACGAAATACTTCAATCGGATAAGACGTTAAATCAAAACAAGCACTCGAAAATCGTATCCCAATCCATACCACGAGACTCTAATTTATAGAGTCTAAAATTTCCATGATCGGACATGAACCTTCGCGTAAACGTACGCGTACGTTCGCGCGGAGAAGAAGATAGGCGCGAGTTTAAACGAGGAGCTTCCTGCGGTTTTGGGGTATTTTGACGTTTATCCGCTAGTTCGACTCCTTTAATGATTTGGACTCCGATCACGAAAATCTTAAGGATTTTCATAAAGAAATAACGTCCGAAATAAAAAATTTCCAAGCTGTCTCGACCCCGGCCAGGGGCTCTGCCGCCCCAGACCCCGCTATGAATTTATAATATCGTTGAACGAGTGCGCACTCCGCACCTACTAACTCGTTTGACAACGTCTATTTAAATTTTTGTCCGATCGAAGTAAATCCAATTACACAAAATAAACCGATGACACTAAAATCACCAACAATGTATACACTAATAATTTGATGATTCACACTGATATAAAGTAATGAAGCGAGCGTTAACAAAAATTTATCATAGGGTCTACTTAAGCACGGCCCTGAAGTTATTTATTATGGAGTATTTCAAACTGGACTACAAATTCTGTTAACTTTACGTGAGAGTGAGAGGGTGTAAATTAAAATATAATATTTGTAAAGAATAGGAAAAATTAATGAAAGTTAATTTTTTTGTTGTAGAAAAGCAATAAATTAAAATTTTTAAAAATTGTACACTTGTGAATTTTATACTCACCTCATTTTTACCCTCATCCGTCATCACATGACCATCATATCATGATGAAAGCTAGCAAGTGGGCGCATCTAACTAATATGGCTAGACATCTCTTTTTTCACTTTTTCACTCTTTTCTCCAATTCGGGGAACTTAAAAGTTACTCCCTCTGTCTCCTATAATGATCTTCCCAGAGCACTATTCTAACTTCACGGGAATTTATATTTATTTGTGTTTTTTCATGACATATATGATAAAATAAAATATTTTTGTCACCACTTGTTTTGTTGAACTTTTGATGTAGTTTTTAAATATGTATGTTTTATTTTTTATTTTTATACCAATATTTAAATAAAATAGATTGAAAAAACTTGGGATTTTTCTTCGTTTTGCGAACCGGGAAGATCATTATAGGATGGAGGGAGTAAAAGTGTAGAGTGAGAAGTCAGTGACAATTAAGGTGATTTTTAATCCAGGACGTGTTAAATAATCTTATCAAATGAAATCCTCAACAACATGTAGATTATATGTGAGATAATATCCCCTATAAATACCCATGTTGGTGATTTTAGTGTCATCGGTTTATTTTGTGTAATTGGATTTATTTCGATCGGACAAGAATTTAAATAGACGTTGTCAAACGAGTTAGTAGGTGCGGAGTGCGCGCTCGTTCAACGATATTATAAATTCATAGCGGGGTCCGGGGGCGGCAGAGCCTCTGGCCGGGGTCGAGACAGCTTGGAAATTTTTTATTTCGGACGTTATTTCTTTATGAAAATCCTTAAGATTTTCGTGATCGGAGTCCAAATCATTAAATGACTCGAACTAGCAGATAAACGTCAAAATACTCTAAAAAACCGCAAGAGGCTCTTCAAACTCGCGCCTATCTTCTTCCCACGCGAACGTACGCGTATGTCTACGCGAAGGATCATGTCCGATCATGGATTTTTCAATTCTATAAAATAGAATCTCGTGGTATGAATTGGGGTACATATTTTCAATTGCTTGTTCTTGATTAACGTCTTATCCGATTGAAGTATTTCGTATACCCCGAAATAACTTTGATCTGAAAGCGTTTCCTACGTGATTTGTTATTCTATCGAGTTCTTCGTTTAAACACTGCTTCACAGTGTTCTTCCTTACCACCATCGTCCACTATCACCATCATCGTCCACCACCACTGCCACCATCCACCGCCACCACCACCACCGCCGTCAACGTCCACCACCACCACCGTCCACCACCATTGCCGTCAACGTCCACCACCACCCTCCACCACCACCACAATCGTCCATACACCACCACCGTACACTACCACTATTGATTTATATAGCAATCTACAGACATTAAAAAAGAAACCGTCTTCTTCTTGCAGACTGCAAACCTTCGGTCCACCACTTCTCCTACAGATGTCTACAGTAGTGGTTCGCAGACTGTAAACATTTTCCTGCAGAAAAAACAAACACTCCCTATATATATTCATGTGATCAACATGGTCTCCAATTTTTTTTAAGTGCATCCCACTTTTAGCTCAAAGAAAACTCATACAGTAAATATACGTTTATAGGCACGTTAGATAGAGAGAGATTTGAAGATGATAATGAAATCTTCAAATATGACACCACTTTTGTTTCAATTCACTGTTCCGTTTCTGTCCCCATCCCCATCCCCATCCCTACCCCTAGGGGTACCCTTTCTTTAGCCTTCAATAGACCCATAGTTGTAATTTGTCATTACTCACTTGTACAAACACCTAGCCACGTCCATGTCCATCACATGTCACCTTGGGACCATATAATAAAATTAAACCCTAATTTTAAATTTGTTCGGAATAAGCTATAGATCTGGTTCGAAAACATTCAAAACAAATTTCTTTTAAAAAAAATTGATTAAAAAAAGCAGTAATTAAGTGGTTTCTCTTACACTTTGAAAATCTTATGAATTTTGTACTTTAATTTCCTCCCAATATACTTTCATTAATTCTTTTAAACTTATGGTCTATTTGGAAAAACATTAATGATTAACGTTCACATTTTGAAAAAATTTATCAAGAAAAATCGTCTAACTATAGCATTTTCAAAATAATTTATTCAAAACATTAATGTTAATCTCTAATATTATATTGAAACAATACATTACAAATGAAAGTTGCAGATTTCCAAGCAGAAAGAGGGAGAACAAAAAAGTAAAATTACATTGGTGCTTTATTATTATGAGACAAGATAATTGGAGACTTAAAAGAAGAAAATAAAAAACAAAGTCGTAGGTCAAAAATAAAAAAAGACTTTGAAAAAACAATAATGAGCTCTCCAGGCGTTCTCTGTCTCTGTCTTTTTTACTTTAGACTATTTAATTTTTTTTATTGAAGTTCACAAATGGTAAGTTTGTGAAATTTGTGATTGTGAACCAAGCATTTCCCTCTAAAAAAAGTTTCTAAAAATGAAAGATGAATATTTTTTTGAAATGTTCCAAAGAATAAAAGAGGACGTACAATTATTTCAGAAGAGATGAAATACTTTATGGCATTTTGAATTGTTTGCAATCAAATTGGTAAAGAATACATAGTATTTTTTAGGAAGTAAAGAATACATATACATAGTTATTACAAGTATTATGTCTCTCATTTTTTCAAATCGATTTTTTTTTTCAAATGAATTTTGACACCAGTTATATGGGATTTATGAGGGGGTTTTGGATCTCAGTTTCTCACTTGAAGTGGGGGGGNTTGAGTTGCATGTGGAGTACCTGCGGGCGGGGAGAGCTTAGCATCAATAATTGAATGTGGGGAGAGGGAGAGCTTCTATAAATGGGAAAAGAGAGAGAGAATAGTGAACAAGAAAAGCATGCACTTGAGTTGAGGACCATTATTAATATTGTACGGAGAACTAATTTCATTATAATTAGGGTTTTTGAGAGAAAAGTTCTACATTCTGAAATTATTTTATTTATAAATTGTTATATGAATAAGAAATAAAATTTACATATTAAAAAGTTTAAAAATTTTATAAAAAAAAGAGGTGACAAGAATATTTATTTTATCAAATGCTTAATGAAATTTCGTAAATACATAAAAATTATTGAGAGAAGAAAGAAAAAATTGTAAACAAAATGAGGATGAAACTAGTAATCATACCAATCCGAGTAATATATACTCCGTAACGTGCAATAATCATAACCCCAAAAATGTCCAAACAATCCTCTTTTCACCTTTTCTCTACTTTTCCCATATTTAGAAGCTTTCATCACTCCCCTAACGTGTCACTGTTACGATAAATTAAATCAATACTCCCTCCTCTTTTCACCTATTACGTGTAGGTGTAATCTTTTTTTAAGCCTTGCACATGAAATTTTGATTTTTTTTTTTAAATTATTAATGGGTGACATTGAGTTTCGAACCTGTAACCTCTTAGTCAACGAGGCTCCAATACCATGTCAAGAAACCAATTCAACCAAAAGCTCAAGCTTGTGGTTGTGGCACATGAATAGTTATTCACTCCGTATATTCAAACACCTCCGTCCCTAAATATTTGCAACATTTGCTTTTTCAGTAGTTGCGAGAACTTATGTTTATTTCTACGTTTTCATTGGTTATTTGATAGAATAAAATATTCTTGACACCTCTTATTTGGAAGAACATTTCGTGTAGTTTTTTGATATGTAAATTTTATTTTTTATTTTTATACTAGTATGTAAATAAAATGAATTGAAAAAATTTGATATTTTACCTCAGGAATACAAGTGTGACATTTAGGGACGGAGGGAATAATAAAATAATTAATAGTAAGCTTAATCACCACTCATGGTAAACATATCATCATCGCAATGATTAAAGAAATTAAAGGAAAATGGAGAGAAGTAAATTAAGGGAGATAATTGTCCATGTGCCAAAATTTAAGGAAAAAACGATAGTGGTTTCTCTAGCAAGACATCATGGTGTACTTAAATGTTGATAAAAAAACTCTCCGGCGTCACGCCGGCAGCTGGCCGCCTCCTCAACCATCATTCGGGAATGACGTACGATGCTACACGGGCTGGGGAGACGTTTTGTCACGACGCCACTCCGCGTAGAGTTGACGACGACGGGTATCAATATCGGGCAGGTGACGTGGATAGGGAGAGACCCGGAGAAGCCGAGAAACCCGCCTTCAAATATGGGGATGACGTCCGCCTTGACGCTGATCCGGACCATGCCACTTTCCATCAAGACATTGATGATTTACACCGACACAAGTATTGGTGCGTTAACAAAAATTTATATAAACACAGAGTGTTAGTACATTAACAAAAATTAGTTTTACGGGTACAAAAATTTGGGGTATAAATAGCTTTTATCCCTAAAAGTGGAGCTTCGAAAATGTGGAGGAATTTGTGGTGTGTGTGGTAGGTAGGTTCGTAGGCCGTAGAGGGCATCAAAGTGGGACCAAAGATGTGAAAAGGAAGATGGGTGAATTGAATAGATGAACTCTTTTTACTACGGGGTAAATGTTTTCCAACTATTACCATAGCAAAGAAAACTTAAAGTTTCCTCACAAAACATTTGACGCCAGATGTCACCACTCAAACGAAGTACTCCCTCATCTCAATTTTTTCTTTTTTAAATACCCTCACTCCCCTTCCCTTTTTCTCATTCTCCACACTCCCCTCAGTCTCTTGCAAAGTCCATGTTCAACACCTCTGGCCTCTCTCTCGGTATTGTACATCTTCTCTGATCTCTCCCTTTTTTCTCTCTCTCTCTATCACTAGAATTAACGAAATGGAGATGAAAAAGATGGCTAAAGATTGTGTTTTTGTGTGTGTGTGTGTGGGTTTTGGGCAGCAAACGGAAATCGAGGGTCAAGGAGAGGTGTCGAGGATTGGGGAGAGCAACAATGACGGCGGAAGCGCCGGCGCCGGCGGGCACAACAGTCTTGGGAGAAGAAGGAGAGAAGAAGAGCCCGAGAGCAGATCTGGCAGTGACAACTTGGAAGGTGGCTCCGGCGACGATCAAGACGCCGCCGACGACAAGCCTCCGAGGAAAAAAAGATACCACCGACACACTCCTCAGCAAATTCAAGAACTTGAAGCGTAAAAAAAAACTCTTTTTTTTTAAAAAAAATCAATTTTTATAATCTGCATTCCACCTTAGATCTTGTTTTGATCTTACATTTCTTTATTTTTTTTTCTCAAATAAATGACAAATATGTTTCAAATTTCTAGTTTGTTCAAGGAGTGTCCTCATCCAGATGAGAAACAAAGGCTGGAGCTAAGCAAAAGGCTTTCTTTGGACATCAGGCAGGTTAAATTTTGGTTCCAAAATCGCAGAACTTAAATGAAGGTAACAATGATGATAGTGATTCCTATAAAGATTCGATCTTTTTAAGGTTTTCTTCATGGATTTTGTAAATTCAGGTCCTGCCAAGCTTCATCTTGGTGGGTTTTGGGTTTTGGTACTGATCAAAGTGTTAAATTGGTCTGATTGGATGTAATCTTGAACCAGACTCAACTAGAACGCCACGAGAACGCGTTGCTCAGACAAGAGAATGACAAGCTGAGGGCGGAGAACATGGCGATTCGGGAGGCGTTGAGGAACCCGATTTGCAATAACTGTGGGGCCCCCGCGATGATCGGGGAGATCTCCATGGAAGAGCAACACCTTCGGATCGAAAATGTCCGACTAAAGGACGAACTGGCCGTCCCGTTTCGTCGTTGAATGCTTCCATGGGCCCCCCTCAAATGTTGCCGAGCTCCAGCCTAGAGCTCGGAGTGGGGAGCAACAACGGCTTCGGGGAGATGGGCGCGGTGGTCCCCACCGCGCCCGACTTCGGGCCCACGATACCTCCGCCCATGTCGCAGCCGAACAGGCACGGCAACGGGGGCGGGGGGTGTGGTGGGGATCGAGAAGTCGTTGGAGCGGTCCATGTACTTGGAGCTCGCGTTGAGTGCCATGGATGAGTTGGTCAAGCTGGCTCAAGTGGATGAGCCATTGTGGGTGAGGAGCTTTGAAGAAGGGAGAATGGTCCTTAACCAAGAAGAATATGTGAAGACCTTTAGCCCTTGCATTGGGTTGAGACCCAATGGTTTTGTGTCTGAGGCTTCTAGGGAAACTGGGATGGTGATTATGGACAGTTTGGCTATTGTTGATACACTCATGGATTCTGTGAGTAAAAATTGGGAACCCATAACTTATATTTCAATTATTATATTATCATCACTTTATATCATTGATTAAAGATTCATTCTTTGGTACTAATATTTGTTTTGTAGGTCAAGTGGGGTGAAATGTTCCCATGTCTTGTGGCTAGAACTACAACAACAGATGTGATTTCAAATGGCATGGGTGGAACTAGGAATGGTGCACTTCATCTGGTAAATGCCCTTTTTTTGTTTTTCTTCATATGGTCTTAAACAATGTACTATATGTTCTAGGGTATACAACAACAACAACCACAACAACAAACCCAGTAAAATCCCATACCATACTACATGATATTTCTCAAAAGATTGAAATTTTTTTTAGCAATTTTTTGCAAACCGGGATATCTTTGCCCAATACACCGTGAACCGTGGGAATGGTTCTTGGACCGTTTACACCTGTCCTATACGGAGTAAATTCCTATTTTGCCCCCAGCCCCCCTAAGGAACCGTCTACCCCTCCTTACATTGAGTACGAAGTAAGGGTAAGGTCTGCGTACACAGTGTTTTTTAGGACACTAGTCCTTATAACATGATGATGATGATGATGATGAACAATATTAATATTATTATAATATGGCAGATGCATGCAGAGCTCCAAGTGTTGACGCCGTTAGTTTCCGGTGAGGGAGGTGAGTTTTCTCCGGTTCTGCAAGCAGCATGCCGACGGGGTGTGGGCCGTGGTGGACGTGTCGATAGACACCATCCGTGAAACTTGCAGCAGCTCGCCGGTGTTTCCCGCCTGCCGGAGGCTCCCTTCTGGCTGTGTTGTGCAAGATATGCCCAATGGCTACTCCAAAGTAAAAATCTCTTTTTTAAATACCCTCACTCCCCTTCCCTTTTCTCATTCTCCACACTCCCCTCTCTCTCTTCTCCCTAAATCTTCCGCTCTCTTTCCCGGCCATGGACGAAGAAAATTATAAACCCCCAACACCTCAAGGCCTGCGCTGAGATACATGGTCATCATCCTTATGCTGTTTGCTGCCGTCAGCCTAATCTATGTGGTGCTATGCTTCCTGCGGCGGCCACCGCTGCTGCCACTGCAGCCGCCAATGCGGCCTTCCCTCCATACTCTTCCCAATCTTCTTCTTCTCCTCTTCTTCCTTCCCTCTTCCTTTCAAATATGGATATTTTTGGAATGATAAATTCTACAGTTGGGGTCTTTTGGCGAAGTTCATCACTTTTGTGTTTGGATACGCCTTGGGTTGTTTCAGGGAAACTTTCCCAAATGCCGCAGCAATTTTCCCGGCGGCCCCGGCAGATCCGGATCTGGAGGCTGGGAGAGGGGTTGCCACCACCGCCACTGCCGCTGCTGCCGCCGCCACTACAGCAGCCAATGCGGTGCCCGCTGCTGCCACCGAAGTGGCTGCCGCCACTGCGACGGCCACCGCTGCTGCCACTGCAGCCGCCAATGCGGCCGAAGCCACTGCCGCCCTAGCCACAGCTACCATTGCAGCTGCCAACAATGTGGCTGAGGCCGCAGCCGCCATTCTCGCTGCCGGTGCCGCTGCTGCCGCTGCTCTCCCTGGTGGCCAGGGCGGCAGTGGCTTCGGCCGCATTGGCGGCTGCAGTGGCAGCAGCGGTGGCCGCCGCAGTGGCGGCAGCCACTTCGGTGGCAACAGCGGCCACCGCATTGGCTGCTGTAGTGGCGGCGGCAGCAGCGGCAGTGGCGGTGGCGGCGACCCCTCTCCCAGCCTCCAGATCCGGATCTTCCGGGGCCGCCGGGAAAATTGCTGCGGCATTTGGGAAAGTTTCCCTGAAACAACCTAAGGCGTATCCAAACACAAAAGTGATGAACTTCGCCAAAAGACCCCAACTGTAGAATTTATCATTCCAAAAATATCCATATTTGAAAGGAAGAGGGAAGGAAGAAGAGGAGAAGCTCTCCCATTTATAGAAGCACGTAACAGGTGAAAAGAGGAGGGAGTAACACTGACACGTTTGGGGAGTGATGAGAGCTTCTCAATATGGGAAAAGTAGAGAAAATGTGAAAAGAGGATTGTTTGGACACTTTTGGGGTTATGATTATATATATTACTCGGATTGGTATAATTACTAGTTTCGTCCTCATTTTGTTTATAATTTTTTCTTTCTTCTCTAAATAATTTTTATTTATTTATGAAACTTCATTAAGCATTTGATTAGATAAATATTCTTGTTACCTCTTTTTTTGTAAAATTTTTCAACTTTTTAATATGTAAATTTTATTTCTTATTCATATAACAATTTATAAATAAAATAATTTCAGAACGTGGAATTTTTCTCTAAAAAACCCTAATTTATAATGAAATTAGTTCTCCGTACAATATTAATAATGGTCCTCAACTCAAGTGCATGCTTAAGGGTAAATATGGAAATATGGCAATTATATGTAGAAAGTGTAACGAGTAACAATTTTCTAATATGACAATTATTTCTACACGTGGTGTAGTATGTACACTTTATCATCAAAAAATATTAATGAAACAATTAATAAGATAAAAAATCAATAAGTGAATTGAAGCTCAAGCTCTTGTCCCAAATAATATCATCCATCTCAAAAAAATTCTATAGAATTAAATTTGTTTTTTGGGTCAAATTTTGCAAACTTCATTCACAAAAATATCGATGTCATTTTCGAACCAAGTATAAGACACCGTATACGTACTTGGAATTGTTCTTGTCAAAGATGCTTTGTGAGAATATGTGTGAACATGTTAATTAGGATTATGAAGTGTCTTCTACATACATATGTACAAGGAAGGAAAGATGCTTTCTCATGTATGGCTAAATGGATGTTTTGGTCGCCTTTTGTTCTTTTAGCAATTTTACCCAATTTATTCATTCACCTTTTTTAATGGATGATCCATGTATGGCTCATTACAAGTAAAATATAATTAATGCACATGCAACTAGCTACTAGCTAGTACGTATAAGACAATGAAATCCATCGATATAGCAAGTTACTCCCCATACCCAAGAATTTTCTTCCACGTTTGCCCTTGATTTTTTTAAAAAAGAATAGCGTAGATGAATAACGAAGATATATATATGATAGAACGAGGTTAAAATAAATTTGTTCATCTTTTTTATGCCTCTACTAAGTCCTTCAAAAATAATTTTTCCAACTTTTTAGTACTATTTTGATATATTTTTAATGTTTCACTCATACTTTGGTCTTTTCCCTCGTTTTTAAGTATATAAACATTAGGAGTTACTCTATTTTGGTATATTAAATACTCCCTCCGTCCCCCTGTATTTGTCCACTTTCATTTTTACACACCATCCAATGCACTTCTTTAATCCATTTTATCTTGTAATTTGTATATTAAAAAATTATAAAAATTATATATTAATAATCTATATGTTAAGACAAATCAAACAAGATCACACATGACTATATTTAGGCTTACACATTGAGAGAATTTGATGAGTCAAAGTGCTTAGATGAACAGTTCCAATAGTCAAATGTGGACAAATACATGGGGACGGAGGGAGTATGTTTTAGTCCTAATTATATGTTCCCTCTGTTAATCAAAACTCTTCTTATTTCATTTTTAAGTGCAAAACCCCATTTTTAAAAAATAATTTGCTTAATGCTTCCTAGTATCGGTCAAACTCTTCCTAGTTTGCGTCGGCCTGCTCCTCACATCTTTTCGTCGGTTTAACCCTCAATAATTAGTGTCGGTCAAGCCCATGGTAATTAGTGTTGGCTATCCCTTCACAATTTTGCAGACCGATTTATGTCGGTCAAAATCAACTTGTGGGGTGCAATTGACAGGAGTAGGGAGTGTGTTCGGGTCGGGGCGGGGTGGGGGGATTTACCGGGGGGGTTAGGGGGGGCATGAACCGTCAATTTTACGAAAGGGGCACCGGAGCGCCCCCGGATCATCCCATGACATTGGAACCCAATGTCATGAAAACCTCATCCATGGGAACGCCCAGGTATTTGTCTCAATGTTTATGTGGAGAGGAACTCATTGCTAAAGTTCAAATATAAAAAAATATTGGCAAGGGCTTAACCCACACAATTTATTTAATAAAAAATTTCCTATAAACAAAAACATTCATATTGAAAGGGATGGGAGTTTAAACATATTTTAAAATATACAACATAAACATAATAAACACTTTAATGTCATTCGTCACAAAATTCATAAAAATCACTAATACTTTAATTTCATGACCCATACTAGAGTAATACGAACAATTGAGCCGTCCCATACACTTTTCCTTTGCACTTTCCTCCAACCGTCTCTTGCCAAACCGTTAATTTTTTACTGCTGCTGATATTACGTGTGCCACTTATAGAACCATCTTCAGTTTCAGCAATCTCCTTTATTTTCTTTTGAAATGTAACATGTTAATATACTTGAATGTTTAATACGGAGTAGTTATAATATATTCTGAAAAAATAAGTACTTACATATGTTTCTGTGGAGCGTGAATCGACCCAACTTCCATCCTTATGCTGGCAAGTGATTAGAAAGACCTCATCCACTTGCATGGGACGTTGTTTCTATTTACTATTTAAAATAAAGATTAACAAAGAATAGTGACTATATAAAATAAAGAAACTAAGTACTCGTAGCAATGATTATTTAAATTAAAGAAACACAGAGATGTTATTTCCCAGACTTGGCAGTTGTCTAAGCCTCCAGATCACACTTGCTGCAATTCTTATATATATGACTGGTCAAGTATATGCTTGACCATAATAAGAAACACACAAAGAGAGGTTATTTCCCAACCATCCATAATAAGCCTCAAAAGTTACTCAAAGAATAGTATATATGGAATAAAAGAATTTAATTAAGTATTTTCTTAATGCTAATCATACCATTTGCTCAATTACATCGAGGTGTGAGACGCAGCCAGTGGTGTGGAGTGCTCCCCCTTTAGCGGAACCTCGATTCTTCAAATTCTGATTATATATTATTTTATATTTTTTTGTAGACCAGTACGTTTTTAAGTCATTTCAAGCAGCCTCTCCACACCAATTTGGCCTTTTGTTCGCAGCTCTTGCATGGCAAAGCAAACTAGAAAGACGCTTTGATCCCTTGTGTTTCCAATGTTTTTCATGGTGTCAGCACGAATGGAATTCCAGGTACATCGCTCCTGCATTTTAGATGACAACATCATGTTAATAACATGTTATAACAAAATGATGTTGACAAATTTAAAACAAAAAGGTCTGTATGTTGAATACCAAGTCAGTATGTACTTGTGTAATCCATATTGTGTAAAAAAAAGAGGTGAATATTGCACCATATTCATGATCATTTATGTTTTATATGGCAGTTATGAAAGCAAAACGGCACAAAAATATTAAATCCAAAATATATCATCACTTGGTGAAGAAAGACAAATAAAAATCAGAATGTACTGTTGAGACAGATCCTGAAATTGCCAAAGAATTGGCTATATGAAACAAGAGTTTAATTGTTAGAATTGGGTATGATAGCAGTGACATTGAAGTGATGATAGCACTGGTGATTACGCAGAAGAATCCAAATACTTGTTTGAAGAAATGGCTAAGATGAATGTCAATGTCACTGCCTGCAGCTATGAATGTCTGATGTCACTGCCTGAAGCTATGAAGCTATGTTGCAGCCCTGCTGTTGGAAGTTTAAGTTTTGAGTATGTAAAATATATGCTACTACTACAACTTTGGTTTTTTTAAAAAAAGCAACCTGTAAGATCTTCATATAAGAAAGAATAAAAAAGTAACAGACAGAGGTCCATCATCGAACATTCACTCAACAAATGATGTTGACAAATGACAAATAGGAGTAAACGAATCATTATAGAGGTTGCAAGAACCCAAAAAGATTGACCCTAGCTTTAAAAATCATGATTCATAATGAAAGTAGATAAAGTATTAACCTCACCTTTAAAAAATCCCACCATCTGGCCTTAACATCTTCAGGCACCAAAGTCCAACTCTGCCAAGCATCCCCATACGAGCTCATAATTGCATCGTTCAAAGCATCTACTCCCGGTTGTGATGGAACCCACCTACTACAAAGAAGTTCAATTGTGAACATTATATTAATGATTCTCTGAGACAACATATGAATGTTTAAAGAATATAGTACCCGTTTCCAACACAGCGAAGAATCCATCATCCAGATTCATCCTTGGGCCACTCCTCTCGAGGGATTGCACGAACACGCTTACGGTGACGTTCGCGTGAAATTGTTTCAGTTTCATCACCTTTAAGGTTTTTGCCACTGATGTCACGATCCTCATCATTACTCTCATGCTCAGAATAATTGTCATCCTCAGATTCCTCACCGCTCATTTCATGGTCATCGTCGTTATTGATATCCTCAGAGATTGAGGAATTGTTATCATAGTCCTCGTCAAAAAACAGAACACTTGGTGAACCAAAGAACAGAGCATAAAACCAAAAAAAGGCTTCAAAAACAGAACACTTGGTGAACCAAAGAACAGAATACATATTTGTTTAATGGCTTCAAGAACAGAATACATATTTGTTTAATGGCTACAAAAAAGAGAACACTTGGTGAACCAAAGAACAGAGCATAAAAATCAGTTCAAGCATAAACCAATTCAAGTATAAAGCAGTTCACGCATAAAGAGCAGAGCATAATACAAAAAAAATCAGTTCATCAAACACTTGGTGAACCAAAACAAAACCAGAAAAAAGGACTCAAGTATGAACCAGTTCAAAAAACAGAACAGAGTATAAAGATATTAAAAAAAACCCAAAAGTATATTGTTGTCTCGCCTTCTTGTTAAGTGTGGCATTTCATCAAACACTTGGTGGGCATAACTTTAAACTAAAATATTTCTAAGTATCAAATAATGTAATCACCAAGAGGTAATTCAAAGTAGCAAGACTCAACAAAGAACACAGATTTATTACACTTCAATATTAAATCATATAAATACACTTCAAAAATTAAAGATGTTATTTAACGCAATTGATAAACTGAAAAAGAATGGTATGCAGACCTGGTTATCTCGCTAAAATCGTCGCGCTGGACAGGACTCTTGTGGTCTCCGATCGACTGTGCGGAGAACCTTGTTTTAAAAATTTAGAATTCTATAGGCCCAACTCACAAAAATGAACGTTTAAAAATTAAGAATTACTAGTGTGACGTAAGCTAGGGGTGTATACGAATCGAATTGAAGCAAATACATCACTATTCGATTCTTATTCGACTAAAGTAATATGTATTCGAATTCGTATATAATTCGAATTTTAAAAAACATTCGTATTCGATTCGATAGATATTTGATATATTTGAATTCGTATTCGAATATTCGAATTCGAAAATATTAGTAATTGTTTTCTTAAAACAAAATTCTTAAATACATTAAATTATTATTTTATAATAATGTAAAATGTAGTAAAAATTAAAATGTAGTAAAAATATGTTAGAATATATATAAATGAATGCTTAAATACTAAAAAATGTTTAGTTTGTTCATATGTAGGTACATAGTGAACTTTAAGTCTAGCATAGAATTTGCCATTAAGAAAACCTTTGAATCTTAGGTGCATTTATCTTCCCATATTTTTTTAGTGTAAAAAATCTTATAAAAAAATATTGCGGGTGCATATTAGTTTGATTTCGTTTATATAAGATACGGAGTACATCTATAAAAGCTTACTTCTTTTTTAAAATGAAAATTGGACTCAAATAGCTTCAAATATTAACAATTTAATAAAAATATTATTGTCGCTATCTTAATTTAAATTGTCGGTTTGATTTATGATAATTGACTAAAGTTATTTGTAATAGAATTTATTTTAGAAATGGGATGAAATTAAAATATATAAGTTATATATTTAAATTTTAAATAAAAAATTCTAAGAAACAATATCTTATATGACTATAATTGTAAGCATGTAATAGGATACAAACTATAAATTTGGCTGAACTATAATTACAAATCTAACTAATCTACATTCTTTTCTTCTTTATTTACAATATAGTTCAGTTAAGAGAGTCCGAGCATCCATTTCTTGACGTAAAACGTGCCTTTCGTTTGGCACCGATGTTTTCTTGAATTGCTTTCTCGTTAGCCATGGCTTCGCGGATGCTTTCGTGAAGTGCATTGCACAGCTCATCCAGTGCAAGCATTGGAAATGGCTCTTCGATGAGAACACCAACCTATTCAAAAATTATGGCAAGGAATTAGATGGATACCCTTCTGGTTGGTTATTCAAAGTTTGAATAAAAAGAGCACAATTTTTAGGTGGAGTTGTAGAATTCAATTTGATGTCCACCTAATATACATTCTAGGAATCCTTTTCTTTCTAGTGTTTGGTGAAAGTCTAAAAAAGATTCAAATTCGATATATCTCCATATCGCAAGATTCTGTCCAGTGTTTTCCAACTTCTTTCAGTTTTTTCCAACTTCCAACTGTGTTTTTACAACCCAAGCGAACAGAGCCTAAATGGGGGTGTTTTGATGTCTTTCTAATTATGGGTGATATCAATCCAGAGGTTTTAATATCCCCCACAGTCGTAGGCAACCTAACACCGCCGGCCACCACCACCGCCTATCACTAACAACCGTTTCCCCAAACACTTTCATTGTGGTAGCAAAGGAAGAATAAGGAGAAGAAGAAGAAGAAGAAGAAAGGAAGGCAAAACAAACCTCTTCAATGCAAAATAGAGAAGCGGCACTGATGAAAGTAGCAGGGATCACCATCCAGTGGCACTCATCCCATAGTATAACGGGGAGCGTGAGATGCCAAAGGACCAAAAACCTTGACGTTAGCCGTGTGTACGACAGAGGGATGGGAATGCCGACAAGCTGCTCGCACGCGCCAAGGCTTTCGTGGAAACACGAGATCTTTGATTCCTACATATTAATCCCCCAAACAAAAAACAAACATTGGAAAACATTTACATTTACACTATGTTTGGTTCAAGGAATTTGAAAAGGAAAAGAAAAGAAAATGAAGTGGAAAACCATTTTTCTTGTTAGGTTAGAGGGGAAAAGAAAGGAAAAGTGGAAGGAAAAGAAAATGAAGAGGCAAAATGTACCAAGTGGAGGGAAAACCAAATTCCTTCCATTTTGGTGAGGAAAATGAGAGAAAATCATTTTATTTTCTTTTCCTTCCAAAATCCTTGAGCCAAACATAGTGTTAGGGAATCTAAAGCTTGTTCTCTTCAACTTATTCTTTTTGCTTGTTACCTTTCTTCATTGGAATTAGATCACATCTGTAACAACTTTAAATATAATTACAATCAGATCAGAACTTAATCAAAGAAGATCAGAAATCAATCTAATAAGTTGAAGAAAACAAGCCCTTACCATGTCTGGCGTGCTTGTAAAACAAAACACAACCGCAAACCCAATAAAACTTCATTAAAAGTAGGGACTAGTGAGGGTTATTTCCAAAAGACACACGATATAGATGAGAATTACCAGCAGCTGAAGCTTTGTTTCCTCTAAAGTGAGAGAACGGATGCAATGTGATATAAACTCAATGACGCAGCGCGGCGGATGCTTTGAACCCAGAACTATAGCTAGATCATCAGCTTCAAGCAAATTTTTAAGGTCAGTTTCTATATCTGAGCCATACACTAAGTGGCACTGCATTGAAAAAAAAAAGATCTTATAACTATGTGTGATGATTTCCAATATTTGTACTTAAATAAAACTAAAAATCTCTTCACTCAAACTTCTCCCTGGCTTGTGGTAGGAAGCTCACTCAATGGAGAAGTTCACCCAAGTTTGGGCCCCAGCAGAGGTAGAGACATTGGCTCTTTGTGCGTCATTAGAAACATGGTCATATTCTAGTTTGCAGTTATCAAATTATAAATTCCAAACTACAGTTAAAATTAAGGCGAAAAAAATCAAAAACAAACCTTAAGAGCAACTGGAAAAGCCATTATATACTGTAAGAGTGATTTCCTAAGCAATGCATCACTCTGACAATCAACAACAGAGATCACTTGCGTTGCCATGTTGTTTGCCCCTGCAATCACATCACTCCACGCTTTCCGGCCCTCCTCTAGCCTAGAGTAGGAGGCCTCCGTCCGGAACACCAGAAGAAGCGCCAGCGCGGGGGCCGTCAACTGGTATGGCAGAGAAGAGGCCCTCAGCACCGGGAAAAACTCCGGCGGCAGCCAATTCAGATCTACCGCGGAGTTGTAGGCCGCGACCGCGGCGGCGACGGAGGTGAGCGCGGTCACGGGAGGAACCAGCGAGAGGATCACCCTCGAGCTCAGGACGGTGGAGAGATGCCTGAGGTGCCTCAGGGAGCTCCGATGCAGCACCCAGTCGCCGTGCTTGTAGAGGCGCCGCTTCTGCTGCATCCGGGTCTCTTTGATCGCGTCGGCCCAGTCGGGTACCCTCTTGAGGATCCGCGGGAGGTTCGGGTTCTGGGATGAACTGAGGACTCTGAAGCAGGGCTTTGTGGGAAGGACGCGGGAAATTTGTTGGAGGTGGAATGGTGGTGATGGGAGAAGAGGGGTTTGACATGGAAGGAAATTAGGGTTAGGGTTTGTGGAGGGATTGGAGGGAAGAACGGTCATGAGGACGTTGGGACAGAGGGATTGAAGAACGAAATGGGAATTACTGCGTCACAAATCTTTGATCCATAGAGAAGACGAAGATATCTCCATGACTCCATCACACGGGGTGGACAAGGTACCTGTACCGTACCTTGACCTGCAACTGTACCGCCGGTACTGACCACCGTCACTGCCAGCCGGAACGTACCACCGGTTCTGGGAACCGGTACCGGTTACTGTGCTGGTATTTCGGTACCGGCAGCGGTGGTACCGGTACCGGTTCCGAACTTCCGGTACCTTTGTATTTTTTTTCTTGTTCCGGTTTCCACCTCTCTTTTTAGAACTCCAGGTTTGAAGGAACAAGTGAATTTGCTCTCCTTCTCGTCTTAATCCATAAAGAAATTCACCCGTTTCCACAATTCCACCTCTCTTTTTAGACGGATATGCAATTATGCATATATGGAAACCTTTGACTGAGCATTTATCTACGGAAGTCAAACTATGCATACAAGGAAACCATTGATTTAGCATATATTGAGCCTTTCACTTTGTAAATATGATAGTAGTATAATTAATGTATATTCTTGCCTTATGTGGAACCTGACTTGTAGGAATCCGTGTACATATATTTTCATCCTTGGTTTAACAAACACAACAAGAATTTCTCATATGATTTAAAACAAAAAGCAAAAAAAAGGAGGTTGCCGAAACCGGCCGGTCCGGGTACCGGAACCGGTACCGTCCGGTCCGGTCACGGTACCGGTATCAAGGGGTGGCGGTACCGGAACCGGCGGTTCCGGAACCGGAACCGTCCCGGAACCGTACCGTGTCCACCCCTAATCACACCAAACTCTGCCCAAATCATATACATTTTGACTAAAGTGATAAAATAAGAAGAAATAATTTTATATTGATTTTTTAAAAATATTCTTGATATGATAAGTAAAATTAGGATGTAATGAGTAGATTATTAGAAAAAAAGTATGATGTGATAGGTAGTTTATGAAAAAGTAAGGGGTAAAAATAGATTTTAAATAGAAAAGAGACGTACTTTAAAGAATACTCATCATAAATTCATAATTTGCCTACCATCCATTACTTCAGACTCTACTCAAATCATAATATATTAATTTTTTTATCTACTTTTATAGTTTATACTTCTTCGTCTCAAAATGTAAGTAATATTACCCTAAAAGAAATAATTTTTTGAATATTTTCAATCTGTTTTATTTAAAAAATGGTCTAAATTAAAAAATAAATTTTCATATTTAAAAACTACATCAAAATTTTTACAAAAGAAGTGGTGATAACAATATTTTATTTTATCAAATAATTAAATAAAATGTAAAAATAAATAAAATTTTCTGTGATTTTTAAATAGTGAAATATAGTTTACATTTTAGGACACAGGGAGCATATATTTAAAGAACGCAATGGACTATATAAAAAAATGCATAAATACATAAACACAACTAGTTGAAAAATGCTACAACAAAAAAAGAATAAGAAACAAAGAAAAAATAGCAAGGTTCTCATGATATTGAAATCTCATGTCATAGGATGATCCACGGTACTCCGACGTCCTGTTTCTAAAATTGACGGCTCCTAATCTCCCTGGTAAACCCTCTACCCCGCCCCGACCCGGATACATCCCCCACACCCCTTCAACTAGACCCCACAAGTTAATTTTGACTTTGGACTCAAATTTGAACTCCAAAGTCAAAATTAACTTGTAGGGTGAAACTGAAGAGGGTGAGGGTGTGTGAAGATCAGGGCAGTGTGGGGGGTTTATCTGCGCTACGAACCGTCAATTTTATGAATTGGACACCGGAGCCTCCTGGATTATCTCATGACATTGCATGTCATGCAAACTGTCCCAAAGCAAAAAATGCAGTAACACCATTGTTAAACGCATATTTGCATCGGCGAAGAGGAGAGAGGGAAGAGGCACTCAAAATGAGTTTGAGTTTGGGGAATGGCGGGGGAAAATTCAAGTTTCAAAAAGAGTAAAATTCCATAATCTAGTGACATGTTCTGACATCAACATTAGAATTAGAGATGCTCTAACTAAGGACAGTCCACTCTCGTTTCCATTTTAGAGGAATTAGGGCATTTACGTCCATTTTATATAAATTTTGATTTAAAAATTATGAATATTATTTCAAGACTTACGACATATTTTATGCTAATATTTAATTTCATTTATTCATAATTTCCTTAAATCCTCTATGCTTTCAAAATTGTTGGTACTATTTATGTGATTTCTACACCACACACACAAAGGTATAATATCATTGTTTTCACCCATCTAAGTGAAAATATTTTGCATTTTCTGTTATTGGAACAATGAAGTAACTATCCTTTTATTAAAGGTAAGAAAAGAAAAACATCTTAGCTTAAATCATACAACAAACATGGCAACATGCTCCTGTGTGAGATAATTGAGTATGCATGTCTGCCCTTTTTTAGTAGTTGGAATCTAGCTACTATTTCTAGGTAAAAAATTAATGTGAACAAAATCACTTTCTTAGAGGAAAATAAAAAGATTAATCATTCAAACAAGAAAAGTAATCAGAAAATTTAGCCACTCAGTTCAGTTCACTGTGCACCATGAGAACTACATATTGATGTCACTACTAGAATAAGTCGAATTAGTTGCCAATTTTAGTGAGGAGCCCGTAACCCTCGAAATGTTGCGTCTGTTTACCCGTCTTAAACAATTTATATATTTTTATGTCGGTTTAAGCGACGATAAAATGTTTAAATATTTTCGTACTTTTTATTATTATTTTTAAAAGTATAATTGTGAAGAATTTATTCAACAAATGTAAATGGAAAACTAATAATGGACTAGAGACGGCTTCGCGGATGAAACTTTACCTCGGCTTACGCTTGGGGTGCATACAAATCAAATAAAATGTTTTCGATTCGTGATTCGTATTCGAAAAAGATGATTCGTATTCGCTATATTCAAATTCGAATCCGAATACAAATCATATTTTAGATTCGAATTATTTTCGAATTCAAATAAAAATATTAATAGATTCGATTCGTTTATTATTCAAATTATTCGAATATTATAATTTATAAATAAATTTATATATATTCTAATATATTAAATATTTGTGTACATATAAATTTATATATATTCAAATATTATAATTTATAAATAAATTCATATATATTCTAACATATTTTTACTACATTTTAATTTTTACTACATTTTACATTATTATAAAATAATAATTTAATGTATTTAAGAATTTTTTTTTAAGAAAAAAATTACTAATATTTTCGAATTCGAATATTTGAATACGAATTCAAATATGTCAAATATCTATCGAATCGAATACGAATCGAATAGTGATGTATTTGCTTCGATTCGATTCGTATACACCCCTAGCGCCCTACTCGACACTAGTAATTCTTAATTTTTAAACGTTCATCTTTGTGAGTTGGGCCGATAGAATTCTAAATTTTTAAAACAAGGTTCTCCGCACAGTCGATCGGAGACCACAAGAGTCCTGTCGAGCGCGACGATTTTAGCGAGATAACCAGGTTCTACATACCATTCTTTTTCAGTTTATCAATTACTCCCTCCGTCCCTAAATAGATTACAATTTTTTTTCTCTCTTCTCTCGATAACTTTTGTTTGTTTGCGCGATTTCATTAAGTATTTGATAAAATAAAATATTCTTGTCACTTCTGGTTTTGTAGAATTTTTGACGTAATTTTTTAATATGTAATTTTTATATTTTATTGATCTATCAATTTGTAAATAAAATGATTTTAGAAAATAGAAAATTTTACTTCGTAACCCGCAATTTGTAATCAAATGGGGGACGGAGAGAGTACGTTAAATGACATCTCTAATTTTTGAAGTGTATTTGTATGATTTCATATTGAAGTGTAATAAATCTGTGTTCACTATGTACCTACATATGAACAAACTAAACATTTTTTAGTATTTAAGCATTCATTTAAAAATAAAATTATTGGAAGAAGGTCTACGAAAATGATATGCATCCAAGGTGCACCATAGAAGCACTCTTTCTTAACAGTTATATACGCATTTTTATACTCCTTCCATCCCATTTTATAACCTCTATTTCGGTTTACGATGTTTGACTGAAGTTATTTTCAAATCATTTTATATGACAAATGGTATATAATTAAAAAATAAAAATTACATATCAAAATACTACATCAAAAAATCTACAAAACTAGTAGTGACAACAATATTTTATTTTATCAATTTGCTAACGAAAATAGAGAAAGAAAGTAAATGAAATTTGACTCTGTAAATAGTAAACATGCATTATAATTTGAGACGGAGGGAGTAATAGTCAAATGTACATATTCACTTTATTTATTTATTTTTGATTATTTTGTTAATGTGAAAAGGTTAATATATCATCCACGATAAAAGCATTAGAAAAAACGAGAATAACTCCACTTTTAAAAAAAGGAAAATCAGTGTGCTTTCACCATAGTAATATGTCTTCAAGAAAACCAATCACTCCAAAAGATAACATGCAGTCTAAAAATCAAAGGCAAGAAAAGAAATTACACATTATATGATTTCTGAGTTAGAGGATTTGGATGGAATGAGACCCCAAATACTTCCATTGATATGAGTTAGAGCTTTGACTGTCCGTTCGGCTTTTGAGCAGGCGGGACCACTCGCTGCAACGCCTCTTGCGTGAGTGACACCACAAGCTGTCGTCGTATGTCATATTTTGTAGAAAAAACAAAATCAAATTAATTAAATAAATAAACATAATCATAATCACCATCTAACTTGATGTTAGTTTTGGGAGTTTTACCATTCCTGTCCGATCATACATTTGTCCATAAACAAAACTGCGCGCATTGCATGCCGATGGACTCCCAATCTGTAAACAAATTCACACAACAATTTAGAGACAAATGAAGAGAAAATGTTTCTGCTTTAAACAAATCTTTGCTTGCTCACCACAAACAATATCCAGTCATCAGCGCGAAGAGGCCTGTGAAACCACATCCTGAAACAGACCAAGTCAACATGAAATCATACCCGTATTTTATTTTGTCTCAAACTAACATTCCATTTGTAATTTCACTTTTTTCAAGAAACGGGTCGTTATTGGGGCCCACAAAGTCAAAGCAAGAGACAAATGAGTGTAGTTTGGAAACCACTTACGCGTGATCGAGGCTAATAGTCGCAATATTCAGCCCTCTCTTGCGATGAGGATTGTTACCTACTTCACCAAAGATAAGATCCGACGCAAATGCCACAACACATCTATAAGGGATACAGTTCTATAAATATGGAGTGGCAATATGAAGTTTGGGAGTGAAAAAAATCAAATCCGATCCCAAATTGAATAAATGTAAAGAAATATGGCTGTTAAATTACCGGTGCAAAGCTTGATCATCAGAGAGATTTCCCTTTGCTCTAAACCAGAACCTCAAACTGCATCCAGAATGGAGAAAAGCCCCAAAACACACAAGTTCATCATGATATTTCATTTTAGGAAAACTCATGTCAATACTCTAAGATATTTAATATTTTTGTCAATAATACCATAAGATTGCATAATGCATATTGATCACAAGTATGCCTCAAAAATAGGGGATAGATCCATGAAAACTATAAATTTTCTTGGAGTATTATTGTAAAAATATTGAATTTTTTGGAGCATTGGTAGTAATTATGTAATCTTGGAATGTGCTTGTAAAATATCAAATTTATGGGAGTTTGGGCATGAGTTTTTCCTTCATTTTATGCCTCAAACAAATATATTCAATAACCAAAAAACAATGAAGCTGACCTTGGAGGGCTCTTAGTCTGGCTGGTTACATTAGGATCACAAAACCTTATCTCTATTGGCCATGGAACAAATTCCGCGGTAGCTAAAGTGTTCCTATAGGGACTGCAAGAAATTCAATTCTTGGGGAATCAAATCAAGTGAATACAACAACAAACAAACCCAGTATAATCCTAAGTAGAGTCTTAGGAGGGCATGCGTATGCAAACCATTTTCCTACATTTTCACCATAAAAAAATAGATCATAGTTTTAAATAATTAAATGTATAAAATTTATTACATCAAAAAATGAACCTAATTATATTAAATTTACATTATAACTAAATATATTCTTTCCAAAAATTTATGGTCAAAGTTTATAAAATTTGACCAAAAAAGACAAACAGTAAAGAAGTTTATGCGACGAAAGGAGTCTAAAACAAGGGCTAAAAGAGGTAAGTGCAGCCTATAACCCGGGAAGACGAGGATCAGTGAGCCGCCTTTCACGTATCTCTTCCAATGACAGAAGCTGCAATAACAAATTTTGGATCAAACAAGTTGCATAGAAAATGAAAACTGGATGGAAATATTTCGCGATCACATTGTACCGTTTCTGGATCCGGCACTATAGGCATTTCTGCATCCTGGTGGTCAAATCCCTCTTCTTCTTTCTACCAAAATATTTCCACCCGAGATATGAATAATATGTAGCTTATCACTTGTTCTTGAAATTATATTTTTCACAACAATACACCAAGATTGAATTTTGATCACAAATACCCCAACTGTGTATTATTGTAAAAATATTGGATTTCTGGTGATAATTATGCAATCTTGGAATATTCGTGTAAAATCTCAAATTCTTGGTAACATTGACTTAAACTTTCCATAATAATAATGCTAATAAATTTATAATAATGTCAAGCATTGATTCATTACCTGAAATGAAGCAACTAAAGTAAATACAACCTTCTGCTTCTGTATTGCATCTACCCTCCTTGTTGCAAAGCTCTTCCCGTCACGCACACGATGTACTTGATACATTATTGGTACTAGAACAATCAAGAGAAATGATTATTTTAGATAAAGGTACACATTATACAAACTTGAAAATTTAATTTTAATTCTTTTCTATTTTTGACATAACATATATGTCTATAGTGTACACAACTATGTAACATTCTTGAAGAATCAATATTTGTGAGCTGAAGCAAACCTCTTTCAAGAGCATAAGAAAGAAACATAAACTAAAATCAATGGAAATGCTATTATAAGAATCACTAAAAGTGGGTAAGGAGCATACTATCAACATCCCCACCGAGATGGAAGTGGGCATGAATGCTATGAACAATCTTGAGACAATTGACAGTTTTTGTGGCTGCTGCTAATGCCTGCATATATACTGAATTGCAATCTTTCACTAAAAACTAAAACATTTTAACAAAAATAATATTTGTAAACAAGTTTTTCCTTCACCTGCCCCACAAATTGGCCTCCAAATACTTTACCAAATTTAGGAGCATCAGGCAACGTAATCCCTTGGAAAATATCCACCTTCAAGAAAACATATGCAAGTTTATAAACCAGAACAAAAAATGAATCTTGAAAAGGGAAAAACTTTTGGGATTGCTATAGTCAGCATTGTAAAACAAGTTTGATAATTGTCATTTCTAATTAAAAATGGACAGCAGAAAATAAAGACTTATAAATTTGGTGTATGGAAAACAAAACAAATACTTCCTCTCTCCCTAAAAGAACTTCTTGCTTTCCTTTTTCAGTTTGTCTCATTTGATTCAGGGAAAAAAGGAGTGGTTCGCATTACTTCTCTCCTCTATGCATAAACTTCAACCATACAATTTCATTTTTTCTTAAATTCCGTGAAAAAGAAAACAAGAGCTTCTTTTAGGGAAGGAGGGAGTATAAGAGAATACGGTTAATCAAAGGGGCAAATACGTACTTTCAATGGTTCCAAATGCAAAATGTACTCCACTAGGGAGCATTTCTCCACTGCTTTGTCTGCATTCCATATTGATATGGGTTGTAGCAGGTTACAATGTTCATGGCGCAGCAACAAGCAGGTTAGCTACACCATAGAAAAAAACACAGCAACTTGTTATGACTCAGAAACCGCAAATACGGATTTGGATGAGAAAAACACTATTCCCAGAAAGGTAAGTACTTTAGTGAGAGCGACCACACCGGCATGCTGGGTTGATGATGTGAGGCCTGCAGATGCATCTATAGATGTCATTAAAAATTGAAGGGAAGCAAATAAAAATGCAAGAACAATTAGATGCATCGCACCATGACCAAAATAATCATATCTTTTTAATTGATATTTTGTAGGGTTGTCTTCCTCGGCATGGCCAGAGACTTCAGCCTGCAAAAAGAGAGAGCAGTTTGTGTCTAACCACACACCATTGAAAGTGAATCTCAGCATTCACATTTAGCTGACTATTATGGCCTTCATGATACATCAAAAGTCAAATGAATGTGGATACGAGGTATCTCGATATTCAATCAACTTTTGATATATCACGAAAGTCATAATGGACGGTTAAATGTGAATGCAAGGAGTAATCCGGTATGAATGAATAATTACCACACCGTCCCAAATGAAGTAAATTCCATCCCCTGCTTCCCCTTTGCGCAGGACATAATCACCCCTATCTTATATAGAATATACAAAAGAAGATTTAATAGACACAATGAAGATATGCCAAACAAATAAAGATTCTCTAATGTCAACCATTTTGGAAAAAAATGAAAAAACCAATAAAAGAAAATCAACTTTGCATAAACAGAAACACATGAGAAAGAAGCAAAATCATCTAAACCATAACTTACTAGTAAAGATTATTCTATCATCCAACCGTAGGCACAAGAATATCATACATCCACTAGGAGTACAACAACAACAACCCAATAAAATCTTAAAACAGTAGGGATGTGGGGTAAAAAAATTCTTGTAGAGTGCAGAACAATTCCCTTGCTGATCAAAGACATTACTATAATCTACCAAAGCTCAGAAAGAGGATGTAAATATGAATATGAACCACACAAATATTACACGAATGAGGGGTGATATGAAAATTTAAAAAATTGAGAATCTATGATTCATATTGATGCTAAAAAGTAAATATGAATATGAACCACACAAATGTGACATGATACAAATATAATGGAACATATACAAAATGGTAAAAACTGAGAAATATACATAGAGGGGAAGTAAAAATTGACCATAATTCTTAACTTCAACTAGCTGTGCGATTTTCTGGACAGAATTTCTGGGCAATTTCTGGAGCAAAGGCACAAAGCTCAAAAATTCCGCTACTGCAAAATCCAGAAACCATATTAAAAACAAAACAAAAAGCTACAAGAAAGAATCAATGTTTTAAAAAATGGGGGATATGTAAAAGTGTAAAATCCACCAGAATCGATTCCCATTTTCGAGCTTTTCCGGTAATGTAAGAAGAAAAAAAATTAGTGCTAATGAATAAGAATCAATCCAGAATGAGCAATATAAACCCAGAGAGAGTAGTTCTGTTACTGTAAGTCGGGTCTTCGATCTCTTTTTTGTGTAGAATTTCAGAATCCCAAAGGTCGGATCTTTTTTCCGATGGCGTGGAATTTCCGCCGTTGACCGGACTTCTTGTCTCCCGACGGATTGATCACTTTTCAGAATTGTGAAAACGATCAAGAAACTGGGAAAATTTTTATTTTTTAGAGCTACGCAGTAGCTTTTGGCATGGAATTAGAGACGCCAAACCGATCATTCTCTTTCTAACGTCTTGGAATTAATTTTCTAAAAATAGTTTTATTTATTTATTTTTGTCTTTTCTTTTCCCTCGTATTCTTTGTTCAATCATAAAATTTCAACGTTTTAAGTGCTCAGAAGTAGCTAGGATATGGTCTTTAATATATTAGAGGTTTGTTTGGAAACAACGTTTTAAATTATAGTTAGCATTTTGGATAAGATTTTAATGTTGAAGATTAATTTTGAAAACGCTAACTCTGAAAGCTACCGTCAGAGAGTCTTTTCAAAATGTTAACACTAATAGCTAACGCTGATGCCAAATGGAACCTAAGTGTATTAGGTATATATCTTAATAAACACTCTACCTCCATAAAATTTCAAAACCCCAGTTTCCATGAATGTCTCATCCACACGAAGATAAGAGGGAAGACATAAGAAAAATAAGTTTAAAGACCATATATTCAATTTTAGATTGCCAATCCATTTTAAAGTAGACAGATCTGTAACGCTCTGAAATATATTCTAGAGTTTAATAATGAATTCCAAATGTGAGTTCATGGAAGCTGGGGTCCAAGCTTAACAGATGTGAGACGAAGACCATACGAGCGGTGATCAATGGCATTTCATACAAATCATATACACCCATCTCTTCACCGACATTGATGAACATTAGCAACAACGATTCTTCTCTATTTGAAGCTACTTGAATATCCTCATTTTCAATTATTTCACTCATCTCACAATAGGCGAAAGAAAGGCGGAAAAAAATAAATAAAAACAATAACAAAAAGACAATACGAGAAAATAAAATTCGAAATTTTTTTTTCTTCCTATTTGACGTTTTACAATCATCATTGCATTACGTTGAACATTAAACGTAAAGACCAAATTGAATAAATTAAAGAATACAAAAGACTATTATTCTTTCTATCTCAATTTAAATAAGTTAAAGAATACAAAGACTATTATAATACTATTCTCTGTCACAATTTAAGTTATTGGCTTACTGTTAGGGGTGAACCGGGGGTCTTATCAAGTTGATAATTTAGTTTAGTGGCGGATGTGCGGAGGAAAATGCAAGGGAAATAGTGGGCGAAAGTATGGAGGGTGTTTTAGGAGTTCTTTTTTTTTTGGTATTTTATGGAAGAAAATGAATAGGATTAAGAAGGAGAAATGGGGGGATATGAAATGGAAGAAAATTAGGGATGGATAAACCAAGTTGGTGTTTAAGAGATATTACACACTCTTATCCTAACTTGGGGTTTGAATCTAGAATTTAATTAAGATATGACACACTTAATTAAATATCTAGAACCTAAAACTCACACTTAAGATAACCACTCTTAAGATATAGAATTAGGAATTTAGCTAAAATAGCATCACACTATTTTAATAATACTCAAAGAGTAAAAGATTTTCAATATTCAGAGATTGTGTTTACAATGGCCATAGGGCCTGATTATATAGGGAGAGGGGAAGGGGGAAATACATAGTACAAAACATGAGGAAACTTCCTGGAAGCAACTATTTCAAAAACATGGGATAATACCCATTGAATCATGTCTCCAAAGTTGAATAAAAATCAGAGATGGGGCTGGGGTTGTGGGGTTTTGAGGTTTGGTTTGTAGTGGTTGTTTCCTGGTTTTTTTAAGACTATTATTTGGGTAAAATGAGGAGGTGTGTTTGCTGAGAAAAGGGGGCAGGGATGGGGGCTATAATGGGTGGTTTTGGACTTATAGGTTTGGGTTATTTGTGAGAGAATATGGGCAGGAATGAGTGGCTAGTGGTGGGTCCGGGTTTTGGCTCTTTGTGGGTGTTTATGTTGGGATTGTGAAGTGTATTTTGGCCAGGGGTGAATGGAATAGAGGGTGGGTTTTATTTGTTGAACAAAAGGCTTAAAAAAAAAAAATAACAACAAACAAAAGGTTTTATTTTACACAACCTTATTTTTGGCCAGGGGCTTAAATAAGAGTAGGAAAAAAATTTATTCTGAAATGAAGTAAATGGCAAAGAGTTTTGGATATTTTGGGTTGGGTTGGACAGAGTGGGGGTTGGCCTGTGGAACCCTCGGGTCCGAAGCTATCCTGGCCTCTTGGGTTGAAGGACTCGGAATTCTCACTAAAACGGATCATAATGCTTGAACTTAAGTCCTCTGGTTTTTGCGAGGGTGTAGGACATGGGGGAGGGTATGATAGGGCCAGGCCCGGGTATAACACTTGCAATTCACACGGTCAACCTTGACAAATTTTCTCTATCTATTTCTATTAATTTGATAAAATAATATAATCATATCAATTATATAATTAAGAAAACTTTTAATTCAGTTTATAAATTTTTAAATTTTTTATTTTAATTCTCTGTTAATTTTTAAATAAAAATGAATTGAAAATTTTGATACAACCTTGCTCTTGAGAGTGTACCCCTCCGGACTTTGTTTTCCATTTGATGAATTAAACTACCGCATTTTTTTACCCTCAGCATATATATGTTATACCAAAACAACATGCAAATTGTTTCTGAGAATCAATTTATTTCAAGATTCTGCCAAAGACCAAAAAAATGTTGAATGGAAAAAGACCAAAGACTTCATTGATATGAGTTAGAGTTTTGACTGCCCGATCGGCTTTCGTGTAGGCAGGACGGCTCGCTGCAACGCCTCTTGGGTGAGTGACACCACAAGCTGAAAAATTACCATATTTTGAACAAAAACAATGAATCAATATAGGGCTAATGATAATCATAATCATCATCATAATCATCACAAGGTTAATCTTGAAAGTCTTGCTGTTTACCGTTCCGTTCCGGTCAAACATTTGCCCAGAAACAAAACCGCGGGCATTATGTGCAGATGGACTCCCAATCTGGACCAAATTTACAAAGCAATTTAGAGAAAAAATGGAAATGTGACTAGCCAATTTACACAAATATTTGCTGTGTTACGGGAAATCTTTGCTTGCTCACCACAAACAGTATCCAGTCATCAGCCCGAATAGGCCTGTGAAACCACATCCTGAAATAGAGAGCAAGTAAACATGAATCATACTAAAATTTTATTTTGTACCAAAAAAAAGTTCCGTTTATAATTTCACTTTTCTTAACAAGCGTGTCATTTTGGGATGAAGGGAGCAATGGGGTCCACAAAATCAAAGTTTGAAGACACTTACGAGTGATCGAGACTAAGAGTCGCAATCTTCAGCCCTGCCTTGCGATGAGGATTGTTACTTACAGAAGCAAAGATAAGATCCGACGCATATGCCACAACACATCTATAAGGGATAAATTTTTAAAAATGTGAAGTTGTGGCAGTATCAAAGTTTGGGAATTATGATAAAATGTAAAGATATATTGTTGGTGAAAAGATATGTAAAGATACCGGTGCAAAGCTTGATCATCAGAAAGATTTCCCTTTGCTCTGAACCAGAACCTCAAACTGCTTCCACAATGGGGACAAAATGCACGAGTTCATCATGATATTTCATTTTAGTATACATTCATGTCAATACTATACTTTTACAATAACACTCCAACATCGCATATTGTAAGGATATTGAAGAAACAGTAAAAGTTATGTAATCTTGGAATATTATTGTAAATTATCAAATTTCTAAGAGTATTGGCATGATTTTTTCTTCATTTTATGCCTCAACCAAAATACGTTCAACAAGTAGAGACAGTGAAGCTGACCTTGGAGGGCTCTTGGTCTGGCTGGTTCCTGTACTAGGATCACAGAACCTTATCTCTATTGGCCATGGAACAAACTCCACAGTAGCTAAAATGTTCCTATAGGTTCTGCAAAATTTTCAATACTTATAAGGAATCAAGTGAATACAAAAACAATAACAACAAAAAATCTCACATGAGTAGGTCATGGGTATGGCCTAAAACCTGGGAAGACGAGGATCAGTGAGCCGCCTTTCACGTATCTCTTCCATTGACAGAAGCTGCAATAACAGTTTTGAATAAGCAAGTTGCATTAAATTGAAAACTGGATGGAAAGATGTTGTGATTACAATGTACCTTTTCTGGATCCTGCACATTAGGCATTAATGCGTCCTGGTGGTCAAATCCCTCTTCTTCTTTCTGCCAAATTATTTCCACCCAAGTTATGAATAATATATACTCCGTAGCTTATAACAAAGCAATGTACTTGACATCACAAATATTACAATTAATAATAATAATAATGATAATAATGAATTAATGATATTATGATAATGATAATTATAAGTATCACAAACACTTCAAGATTGAATAAGTATCACCAACGCTCTCAGAAATTCAATATTTTCAGAATAATACTCCAAGATTGCATTTTGATCACAGAAATGCCTCACAATTTGGAGGATTCATGTAAAGTAATAATTCTTTTGTAGTATTATGGGACGTAGGTGATAGTTTAGCAATCTTGGAATATTCGTGTAAAATCTCAAATTCATGAGAATATGCACAAGATTTTTTCCTAACAGTAATAATACTCTGAATACTTCGTAATAAACTAATAATTCTAGACATTGAGTGATTACCTGAAATGAAGCAACTAAAGTAAATACAACATTCCCTTTCTGTATTGCATCTACCCTCCTTGTTGAGAAGCTCTTCCCATCACGCACACGATGTACTTCATATATTATTGGAACTAGAAAAACCAAAAGTAACGATACTTTTAAATGCGAGAGGCTTGCAGTAGTGGGTGTGAGAGAGTAGGGATAGATAGACCTAAGAAGAGTTTGGAGGATGGAAATGTTACAGAGTATTATAAAAGTCACAAAAGTGAGTAAGGAGCTTACAATCAACATCCCCACCGAGAAGGAAGTGGGCATGAATGCTATGAACAATCTTGAGACAATTGACAGTTTTTGTGGCTGCTGCTAATGCCTGGACAAAAAGTCAATTGCACATTTTCACTGAAATTTAAAAAATCACAACAAAAAAAATTTATAAAAAGGTTCTCCTTTACCTGCCCCATAAATTGGCCTCCGAATACTTTTCCGAATTTTGGAGCATCAGGCAGTGTAACACCTTGGAATATATTCACCTACAAGAAAATGTAGGTAAGTTTAGCAACCAGAACAAAAAAAAAACAAAAAACTACAAATTTCTAAATTTTTGTGGGAAAGATAGGGGTAAGGTCTGCGTAGATACACCCGCATAGACCCCCCTTTTGTGGGATTCTAATGGGTTTGCTGTTATTTTTTGGTGGGAGGGAGTTATAGATGTGTGTGCATACATGTTTTTTAAATATTTTTGGCAACATTTCTTATAAAGATTTAGCCGTTCGTTCTTGAGAGCCATGATTTTTGTTATAAATGAAACTTGGAAAAGGAGAAAAGATTTTTGGATTGTTCAAGTCAACATTGTAAAAAGTTAAAAACAACAAGCCCAATAAAATCCCACAAAAAGAAAGGGTGCGGGAAGTGCGTGTACACAGACCTTACCCCTACTTTGAAGGGAAGACGTTTTTTCTGAAATTGTTCTTTGAAAAGAAAGTTTGATAATTGCCATTTCTAGAAAATAAATGGACAGCACTACAGCAGCAAAAAAAGAGACAACTTTGAAGGCATAACGAAAACAAAAGTAAATATAAGGGAACACAGTTTAATCTCAGGGGCAAACACATACTTCTAAGGGTACCAAATGCAATATGTGCTCCACTAGGGGGCATTTGTCCACTGCTTTGTCTGCATTCCATATCGATTTAGGTTGAAGCAGATTACGGTGTTCATGGAGCAGCACCAAGCAGGTTAACTGCCATTGAAAAAACACAATAACTTAAAACAACTTTGAAACCACAAAAAACAGAAATGGATGAGATAAATGCTACTCCAAGAAAGGTGAGTACTTTAGTGAGTGCAATTACAGCAGCATGCTGAGCTGATGATGCGAGGCCTGCACGGACATTCATCTATAGACGTCACTTAAAATTGAATCTGAGCGGATAAAAGCGTACAAACAATGAGACACATCGCACCGTGACCAAAATAATCATATTGCTTTAACAGATACTCAGTACGGTTGTCTTCCTCAACATGGCCAGAGACTTCAGCCTGCAGAAAGGAAGAGCAGTTTGTATTTAAACATTTCAGCATGAATATTAGATACTCCCTCCATTCACATTTCACTAACTATTATGCCTTTTGGGATATATATCGCCTTCGATGAATAAATGAGTATGAATGAAAAAAATTACCTCCCCATCCCATATGAAGTAAATTCCATCCCCAGCTTCTCCTTCGCGTAGGACATAATCGCCCTTATCTTATACAGGAATAAACAAAATGAGTTTTGATGGACAGAATGAAGACATGCCAAACAAAGAAAATGAAGGGTACCGCAAAGTATATTTCAGATAAAGTGGGAACTGCGAGTTATTTCTAGAAAATCGAGGGCACCCGGAGTAATTTTCTGAAAAATTTACCATAATTCTTGACTTCAACTAGCTGTGCAATTCTCTGGACTGAAGACCTGGGCAATCTCTGCAGCAACGGCACACCGCTCAAAAATTCCGCTACTGCAAAATTCAGCCAGAAAATATTACGTAGTAAAAAATAAAAGTAAAATCTTTAAGAAAAAATTGGTTTTTATAAAACATGTTGGGGGAGAAATTAAAGAGTAAAATTCACCAGATTCGATTCCCATCTTCGAGCTTTTCCAGAAAAAAAAATCACAGTCCTAATGAATAATAATAAATCCAGAATGAGCAATATAAACCCAGAGCCGAGTAGTTTTTTTTTTCTCCTCGATCTCTTTTTGTGTAGGATTTTAGAGTGGTAGAATGTTAAAGGTCGGAACTTTTTTTTTCAGTTAGGATTGTATTTTCCGCCGTTGACCGGACTTCTTGTCTTCCCAGAAATTGTGAAATCGATCAAGAAGCTGAGAAGATTTGTGGAACTACCCAGGGGGGTACTACGTATATTCCTTTGCATAGAACCAAAGAACTACCCAACTGATTAAATCCAGGAGAGGAAATTAACTGGACCGACCGTCAAACCGAAAATCAAAAATTGAAATAACCGAAAACTAAGTAACCGCAAATTCCGTAACTCGTTTTACGAGTAATCGTCCTCACAAGAAATATTGTACATCATATTGTACCATATTCCCTTTCCAACAAGTCTTCGCATTCTCTCATAAAAAACACTTCTTTGCATATATTTTCTAAAAATACTTTTATTTAAAATGCATAACCATCAAACTTACAACATTTGTTTGATGTCATTTTCTCCTCAAGTAATACTTTTTTAAAATAATAATGTATGATTCAAAAGCTTAGATTTAATCCTTCAAAAAAAAGATTTAATAATGGGGCCGGGGGCATCACTCAAAATTAATGATATAGACGGATGTTATGAATGTAAAATATTTATTTATTTGTTAAAGTTTATTATGTAGTACTCTGGATACACACGTAATTTAGTTTTATAGGTGATCGGAAATATATAAATTCTTTCAGGTGTTTCTTTTCCATTATTCACTAACCAATATGATACACAATTAGCATTAGGGATTGCATCTCCTCATTCTTTAGAATCTCTTCACTATGGAAATGGTATCTAAAATGTAGCTTTTGCTGCAAATACACAAACCTCTTGTCAAATTATCATACAAAGTGTGCCATACCTTGCCATGTGCCTGATGAACCATAGCCAAAAAAAACAAGCAACTAGACCTTTATCCCAAACACACACACACACACAACAACAACAACAACAACAACAACAACAACAACAACAAGAATCAAGCTTTAATTCCTCACTTTTTTTTTTGTTTTTTTCTTTCTCCCCTGTTATCTACAAACATAGGGTATATAACCAAACAGAGGGCTAATGCTCTCTTCATATTTAGCCCATTGTTGCATATCTTCAATCTCAGATGACTGTTATCTTCAAGCTCAGTTTAACAGGTAGGGTCTACTCTAAAATCTTCATTCCCCATACAAATTCTAATTGGACAATGGTTCCCCTGCATCACAATGATGATTAATCTAAGATCATTATTATGTACCGGTATATTCTTATGGAATGAGAAATTTTAAAAAGTGAATAGAATGCCAAAAGTCATGGAAGTTTTTTAAAGGGAAAAGAAAAAACAATTACCATGCATTCTTTTTAAAAACCTCTCAAACTCAAGGAAATTGTGGTTCTCCATGAGAACAGAGCTTAGCCTGAGGTATGTAAAAGCCGATAAGTGTCTTCCATCTGGATCATTCCATGGCTTTGCATTTGCTAGAATCTTGTTATAACCTTCTTTATCATAGGAAGGAAGCGCATTCTCACTAGCAACTGGTATGTTTACATCCCATGCAGAATTTAGCACCTGGAAATATTCAAAGTGAAAAATTGAATACATTTATTCATAACAATCATTTTAGTCCAATTGGTGAAGTCAACAACAACCCAGTGGAGTTTCGTAGAAGCAGGGTCCTGGGGGGGGGGGGGGGTTCGCTCAGGCCTTACCCCTTCTTGAGTGTGATGCCTTTACTTCCATTCTAAGTATTAATATGATTCACATGTTAACTTTTAACTGGAGCTTGGATATTATTTGAGAGAAAAATTGTGGCATAAATAGATAAAATACTTCAATCACGTAAGAGACAGCCAAACAAAACAGCGCATGTCAAATTGGTGCGTTCAAAATTTACCTGCCAAACTAACCCCTCAGGATCAGCCAAAGCTTCAGGAAAGTCCTCATTCTGGTTTATGGTACGCAACTCAACACACGTGAAATTCAAAGCAGTTTCATGCTTCTTTAACATCAATGCAATTGGAGCATACCCATCACGGTTGCACGGGTTATAAAACCCAGCAGTCAATTCAGCTGCATGGCTAGCTGACTTGTACCACCAATGAATACCTGATAACTGCTCACCAATCATATACTTCACCTCAGCCAGTTTTTCAGATCAGCTGAAACAGAAGGTTAACCATAATCTACAAACAACAGTTACCTTTGCAGCAATTGCAGTGTCTTCAAAGGCCAAATTTGCCAGGGAAAGAACGCGGTCAGCATGATCAATCAGAACTTGACTGTACCATTTTAGAAAGAATCTGCCGTAGTAGCTATCGTAGTCACCTCCATCACGAAAGAACCCAGTTTCATGTGGGCTGGAGTTATATGAACCTGCGTTATCAGGACCCTTACCCCAAAATGTGTGACCCCTGACATCTGCAGCTCTTTTCAGGCTCTTCATCAGGTACTTATCATAACACTGCATTGGGCAGGGAAAACACAATTGATAACTTGTCCCAAAAAAAGTCCTGTTTCAATAAAGGTTTTTGACCTAAAGAAAGAGTCCAAAAGTCAATTTCACTTTCAATTAAAATTCCTATAAAACCAAGCGGTGTGCAATTTTAGTTAATTTTTTAAGCAATCTTAGGAATAAGCATTACGGGTATAAGTGACCATCCATAACTTGTAAAGCTTGTATGACTATTTTTTCATCAGAAGTAGAAAACAAGAAGGTTCCAAGCGTAACAAGACTATTCAAATAATAGGTTGGACAATCTGAAATGGAACTCAGAGACTGCTAACCTGGAATTCACCAATACCAGGATACCTCCAACCATGTTTGGCTGGATAAGAAGGAAATCTCAACTCCCCACATGGCCCAAGTCCAATTTCAATTTCAGATATGACACCAGCTTCGAAGAACTCATCAAACTCTACTCGAAAGCTTCTCATGTAGTCAAAATAAACCTACACCATTTGTGAGCAATTTTTTCAAGAATAATTAAGATTGTGCACAAGGCAGTGATATACTCCGTATATCATGGTGTGAAAAAAGAAATTAATGTGCATCTAAGTACCATGCCAACTACAAATTGGACAGTGAATAGAAATTTAAAGTAAATTTGGTAAGATTCACATTGGGAACTTACTGAAACCAATGTCATACTTTTTGTTCCAAACCTCCAAATTGCAAATAGTAAAGCAATAGAGCTAATATAGTAATATGAAACTTAGTCTAAACAGCTTTGCACTATGGTGTGATAGTTTGCTCCATAATGACAATATCGACTTAGAAGTTAGAGCTCAAGAATTTTTTTAAGAACTGAATATCTAGTACCTCAACTGCAGTTCGGCCTCTTAGAACTCGCTCCTTGTCAATTCCCCAAGTGAGACATTCATGGTTTCTTCGTCCCTCTCTATCTGTAAAAAATATGTCTGGATTTTTCTGCCCAATCTCTGTGACCCACTCTGGAAGCGGAATGTGAACGTCATCGCCTATATTTGCACCACATTCATGAAATGACATAACCACCTGCAAATATATCTCCAAGATAAAGTTGGTACCAGCTCAACATTGTGTTGCTAGAAATTGAAGAGAAACCACAAATATAAAAAGGAATAGAAAACTACCACGCAGATACAAGAATACATGCTGAGAGTTTTACTTCTCCTACCAGTCCTATGTTACCTGTTACTTGCCTGTAGTTTAAGCTTTAGGTCACGCACAATTTGAAAAAGTGTTCTGTAACCATTCCAATTATATTGTTGTGGAGACAATGCCTCTACTATACCCCACCAGCAGTCCACCATAACACCATCAACATTAACTGATTTCAATATCCGCAGGTAGTCTATGAGAGTGTCAGGATCTACAAGCCTACATTGCATATCGATGACACCCAGCTGTTGAAACAGAAGAATTTGAAAAGTTACTAAGTATATAGGTGTCCAATACATGCAGGAAGAATGTTCAATTGCAATGGAGCTAAAAGGGTAGAAATCTGGACAGTGTTTTAGAGTTTTAGTTTCAATAACGGACTAAATCACAGTGACACATTAAACTTCCTTCGTTTCTTACTTCCAATGAAGTTTTGGGTAGTAAATGCAACAATGCATCAAGGGTCAAACGGAAACAGTTTCTCTGTATTTCACAGGGGTAAGCTGCACACGTCTTGACCCCCTAGATCCCAACGGAATTGGGATTATACTAGGTTTTTGTTGTTGTTGCTGTTTACTGCGTGTGGGAATATAGTCATTAGTCAATAAGGTGAGAATAGATGGCTGTGTGAGAAGAGGGCAAACACACTACTCACGGGTAACATGACATACACAGGAACATAAGGGGTGCCGGTAAAGTCTCGTTCTGGAACCTTTGGTGAAGCATTATCACCCTGCAAGAAGGAAAAGATATTAATACATTATTGGCAATATCTTCACAGGAGATATCAGACAATGATTTATATATCTTTTTAACGATCAGTAAAATGATACAAGGAAGTATCAAAAGATATTAAACTTCTGCATTAATTTTAATCTGTATTTTGTTTCTTAAGAACAAATATTATGATGTATAATAAATCCATCAATACAGAGTCAGGCTTAGGCTTCAGCGCAAATAAGAAACTACAAAAGATTTCAAGGAACTGGGGAGTGAATTAGAGGGATTGAAATAAGACATATCGTTTGGATAAATAAGGTATAGAACAGAAACTTCAAGAAGTAATTGCAGAATCTCCTAAGGTTACATATATAAGTCTTCCAAAATTCAACACGAGAATACATTCTTCATTCAGGGATAGGCTGGCTCGCAAATGTAAACAAGTACTTGAAAATTTATCATTGAGTTACATATCAAAATGTCATTCAAGCAAAACCTAGGAAGTGATTTGCAGGCTTGTAGCACCATTTTTTCAAGTGACATATAGTGAACTTACAATTACTACCAGAGATAAAATAATAGTAATTGCAACCATCCTCCTGTTTCTTATGAGTATTTATCTCATTTTCAGGCAATACTAGCATAAAGGCCTAATTCATCTAATGGCACCGCAAAGAATGCATATTTCATTCACACAATACTAGTAATTTTATGTTACATCTGCAATAATCATCCAGTATTCTAAGTATGCTGTGTCCATTGCGAGCGGAGCTAATAAGAGTCATTTTTGACATTTTTAGCTTCGCATAAAAAATGTATTAAATCGAAGTCACAGTATCACACATTAAACTTCCCTTGCTTCTTACTTTTTATGAAGTTTTGGCAGTAAATGCAATGATATATCAAGGGTCTAAAGGAAGCATCCTCTCTGTTTTTTGCAGGAGTAAGGTTGTGTACATTTTGTCTTCCAAGCCCCAACGGAGTTGGGATTAAGTATGCAATAACAGCTTCGTTTTAGAATATAGTGTTTTGAATAATGTTTTAATGGCTCACATTCACTTTGAAAACGCTAATCCTAAAAGCTACATTAGGAAAAAACGAAAAACAGCTATAACACTCGAATGAAAAACCTTAAACATCAGGAAAAATAGATCATGAATACCTCCTTGTCAACGGAACCATCGGTATCCTCTCCATCACATAGTAAATAATCCTCAATTTTCTCTCCTGTGCCCCTGACCGGAGCTCCGGTGCGCGTCCGATCCCAAGTCCCGGCAGTCAACTTCATCGATTCGCCCCTACATCGACGCGAGCAGCAGTTGAGCTTCGCAGTGAGTCCGGAATGGCGAGTAGAATTGACTCCAGAGGGAGACGGAAGTGAAGGGAACCGCCCCGGTTCGGCCAATCTAGCCATTGTTCCCGGCGTCAAGCTCTGGAATAACTGCAAGGACGGAACAGTTACACTCGACATTTCATCCCCGACTGTAACAGAGATTAATTATTGGCTTTTTGGAGTTTTTCAGCGGCTTCTTGTCTATTGTTATTGTTAAAAAAATTTAATGCATTAATTTAAAAAATTAATGTATTAAAAAATAGGAAAGATTTAATTACACACCATTTTCATTGATCTTCAATAAAATAAAATATTTCTCTCTTTAATTATTTTGTACTCCATCGGTTCCTGACCTTTATTCACATAATCACATTTAATTTTTTTGATGCAAACATTATTTACCATAAGTTAAACTAAAATGATATTAGATATTGATATAAAATTAAAAATTAATTTTATTAGATTTATTATATCAAATATTTTCAAAATATTATTTTATGTAATTAATATACAATATATATTTTATTTAATTATAGGTCAGATATTGAAAATGATTGACTAAAAAAAATTAAAATTGGACAAATAATTAATGACAAAAGTAGTAAAATTTTTGACAAATTTTTTTAATACCTCTGTCTAAAATTAATTGTCTATTTTTAATTTACATACTAAAAGTTTTTCACTAGCATTAAAAGTTGAAGAACTGACATAGATACATTGAGAATGAAATTTATTACAAAATTTAATGCAAATATAACGTTTATTTATGTACAGTAGGTTATCAACATATGCTCCACGATGTTCAATTATCAAACAAAATCACATTAATTATATAATTAATTATATTTTTCTCCCATATATATATTTGAGCCATTGGAACTGCACTGTAGTTAATTAAGAAAGTGAATATATATTGCATTATAATTTTTTTGCTTATTGATGGAAATGAAGGGTGGCATCCTTGAAGTGCTCCTTGCTAGTGCTCAAGGCATCGGCCACAATATTGGTAACAATAACGCTACATTTAAGTATTTTTAAAATTAATTTGCACTGCCAAAAAATTATTTAATGCGTTAAATTAAAAGTAATTAAAAATTTTGTTTCTAAACCGAGCTTTAATTTTATACACATATGCATATATATGTTCATGTTTCGAGAAAAAAAATTATGAATATGTGTTATTGATAAATAAGAAATATGGAGTATTTCTGGTGTTTCCTGTAGTTTGAAAAGTGAGTACTAATACTCTCATTTTAGTTTTTTAATTGTATATATACTCTTTTCAGCTTATAACTAGGTTTCCTCTTGTGTTTTTATGATCCTATATTTTACTTATTCATTTTTTCTTGAATGAAAAGATTATTCTCTTCCTTTCTAAACTAACATATTATTATCTAACCTTTTTTTTTGTAACATTCAGTTTGTTTACATCTTTCCTCCAATTTACCATACCACCAAAGGTAAAATGGAAAGTCAAATCTTTGTTTTTTTATCTTGATTAAAAAACATGTCAAATCAAAACGGGGAAAAATTATAGAAGGAATTGAATTAGAAGGAAATACGGAGTATATACTACTTATGTGTATATATTATTTGTTGGCATTTATAATAGGGAAAGGAAACTACTATGTCATTCTTGAATGTGGACCTCAAGTCTACAAAAGCAAAACTTCCAGAGGTGAATTTTTTTAACATTTAAAAAAATTCACATAGTTTTACTTCATGTTAAATTATTTATTTTTATTTACTTTGTTTCATTGATGTGGTAAAAAACAATGCCATGCATCCTGCAGGGTATCCAAAGGAGATTTGCTGGAACCAGAAATTTACATTTGAATTGCCCATGAAAGATTTGGAGAAATATTACCACCTAAAGCTAAGAATCATGCATGATGATATTTTCACAAATGGATTTGTAGGCAAAACCATGTAAAAAAAAAAGAAAAATTATTTCCCTTTATTTTTTTACCTTTCATTTATAAAGAAATAAGTGGACTTATTTTAAATAATTAATTATAATACATTATTTCAGCGTAAATTTGAAGGGTATTATAGCAGAGGGAAACGAGAGTGGATTCGTAGAAATAAAACCAGTGCCACATAATGTTACTCTTGAAGACGACAGTTATAAGGGACTGTTAAATATTGGATTAATTTTCACTCCTCAGGTAATATTCTATATTATAACTCCTCATTTACATCCTCCGTCCCACTGTATTTGTTCAGTTTGACTTTTTCGAGTCAAAATGACCACACATTTTGAACTTCAATTAAATAAAAACCGTAATGTGTTTAACATAAAAATGACTTTATTGAATTTATCGTATTGAAAACTTTTAAAATTGTATTTCATTATGCTAATATGCAATATAAATTGAAAGTAATTGGAGTTCAAAGTTTGTCTAATTTGACTCGAAAAAAATAAACTGGACAAATATACTGGAATAGAGGTAGTATTTATTTTTGATTATTTACCAAATGTCAAGAGTACTACATCGAACCTTTTAAATTTTTCTACTTCGATTTATAATGTTCAATTCAGTCGTCAAAGTTATTTCAATTCAATTTATTTACACTGTTATATAAATTTAAAAATGAAAACTTTTTTTGTTTCAAAATAAGGTTTTGTTTCACGTACTATTTACAAATTACAAGATCGATTTATTTTTTCTTTACACAGTTTCATGTATAATTTTTTTATGTGTATGCCAGATTATAATGCAAACAAGAGAGATCGAAGTGGTGGAAGAGAAGAGAAATGGAATCAAGCAATTTGTATATCGCAGAATTATTAAGCTTTTCCAAATCCAATGGTGGCGACGTCACCATAATAGCTAGCGTTTTTATATTAGCTTTTCAAAAAAGCTCTATAAGAAAAATTAGTTAGGAGTCTCTCTATTAATCAGTACTTAAGATAAGTAATAGCCGAGAATAATAATCCTTCATATTTGGACAATAAGATATTTGCAACATGAGACTTGTTTGGGAATAACGATTTCGATTAGTGGTTAACACGTAGATTGGTTCTGAAAAACGATATATAATACCGTCTGATAGCCTTTTTAGAAACGCTAACGATACTAATATGTAACGTTATGCAAACGTGACCATGAACAATAAGGTTGAATTTTATTAGACTTTAAACATATATACACTTATCAATATATGATATGTTTAATTTGATATACTTCTTCTATCTCATAAATATTTTCAAAAATGAAAGAAATTCACACCCAAAAAATTAGTAATTTTGGTATTATTTTTCAATTATGACTCATCTATTCTACGCATTATATTCTACATTGTTATTAATTTAAGTAATTAAGGGCAACATTAGAAAATGATATCAAAAATATAAATTTTTATGATGGCACTTTTTTTTTCGTCTTTGAAATGTTTTATATGACTGATGAAGTAAATTTTAAAAACTTTGGGACTAAAAATATATATAAGGACCATATGTACTGATTTATTGACAATTTTCTTTCATTTCTTAAGTATCTAACTGAAGCTAAATTGATGCACCATTATTAAATTAATTTTCTTGCAGTCAAATTGCAAGTTATCCTCATAAATTAAGTATATGCGTTTTTTTACCGAGGATTATCTAGAAAATAAATCTCAATTATAAAGGACTATATATGTTGGTAATTATTGTTGTTTGAGGACTAATTTAAAAAAACATCTTAATAGAAAAGACGCCGTTTGGTGAATATAATCACGTACAAAGCGTCAATGCTTCCACCTCCGAGTGAACTTCCCCACGAATTTTGGGAGGTGAGCTTTCAGGGGAGAAGTTCACAATAAAATAATTTTTAAAAAAACACATGAACAATAAATATAACTAATTCATTTTTTATTAATATGTAATTCAATTGTACTACATGATTTAGGGGCTGTTTGTTTCAGCCTCTTAATGGTTCATATGTCTGAATGGTTCAGCACTTAATGGTTCAGACTGTTTGTTTCAGCCTCTTAATGGTTCAGATGTCTGAATGGTTAAGAGATTTGCCTCTGAATGATTAAGTATTATACAGAGTCTGAATGGTTAAGACCTCTTATCTGAATTGATCAGACATTTGCCTCTGAATAGTTAAGCAATATACTAGCTCTTAATGGTTCAGACCTCTTACTGGTTCAGCACTTAATGGTTCAGACTGTTTGTTTCAGCCTCTTAATGGTTCAGATGTCTGAATGGTTAAGAGATTTGCCTCTGAATGATTAAGTATTATACAGAGTCTGAATGGTTAAGACCTCTTATCTGAATTGATCAGACATTTGCCTCTGAATAGTTAAGCAATATACTAGCTCTTAATGGTTCAGACCTCTTACTGGTTCAGCACTTAATGGTTCAGACCTCTTACTGGTTCAGCACTTACCGATTCAGAAGTTGCCAAATAGCCCCTTATTATAATAATGTAGTACGTACCTATCATCAAACTAGTCTTAAACATTCATTAAATTATTCACCACAGAGGAAAGCTTATTATTATTATTATTATTATTAAATTGAACTGGACTAAAAAATGTTCAACATAATTAAATAAGATGTACTGAACTGAGTAATGTTCCAAATTCAAACAACATTTTATTAGGAACGATAGTTAGATGTTCCCACAAATTAGCTAGCATCCATTTAAAAAACCAAAAAAATAATGTGTCACGTTTGGGAGTAGGTGGACAAATTTTGTATATACGACATGTTGTGATTTTCATCGACACCAAAATAAAACAAAAGAGTGTTTTTTTTCTAATGCTCATTAATTCACACAATTATTCACGTGCCTCGTTTTTTTTGGAAGGAAACCACAACAAATAATAGGCATATATTTATATGATTAATTATTGGCTTACTTTTATATTCTTGTGTTCATGTTCACATTTTGTTTCCCACATTTTTTTCCATACAATATAGCTCCTCAAATCAAAGTGCGGTAAAATTTTTCTTTTAGTTTTAAATTTGCAAAGTATTATTTTTGTTACATATAAAGCACGAATCTGCTATTTTCACCAACCGGCTTGAATCCTATAGTTAACATCATTTTCTAATTTATACATGGTCTTGAATGATACACTTTAATTTTTATTGTTAAGAAAACACTTAAAAAACTTTGGGTACTCATTTGAACTATTGTTTGTGTACTGCATTTTTTATTTAAATAACGACGAACATTTTTTCAATTTGATTATAAAATGTCAATCTCTTTGAGTAATTTTCTTTGAATAACACACCATGATAGTATTAACTTTTAACAGTTTTTTTACCTCCAACTCCCTCAATTTGGCAATTTGTTCGTAATAAATCAGCAAAGAGTCCAAGGGGTATTATAGGGACTATATCGTTGACCAAAGCATCGTAATTAATTAATACTGTAAAATCTTCACACAAATAATAGAGTTACAAATTATATATAAATGTGTGCCCACTGGATATATATATACATGTCCATTAAAAAAAGAACAAATAATCCATTTTTAGCAGCAATTGGTTAGCTAAGCAAGAATTACTAATAAAGATCCTTCTTTTATCCTTTCTTCAAGAAGATAAAGGAAGTTCTTGGAATTGAGTGGCACTTTTCCCAACGGTGTTGAATTTGAACTCAAATCTCGCGCTATTAAAAGGGTGAGTTAAAGATTTTATTTATTTTTTACCGTTAAATCTTTATTTCATTTTGAGTTTTCTCTTTTTCTTTTCCCCTATATCTTTGAAAATAATACTTCAAGACTGCTTTTATTTGTACTTGGAGATCAGCCCGCCAGTGGTTTATTCAAACTTATAATCACAAACTGGAATAATTCTCTTTTACTTTTCTTGGATTTTCGATTTTTTTTGTTCTTTTTCTTTTTACATTTTGGTTTTTTTTTTGCAGTTCAAAATTCCATCTTGAACTGTTCTCAGCAGTTCTTCTGTTGGGTTTCTTTTCTTTGCCCTTATTTAAAGAACCTTCAATTCCTACTATGCTCTGTGTTTGATTTCCTGCAGAAAGAAAGAGTCCCATCATAAAATAATGGAGAGTTTTCATGATGAAGAAACAGATGATCAATCAGAAAGAGCATTGAAAAGTGGGGATTTTTCTTCTTCTTCTTCTTCTTCTTCATCTTCTTTTGGGTATTGCAGAAGGAACTCATCAGAGACGACTACTTCAGCTGAAGACAATGCCAGCTGGGAAACAGAGTCCTCTCCTGTGACTTTTCCTCTCTTCAAATCCCCAACACATAGCAAAGCCCTTTCAAGACTCGGCATGAGACATCAAGAGAAATTTGAAGATGACTCCGAGGCTGTTGATTCAGGTGAGGAGTTTATGCAAAAGTTGTCTGCTCATTTGTTATGTTGTTTTTTTATTGTTGGAAAAAATAATAATCAAAATTTTATCAATGTTGGTTGTAGAGGTGGAAATGATGAAGGAAAGGTTTTCAAAGCTGTTGTTGGGAGAAGACATGTCAGGAAGTGGGAAAGGGGTGTCTACTGCTGTAACCATTTCAAATTCCATTACTAACCTTTTTGGTAATAATATAATGCTTAAGACATTAATAATAATAAATGATAATAATAAATAAAAATAAATAATAAAATTGTGGTGTTATTTGTTGCTTTCAGCATCTGTTTTTGGTCAGCACCAGAAATTGGAGCCATTGAGCAGTGATAAGAAGTCAATGTGGAAGAGAGAAATGAACTGTCTTTTGTCTGTGTGTGATTACATTGTAGAATTTGTGCCCACTTCACAAGTGTTACAGGATGGCACCACTATTGAGGTACAATATTTTTCTTATCATTAAAAAAAACAAATTTATTAATCATTCTCCAATAATTCCCTTAATTACATTTTTCCCCTCATCCATCCTTTTTTTGTTCAACTTTGGAGCTAAATTAACATTATTTAATCACACAATTTATAGGTGATGACAAGCAGGCCAAGATCAGATATCTACATGAACCTTCCGGCTTTGAGAAAACTAGACACAATGCTCCTGGTATGTTAAATACACACACACACACACATGTGTGTGTGTGTGTATGTATATAGAATTATAGTGTCAGTTTGGTCGACTCGTTTTTCTGTTGATCCACGGTTCTTTTGACATTGGTTTTGGGTGTCATAATATGACTTTTAGTTATTATGTTCTTTATGAACACATTTTAAGCAAATTTGTGAGACAATTCACACACAATTAGAGAAACAATTCAAACTCAAAGTAACCTTACCTTTAGGAAGATGATATAAATGTCTCATTCTCAGTAGGTTCTTTGGCCATATATATAATGCAGGAGATTTTGGACAGTTTTGAGGCAAGTGAGTTTTGGTACACAGAGAAAGGAAGTGGGAGGGGGAACTCATCAAGGCGGCACGGGTCCTTCAGAAGGGTGCTTCAGCCCCAGCCGCAGCCCCAGAGGAATGAGGAGAAGTGGTGGTTGCCGGATGTGTGTGTTGCGCACGGCGGGCTTTCTGAGAAATCAAGGAAGAATTTGAGGCAAAAAGGGAAATGTGCTCATCAGATCCACAAAGCAGCAATGGCCATTAACACTGCCATTCTATCTGACATGGGAGTCCCACATTCTTACTTTGCCTCCCTCCCTAAGGTTTATATGTCTCTCTCTCTTTAGGCCACTTGAGAAGTTTATATTCAATAGAGCCTGGGTCTCCATTTTTGAAGGTCCTACAATACTCCTTTCGAACGCGAAATAATTTTTACTCTCCATTTTGCACGAAATTATTTCATGGGAATTTATGTGTTTTTTTTCTTGTCAGAGTGGGAAGGCAAGTGTGGGAGAATCGATTTATCGGTACATAAGTTCAGGGGAGAAGTTTTCGCCAGAGAAACTTCTTGACAGTGTAAATATAAGCTCAGAACATGAAGCACTTGAACTTGCAGACAAAGTGGAGGCATCCATGTACACATGGAGAAGGAAGGCTTGTTTGGCTCATGCAAAATCCTCATGGGAGGAGATGGTCAAAGAGCTCATGTCTGACATTGATAATAAACCAGACAAAAACTGTGTTTTAGCTGAAAGAGCAGAGACATTGCTGTTTTCCTTGAAGCAAAGGTATCCTGAGCTTTCACAAACAACATTGGACACATGCAAGATCCAATGCAATAAGGTAATTTGAAGGGAAAAAAAATCATCTTTTTTAATTCTTTTGTGCGTGCAAAGATTTTCTTTTTTTTTCTTTCTACAATTGTTCGAAAAAAATCTGATCTTTTTTATTTAAATTCAGGATGTGGGGAAATCAATCCTTGAGAGCTATTCAAGAGTGTTGGAGAGTTTGGCATTCAACATTGTTGCTTGGATTGAAGATGTGGTTTTTGTGGATAAAACCATGAGAAACCAACAGTAATAGTGTGTAGGGATCTCTCATCATTCCATACAATTAACTAAAGAAGGGTAACCTGGTGCACCAAACATCTCCGCGGAGCAGGAAGGGTCCCACCACACCACCACGGTGGTGTCGCATAGGAAAATTTTGCTGCCTGACTCGAACCCGTAACTTCAAGGTCACTCTAAGGCTCCCCTTCAAGGCTTCAACTAAGACACCCTAATCTTTTTTTACTTCTCAATGTATCATTTCAACTGTAAATCAATACTGGAGGGTCAAATTTTTACGTATTGTTTGGGTTGTAAGCTATTTGACATGTAAGCTAATACGATTATTTGTATCGAAGAAAGCACATATGAGAACCTCTTTCCCTGGGCAGTTAGCTTCAGTGGCCGAGGCATCCAAGATAATGTGGACCGAATCCTAGTAGGGATAAGGGCACCAGGGGCACTCGGATTTGATGGTCTTTTTCTTTTTTGTCAAGAGAAAAAGGAATATGAGAAGAGATTGGCTCACAAGAACACTAGGGGAATGTCAAAATTTGCCCTTCATGATAATAAGGAAGGGTAACTGTCACACACTTTGCTTGAAAGGCAGTTTTGTCAAATCCATGGCATTCCCTTAAATTTTTACTGAACCTTCCACTGCAAAATCCCTTAACCACTACACACATCCCCACCCCACACTTGGAGTGGGAAACATAAATCCCACAAATGACAGTCTTCTTCATTGATGCACAAGGAAAAGTCATACAACAATCCAATAGGGTCCTACAAGTTGAGGGCCTGGGTCTGGAGAATAGGTCACACAGACTTTATCCTTGTGATTACAGCAGAGATGTTTCCCAAAGACCTAGCTTTGGCTAAAAAGACATGAAAACAGGTTAGAACAATCAAACAAAGATGCAGAAAGAAATCCATGATGATATGATATTACACATTACAATACAATCCCACAGAATTACAGAACATGTCCCTACAAATTAGGGGGGCAAAACCCAATTTGGAATCATCATTATATTAAACATCAGTCAAAGAACCACTTCTCAACATAAGGGGAGCCAATGCCTTCTGTTTTTGTGCAGCAGCAGCAGAAGAAGAGCTCTTGAATGCTTCCAGCAGTGACTTGCACTTATCAATGTCTCCTTTGTTCCCTTCCAGACACTTCTTCAATGAGGCATCTTCACTCACTGCCTTCTTATCTGGACTCTTCCCTTCAACATCCATATCTCTCTTTTCTTGAATCTGCCCCAAATTCAGTCAAGAAAATCCTAAAGATGAATAAAGATCCAAACTTTTTCAAACTGGGAAATCCATAAAAGTGAAACAGAGAAAAGGGTTTCTTCAAGAATCAGAAATCAACAACCTTTTTTTAAGGATCATGGAATCAAAACTTACCCAGTTTTAAAAAGATGGAGAAATTACAGAAGCATGCAATAATGATAATAAAATAAATAACAAATTAAAATTTACAATTTGGGTTGGGGTATTTGGGTGTGTGATGCTTGTAACTCAACTCCTCCACAGGATGTATATGTATGGGTATGGGGGGGCTTCCCACTCTTGATTCTTTTTCAGGGAATATATGGAGAAATGGAGCCCAATGGAAGATGCAGATGTGATTGATTGAAGTGGATTGAATCAATCAAAAAGAATCTCTCTTCAGAGCTCAGATGACCCAGTCACCCAGTGGTCATCCATTGGATAATAATGACACTTGGGAGACATGTTAACTGATCAATCGTACTTTTCAGGGTGTTCACCAGAGCCTATGTTGTTTCCGTCTACTCCATCCATTCTTTGTAATGGTCCTGCGAGTGGGCGTTGGATAGTTGGCAAGGCAAGGGTGCCAAAGAGGTATGGGCCGAGTTCAATTTCTACCAACTGCACTACTACGTAACTGTGCTAAGCTGCCTAAGCATAAGGCCTCGCAAATACCAGGTGCAGACTCAACTCTTGCCATCAATTTGCAATTAAAGTCCAATTTACCTTTTCTCAGTGACCGTCCGGCCGGGTCTGAGGAGGCCCTCGGGATGGGGCTCATCCTTTTTTTGTAATGGTCCTATTAAATCAGGGTGTAAGAGCGTCTGGGCTGGGTGTCCTATCTTTTTTTTTGTAATGATCCGGTTTGATTTTTTGTGCCAAAAGTTTGACCAACTAATATAGTAAGTATTTTGAAACATACTCCTACTATGGAGTAGCAAAAACTAATTCTTTCTGTCTCAAAATATTTTTATATATTAATAATGTTTATCGAGAATACTTTTGGGTAAGAGAATACGATTAAGCTCGTTCAAAATACATGGTAAAAGCTAGTTAGAATATAGTTTCGCGAACAAACAAATATTAGCAAACGAAATAAGTATGAACTAGTCACCAGCAAAACAGATGCACCATGCAATCGGTGTGAGACTTTTTTGTCGGGTTGTAGTTGTACATCCATACCATCTTCGTCCCTTAAAACTTTTCCTATTCTGATTTTTAAGAGATTTAAGAAGAGTGTATTTTGGTATTGACATTCCAAAAATGTTGTGGATGTGATGGGGTCTGAGATCAAAGTACCAGATGTCTGCTCCACTCTTTGCCACCAATCTGCGATACAAGTCCAATTTACCTTTTCTCAGTGAGGCTCGTCCTTTTTGCTAGGAGAGTAGTCATTAAAGGAAAAAAGTGACATATAGAAAGAATGAAGTATACTTGGTTTTTTCTAAATACAGTTAAAGTCACGTGATAAATGTACTTCAATGAATTTATTTTAACACCAAAATTAAATAATATGTGAATCACAAATATGCATATACAATGATTATCATCTACGCGATTCAAATATTATTCGTAATATTAGAGTTTCCAATTGCAAAATTGTATTTTTTATTTTTTTATGCGAAATATACAATTAACATCATCAAAAATCATTGTTTTCCTATTTTTTAAAATAGTGAAGAAGTAAAATATTTCCTTCCTCTATCCCACAAAAATATTTACTTTTATCTTTATAAAGTTTAAAAATAGTAAAAACAGAACAATGAGAATAATACTCCGTATATATTATGCAATGGGAGAAAGACCAAAGTAGGACTAAAACATTGAAAATATACCAAAATAGGACTTCCATGTTTTTATTCCCGAAATAGGACTTACATTACCAAACATGGTCATATAGATTACCAAAAAAGTATAGTAATGTGCACATGTACACTGCCACATTACCACAATGCAAAGTCACATTACCACAGTGCAAAGTCCTATTTCGGGAAAAAAAACATGAAAGTCCTATTTTGGTACTTTTCTCTATGTTTTAGTCCTATTTAAGGTGATTTCTATTATGCAATAAATAGGTATAATTTACCAAATATGGTTGGAGGGATGAGTAAAAAATATGTAGGTCAAACACAATTCCCTATCTAAAATAATTCGTAACACTTAACAATCCAAATTATAATTATTTGTAACATTTAGCATCCAAATAATACCAAACTCTTTAGAAATACAGAAATACTCTAGCAAAAATAATTCAACGTAATATTGGGGAGTTATTTTTCACACTTTACATATAAAAATCTTTACATATCATGAGAATTGATATCTTACTTTAAATTAAAGCATATTAAAAATAAATTATAATTAAAAACGAAAACACGATATTGAAGAAAATTGTAATGTTAAAGTTGATACTTAATACTCGGTAACATTGAAGAAAAGAAATTTGGCATTTGCATTTGAATATTTTTTTAATATTACAAACTAACTTTGAAAACATTAGCATCAAAAGTTATAGCTAAATACTCAGCATTTTTTCAAAATGCTAAAACTCGTATTGGGAGTTCTTAAATTAATCATTATTTGATTAACATTATTTACGAAGGACTAAAGAACCACGTAGGTAATTAGAACTTATTGAAGACTGAGTTGGAAAAGTACCTTATTACAAAAGATCATTTTAGAAATTTACTCTAATATTAATAACAATAATCATAACTATAATTATAAGAACACCTGCTACTACAAGTCTACAACTAACCGAAGTGGCAAAAAAAATACAGAAACTTGGCTACAACAGGCATGGCTCTCTTCCACAGATCCCCAAATGGAAGGGGACTTAAGGAAAGAAATGAAAAATACAACAGCAATGGATTCAAAGCACATGACATTTTTGCTGAGGGCATTAACTATCATCATCATCATCATCATCTAGGGGTACATCAATTAATCAGGTGTTCAGATATCAAAACAACAAGACCACATGAGGGAACAATGACTTCATTTTCTTTCTTTTAATATGTACAACAACCTCCGAACTGCGCCACTAGAGCCACACGGTCCTGGCACGGGGCATCAATATCGACGGGTTAGCACTTGAGCGGAGGACCGTGGACTCTGTCTAGTTGAATAAGCTTGCCCGGTAAAAATGTCTGAAGGGTTGGTTAGTTTCCATAGTGCCCCTCCCGAAGATGCCAGCCCAAGTGGGCCCCGTTTTCGGCTTAAAATTCAAAAAAAGAGCGCTCTCAATGGCACTTCCCCATGGCAGAGAAGGAAAATACAGCAGGGGAGCGAGCCGGGAAGCTTTGATCTTTTCTTGGGCAACCGAAGGAAAAACAAATTTGGTACGTTTATCAACTCAAAATCAGCTGTCGTCGTCGACTGCGCCTATGTAAGTGAGATCTGTCCTCCTCACCCTTACACTGCCCTTAAGCCAGCTTGCAGCCTTCTGATTGGCATGATCACCACCACCTGTGTTAGAGCTGTTTGATGATGACTGGCTCGACCCTGCCCCGTCCTCCAAAAGAATCCAAGGGTCGAATTCAAGATCATGATGGTGGTCTTGCTGTGGTGGTGGAGGAGGCTGTGATGATTGCTGCTTGGTCTTCCCTGCAGAATTAGGTGCTGCCCTACTAAGTAGAGATGAAGGATGATGGTAGTTCCTATGCTGGGTCCCGCCAGATTGCAATACAGATACCGGATTGCTAGGTAAAAGTGTAGCAAGAGCTGCAGGTGATACCGATGGAGGATGAAATGAGACCGAGTGCTGAACAGAAGGGAAAATAATTGGCATTGCTGTTTGGATGCGTCTCCGAATTGAATCAGGCAATTGCATCTGATCCAGATCATTCTGAAACAGAGTGTAAGCATTACTTTCAGATTATCAAACTTTAAACAGGGTCGTTTGTAAGGGTAAAATTGTGTTAAAATGACATGACCGAATCTCCCTTTTTAGAAGTGTTCGCTGTTCGGTAACATCAATTTCAGCAAAACAAAGTAAAAAATGAAAAACTACTCAGGAGCCGTTGGTTTGAGCTGCAGCTGTCATTATTGCTCTTAAAACAACCATTGAGAAATTTTGGATTAGGTGTTTGTTTAAACTACAGTTATGATTTAAGAATTACTCGTACTAAGATATTTGGGAATTTAGAAAGTAGGTATTTTTTAAAAACTTGTGGAACATTATGAGAACAAAAAGCTACCACTAGACTACTTGTGTAAAACTCAACTCCAGCTCAGAGCTGATAAGGTGGGTTTAGCTAATCCAAATGGAAACACAGGAAGATGCACTAGAACAAACGTCTCATCATGCCTATTCTGCATAAAAACTGACTTAACAAACCGGGCATTAGATAATATTTTATGAAAAAGACGTGTGTTGACCATGAGGATGATGTAGGGTGTCTCCAAACATGAGAAGAACGGAGCTGATTCTCATGTCGGTAATGAGAACATAGATGATTTATTTTACATTTATCTAATGATTTATTTTTTGATAGTTCAATCTCTACACATGAAAGGTAATGCGAAATAGATGGATTGGATATCTATCCATGTAAAAAATGTCAACGTTTCATGATTAATTTATCTATCCATTGCAATCTGGATGAAAATTTATCCAATCAATCCATTTTCCACTACCATTTGTGGCTCCTTCATATTATCGGGTTAAATGATCAAACCTGGAGAGACTCTGCAACATCACGATCTAATGCGGCATAGTCCTTGCTACATTCACTAGTTGACTTAGAGCTAGATTTTATCTTCAGCCAACTTGGTGGATAGCTACTTAGCAAAGCATGCAGCACCAATAACAAACAATCGAAGAGGCTTTCCCCCATCACACCTTCTGATGCACTGCCAGAAGCTTCTAGTAATGCATCTGGATCTCTTTTTGAAGTAAAACTTGAGTTAAAGCAGTGACCAGCATCAGCATATATGACCCTACTTCCAAGTAAACGCAATATTCCTGAAGCAAGAGGGTATCTCAGGCTCCTCCCGGACAGTTCTCTGGAAATGCAATTACAAGACTTCCATTAGCAGCACACATTCATGTTTTAGAATTTTAGCGGGTTGCTAGTTTTTTAAGGTAATTAAAAGGTGTCTGAAAGAGAAACTAAAGGTGTTATAGGTGAGTAAGGAATTCTAGTATTGACTCCAAATGATTACAAATTGATGCAAATTAAACTATCATTAACTAGAGATACTAGGGATGTTAACATTCATTATTAACTAAAGTAACCA